TCGGACTTTTGTTATATGTTAGTTTTTATAAACTTAAAAAATCTGCATACTCCATTTGAAAATGACTAGAATTTAAATTTTTTGTAAATTTTTGAACTTTTTAACTATGTAACCCCTTTCCATTTTTTCGAAAAATTTGACATTTTTTGAAATTGTATTTATTTTCTACCGGAGATGGCTAGAAGTATTTGCCTGTTGATGCTGTTCAAGAATATATATGATTTATATGATCGGAAATGACTCCTTCGCTTCCAAAAATTATATTTTCCTCTGCAAGATTCCTAAAAGTTTCTAAATAAAATAAGAATATAAAGATATAAAGATTAAAGTTTCCTTAATCATTGGGGAATTTTAATGCCTGAAGAAATCACAATGCTAAAACTTTAAGGGGCTGACAATGAGCCATTTTTAGCCTCCGTTTCAGTGTCATAGGAGAAGCTGGCCTCAACCATTAACTACATAATATAATATTTAATATACGACGTCTAAAGTTAAATGACACAAGGCGTCATTCTAGAATCAATTAGTAAGAAATACTGGATTTTTAAGATTAATATGGATACATATATAATTATTATTAAAATAAAGAAATTATCTGCAATTACAAAGTATGGATAATTAAAAATTACATGTTCCTTTTATAAGAAATAAGAGAGAAAATTGAGATTATATTAAATATTTAATATATTTTGTATATAGAAATTTATTTATTTATTAAAAGGAAATATATTATGCATACTATATATTTATATCAAATATTAACAATATTATTAAACACATATCAAGTTTAAGATCAATAATTAGTTTAAAACTAATACTTGGTTTCTTTTTAAGGAAGCTTTAATAAAATATTTAAAATATGTATGCCTATATAATAATAATATAATAATATTTCATATATATTCTCAACTATTATAAATGAAAAATATTTGAAAATGCTTAATAATAATCTATAATAAATATTTCTTTTAAAAAACTATAAACTCCAACGATCTAGGAAAAGACCTGAGTCAAGTTCAATTCCCACTTGAACTATAATAATATTTCATATATATTTTCAGCTATAAATAAATGAGAAATATTTGAAAATGCATTATAAAGATCAATTTTCATTTTATTTAAGAACACCCCTTATTTCGCTTTAAAGAACTATAAACTCCAACGATCTAGGAAAAGACGTGAGTCATTTTCAGGTCCCACTTGAACTTCAACTTTCGATATAACTCCACTTCGGATCGAATTGTATCCGATTTCGATTCAATAAGCGATCGGCTCAGCATGAGTTGGCAAGAATCGTCGCAGACTTGGCTATATATTTTTATACACACTTCCAGACGCTTGCGGATTCTGTCGCATATTTTATTTATTTATAAACCATAGGAAATACAGCAACATTTTTTTATTATTATTCTTTTTTTTCTTTTTTTTTTGTGCTGTATTTATTCATTTATTTATGGCTACTTGCTGCTTTTTCGCATTTTAAGCCCGCTCAGCAGCAATAGTCACCAAGGTCGCAGCTTACATGTGCAAAAAAAAGGAGAAAAAAAACTTGCAATGCAATTAACTCTGTCAAGTCGCAAGAAATAGTCGCCAAGAGTGAGTGTGTGTCTGGTGTGTGTGTGCTGTGTGTGTGCTGTGTGTGTGCACGATAACCAGTCTGATAATAACCGTCCGGGGGCCTTTGAAAGCGGTATGCTAAAAGCTACAAGATTTTATGGTAATACCGGTGATTATCATTGACTAGGAAACGGAAGATATAGAAAGAAAAAAAAAACAGAGAATTCCTCTGGCCAGAACAGCACAGAAACAAAAGCAATATTAGTATTTGTTCCCCTAATTTATTACAGAACACGTAAGACCCGAAACGAAATGTATTTATCACAAACTCAGCGTAAGCTATAATTTTTCAATTTCTCCTGCCTAAAAAAAAACACACACAACATGTTTGAAATAATAAAAAAAAGCTTTAATTAAGGAACATTTTGTTGTTAAACAGTGGCGCCTAAAGTATTCGAAACTTTTTCAAATGCGAAGCAATTGTAGTTCTAAGTCTATTTAGCTTTTAGATTTTATTCAGGCATCTTAATTTGTTTCTATAATTTTTACTTGTAAATAAATTGATACTTAATTAAATAAAGAAAAAATTTTCATTTATTAAAGCTAATTGTTACCAATTTATATATATTTTTTATACAAATGTATGGAGAAATAGAAATACGTAAGTCTAATTAAATTGGTAATAAATAAATAAATGAAAAGATATTAAATAGAAAGCTAGATTAGAAATATATCATTTTCAAACCTTCGATAATTTCCCTGAGTCTGTTCTCACGACTTTTGTAACTTTTAAACTTTAGTTTTAATTTTAATGCCTGAGAACAGACCATGTCGAAAACCTTCCAGCGGAAATTGTCCGTAATACTACTTCACACGTGTTAATTGCTTGGCTATGCACATTACAGATGTTATGCTTTAGTTTAGTGCTTCTTCTAAAAAAAAGAAGGGCACTACTTAAAGGGGTCAGACTAAAGATAAAACGGTCACAAAAAAAAATATGTATAAAAAATTTGTTGATTAAAAGCAACTTAAAGTAATCAGTAAATTAAATAAACAAAATAAATACTTATATATACTTATACTTATACTTATAAATAAACTATGATCAGTAAGTTTCAATGAACATTAAGTAACTATGATTAGTAAATAACAATGATCAGTAATTAACAATGATCAGTAAGTATGTATGACCAATAATTAAGTATGTATGTATGATCAGTTACTAACTTTGAACACTAATAAACAATGACTTGCAACTTTTGTAACAACACATTTCTGAGACTTGGCTGGCAGCAGTCACTTCGTTCCGAGGATGTTAGAACAAGTTGGGAATCATATGCACGGATGTGCGAGATTTCTTTTGAAACAAATTTAAGCTATTTAAATGAAACTATAGGGTTATTCTTCTATATAATTTTACTGGTATATAAATCGAAGCATGGCATATCGGTAGACCATATATATACACATATATATATAGCTGCCATAGAAACGATCGGAAAATGTAAAGAAAAAAATTAAAACTTTTCCAGTTTTCAACAGATTTTTATCAAATTCAATATATACCCATTATATATTGATCTAGAATTTTGTTCAAAACTTTATGAGAGTCGGACTACTATATCATATATCGCCATACAAACAATCGTTAAAAAATATAGGAAATTACAGAGGAAATTACCCTTGCTGGGTATTATAATTTCACTGACAAGCTTCCAATTCACCGAAGTAATCATTTCCGACCCTATAAATCATATATATTATTGATCAGCATCAACAGCCGAATCGATTTAGCCATGTTTGGTAGAAAATAATTTTTTGAAATTTTTTCAAAATTTTATAAGGGGTTACATCATTAAATTTCTCAAAATTGTAAAAAAAATTTAATTTTAAAAAATTTTAAAACTTAGTATGCAGATTTGTTAGCCTTATAAAAAATAGCACAGAAAGGCTATTAGATTTAAAATTAATGCTTTTTTGGCTTAGTTATGATATTTGAAAAACTTTGTTTTAACCATAAAATTAACATTAAAATATTGATTTAATTTGCCTAGCATACAAAGATTGTCAGAAGTCATATATACTTCGAAGTTAGCTTCCTTTTTTGTGTTGTTTATATATAAGTTCAAAACATTTTCTAAATTTGTAGAGTATTTAAAATTCCCTGTGTTTCCTAAAAACATTTTTCTTTTCTGGTTTTCACTTTCATTGGCTATTATTGCCACCTTTTTTCTTGCTCATTTGGCTTTTAACAATATATATATATTTACAGTCTTTGTGTTGTTGGCCAAGGCATTTTGTATGGCCAATTTCCAATTTGTTCATTGCTTTTGTTCCGCTCTGGCTTTTTTTTTTTGTTTTTTGTTTTTGTTTTTTGTCCGCCCTTTTTTGTTAACATTACTAACATTACTACAAACAATCCACGATCCACTTTGAAAAATGAGCCCACAAAAAACGTGCCAAGAAAAGCGAAACAAAACACAAGAAAAGCCAATCCGTAAACTCTTATGAATAATAAAAAAGAAATACAAACATTGGTTTTAAATTACGCAAAATAAATACATGTATTAAATAAGTATTTAAATAATGAATTTGATTTTATATACATTTATATTTTATATGATTAAATATATATATTGTCATTATGTAAAGTGATGTTTATAAATAAATAATCTTCAAAAGATGTATATAAATTTGTATTTAATTTTATACTTATAGAATTTCTTTTTATATTTTAATCAAATATAGGAGTCTCTATATTTAGAGATAATTGTATTTCATTTTTTTCAGAACATATATATATATATTAATTCATTCCTTTAACATATTAACATAAAATAAATAAATATGGTAAATTTTAATCTAACAGAACACTAAATTTGTTAATAGATAAATTTAATAAATATACTTTAAAATATATCAATTGCAATTGCTAGTCTAGGAAGCTAACTTATGTATAATATATTTAAATGTAGTATATATTGGATCTTAAAACTTTAAACCTTTTTATAAATAATACTTGTTTATTAATTTTGGTATCGAAAACCAGCTAAAAATTTTTAATCTAAATTTCTATATTTAAATTTTTCTAAATGATGACTATTAAAGATGTGTTAATATTTTAGACAACAACAAATAGCTCCTAAAAATGTAATACTATTTTTTCTAACTGAACATATCATTGTGTAAATTTAATATACTTTATTTTTAAGAGTGTTACTTAAATTTAAAAATATTTTTCAAAATCTTAGCTTTGAAAATCTTCGATAAATCTTCATAGTTTCAGTTCAAATTTTCAAGTATATTTATAAACAATAAAAGTTCCCAAATAATATTTTCTGTGTAATCTTTTGATATTGCAACTTGTAACTGCATTACCAAATAAACTTTGCCAAAGGCCAATAAAGCAACAAGAAGACAAAAGAACTTGGTGACTTACTAACCTCTCTTAGCTTTGTTCTTGTTGTTGTTGCAATTGCTGCTAGGTACTTCTTTTCCTCTTTGGTGTCTCTCTTTGCTTTGCGTGAGGTCTTGTTTTTTTTTAAGGTTTTCGGTCACAAAAGTTGTTTACTTCACACACGGCGGCTTTCTATACATACATATATACGTACATATGTACATACAAACATATTCTTCACTTCTTCTGTAGCTGCATCTTTATGCTCTCTCTCTTAATCTCGATCGCTCTCTATCTCTCTCTTTTGGAGCTTCCGCTCTTGATCGCACAGTTAGCACAGGTAAAAAAAATTATATATATATATTAAGGAAGCTTAAACTGAATTTTAAAGTGAAACTGAAACCAAAACTAAAAACTGAAATTGAAATTGAAATTGAAAACTTCGGCCAAGACAGAGACTGAGACGTCCGTCAACAATGCTAGCCACAATTGAACTGAGCTTTACTAAACGCGCTTACGGAAAATTATTTAATTCCGCTGCCAAAGCCGCTGTTCCACGCTCGCTGCCTCGGCCAGCGTCGACGTCACTGCGATCGCCAACTTCTAAGCAACTCCCAGGTTGTTGTTGTTGCTGTGAATGTGTGGGCGGCAGCAGAGGCAACATATGTTGCGCAAGCAGCCGTACAGCAACATGTTGCTAATCAGGAAATCATAATTTGGAACAAAAAAAAATAGATCTAAAAATATAATTTTAAGGGAATATGTACTACCAAAATAAAAAAATAACAATATTAAATGGTTCTGCCACATTATGCCATTTTTTAAATCAATAAGGGATAATTAAACAGATAAAAACCCATATCAAAGAGAAAAAAATTAAATTATTCTTGAAAATTATTTATTACCTCTTTAAAAAAATGTTTAATTGAAAAATACATCCCATACATTTGTGTTTTTTAATGCAAAAAAATCTGCAAGTATGTGTTCAATATGAGTTTTACAATTCCCAACTGGTTTTACCAATAAGATCGATGTTGCTTACTATTACAACCTGTTATAAATTAAATTAAAATTTGTTTATAGTATTAATTAAATAGTAATATAAGTTAATTTCTAGAGCTTTAAAAATATGTAAATCTTGTTTTAAAATTATTACCATTATCCCTCACAAACTTCTTCATTTAAGTTAAAGAAATTTGGGTTTTTCCACAAACTTTCTACAATCTTGGCTAAGAAATTTAGGGTGAGATTTGTTGTACAATTGTTACACAGTTACAATTTTTTTTGTTATATGTAAGTCTTGCTTAGATCAGATATACCAACTGCACGCACATCGGCTTCTAACTGTATTTTTGTTCTTGGTTCTAACTCAATTTCCGTGTTTCGTGACACGCAATTAATTAGCCCGTCTTTTTTTTTTTTTGGGAAATACTAATTGCAGCCTTTGGCCATCGGAGAACTGTACTTAATTCCAATGAAATGTCAAAAATACAAAAATCCCTTCACAAAGCCAACAAATCCCAAAATTAGCGCCAATTTAGAGAGTCAGTCGGGCATGTAAAGAGGGCTATAACGTGCGCACTTTGTACCTGTACGGGAGCGATTCCGATTACGATTTTGATTCCTATTCCTACTCCGAAACTAATGATTCGGAACCCCAAGAATGATATAAGCATATAGCGATGACTTGATGGATTTTATATTTTTAGGAATAAAAGGAAGATATAAGGTAAGGTTTTTGAGGTACTTTAAAATTTTGCCTAAGATTTTAGACAATAAGTTGAATTAAATACTTTATAAGGGAATAATGTTACTGTGTCTATAAATTTAAAGAAAAATTGATTTTAGTTTAACGTATTAAAAATATATGGAATTAAATTATATTTTTAAGAATAAAGGTAGATATAAGCTAAGGTTTTTTAGGTACATCAAAAGGTTACCTAAGATTCTAGACACTAAGTAACAAGTACCTAAGGTTTTATGGAAATAAAGTTACTGTGTCTTTTGACTATAAGAAATATATATATTGTTTTTACTTTTATATATAGAATATATATTGTTATAATATTCTATTTATACATGTTTAATATACTTTTATATATAAAATATATATTGGTTTAATATTCTATTTATACATATTTAAATAGTTATTTTCACTATATTATCATAAAAAAAATGTAAAAACTATCTTCAACAGGACTCGAATGTGCCATTAGCAGCATATAACTTTTATGTTTATAATCCAATTTTATTCCACTTTGTTAGAAAACCTAAACTTAAATATTTTATTAAATTATAAAATAGCTAAAAGAATATATATATAAGTATATAAATACAGAATAGCTTTACCTTTAAAACTGGGAAAAAAAAATAAACTCTATGATTTCAAAAGAAGTAATCCAAAAAGATAACACTTTAAGAACAGAAGGAAGCCTTCTTATCATAGTACTCAGATTACCACTAAGTATATAGGATATAAAAAATATACATATATTAATTACTACAATTTCTTTGTCCAAGTCTAAGCAATTGCCAAGTGTTTTATTATCAAAAAACAAAACCTCTGTTTCGATATTCCTCTTGCTGTCTCTCCCCTTGAACCTGACGAACCAGAACCAGAACCATTCTCATTCTCAGTCGGATTCGCATTCCGTGTCCACCGACAGGCGAAAGCCGCTTTGAAATGTCCAAAAGTTGCGCTTGGCTGCTTATCATTTGCGCATAATTGCCAAAGTCATTATGGCCAAAATCGTAAAAAGACAAAACCACAAAGCTGGAGTTAAAAATTTTAAAATCTGAACTACGAAATTGTTATATCGGCCAGCACAAAGCTAAAATGTCCAACTAGGAATGACAATACAGAAAAAAAATAATATTCAAGTAGCGCTAAAGTAATTATAATTAAATTTAAACGAGCCCGAAACAAAGAATATTAATTTCGCAATTGCCGGTGCCATGAGCCATGGTACATAGTACAAGAACTATCAATTTAAGCCACGTTTATAATTATAAATATTTTTAATTGCACAGAGAGAGATATTATCGCAGAGATTTGGGATAATTTTGTTTATAAAATTATTCACATCATTAAAGTCCTTTTAGTTACTGAAATCAACTTGTATATTATATATTTTCAATTGTCATATTTAAATATATAATATATATTTTGGCTAGTTTCAGTAACCTTATTATTTGTTATATTGATTAATTGATCATCTTTGTCTGCGTTGATTTGTTTCATTTATTGTAGCTCCAAAAACTTCGCAATATTTTAAACTTAGAGCATCTTGTTAATTCCTTGATATCATCTTTCCGGGTTAATTGAGTGAGTAAGTTCACAGCCGATTTCCATTAACCCGAACCCAGTATTACAGACAGTTCAGAAAATAACTATATATATGTGAATATATACCCAGGAAGTAAGTCGGTTGACTCAATTTTCTTACATTTCCAATAAGCTTACCCCTTACAAGCGCGAAAAATGGGAAAAATTTGAGGTCAACAGTTTCTTTTTTGAGAAATTAATTATTTTTATTATATATTATTAAGATTATAATAAAAAAAAATGTATAACTGTTACAAGCTTTTCCTTATCAGGCTTCCAACTTAAAATTTGATGCCCCTTCATGATTTAGCAGATACCACAACATACTCTTTAGGGATTAGCCACAGGTTGGCGTTGGCCTTTGACCCCGGCAAGGTCAGGATTGAAGCCAATCAAGCGGCAGAGAGTCATCCAGCAAACACATTCATAAATAAACAAGAAAGAAAATCAGCTACTTCCTAACGAAGTTCAGATACACTTGCCTTAAGATATAGTCTAACGAATTTATTGATATTTAAGAAAAGGAAAGAGTAGAGCTTGTAATGTAAGTCTCCCATTTTGCTTTTATTTTAATATATCTCACCTTCTAAGCTCCTAAACTTATGAAATAGAGTATTTTCTCTCCACAAAGTGTATCTAAATAAATAATTGCAGCAACTGACGCTAAAAAAAAAACATTCAAGTGGGTTCAGAAGGGAGGAAGCTGATGTTGCTACTACAGTCACTGAAATCGCAATCACATTTTGCAGTTTGTCAATAGACAGAGGCAGGTGCACATACTTACTTATAAATCTTTATATGTTAATATTAGCTTAGTTAAACACATACAACAGTTAGCGCGATGCGGAGTTGACTTGAATTCCACTTAAATGCTATTATAAAACGACGAATTTGCAATACACAGAGTCATGATTATTTTTATTCTGTGGAAATGTATACGATTTCTACAGTTTTTCAGTTTTTTATTTCCGAAAAAGACTGACGTTTTCCTAGATTGGATTCCGTTTTTTACTTCCGGGAAATCGTCACAGATTTTTATTTCCCCTCTGTTAGCTTTCGAGGAAAATAAAACAGTATCTTCCGTCTGGCATTTGCCGGGAACAAAGGAAAGTCTTAGTATATTTTAAATCTATCAAGTATTATTGATTTGATTATTTATTTTATTTATTATTTATATTGGACATGGCAGAAGTTGCTGCTAACTTCTCTCCTGTAAGTAACAAGAAAAATATAATCCTTAATTTGTATAAACAACTTATTACATTCTGAATGAGTTATGATCAGATCAAGTTTATTTTCCCATTTTCCAGCTATTTAGTTTTCTCCTCACTTAAACTTATTATATATTCTTTAATAAAACATAGCATTTCAACAAGTCACTTATTCTTGACATCTCATTAAAAATTAGTAAAGCTTTTCGCATAAGAGTAAGATTAACTTTAAGTCGTTTTGTAACTTACGTTAGATTTATTGTCATTAAAAATAATTCGAATCAATTTAATCATCAATCAGGTTTGAAAGAATAATTTAAAATTACAATTAATTAGTAAAGCTATAAGATATTACAGACTAGTTTGTTAAAGAAAGGGTATTTGCCATTTAAATTAAATATTCTTATTGATATTTTAGTATTTAAAAATTTGCAAAATATAATTTAGGAAAAATTTCAGTGGAAGTGGAATTTATATACACATAAACAAAACAGGAAACTAACTACGGTAAAAAGATGAAATATGAAATATGGAAATGCGGTAAATCTTAACTTTAACATTATTTTGGTTAGGCAAAAAGTCGGTTTAAGATTTATGTTATTGTGGCTGCTATTTAAGTGTCAATAGAGAACACTTTTACTTAAAGTTTTTTAGAGTTTAAAAGAGTCGGAAAATATATTGCATTGCAAACAAGCTTAAACTTCCAAGTCATTCGACTTCATTTCCTATTATTTAGGGTTTCTTTAAACTGACACAGATAGTAATTCATATTTCTAACCAGTTAGGTATTATCTGAAAATGTAAATAATTAGCTACATTAAACTGTTTGTAAATAATTAACTTTTATACCTTTTTGTCACTTTCGAGGCAGCTAAGTTCCGGGAAATAGAAAAGCTCCGCTCCTTGGTTTCCCTGGATTGAAGGCGTTTCTGTTTAAGGATGTGTGACATCGTCTAATCAAAATAATAATATACATTAGCATATATTTATTTAAACAAACAAGAAATTGCAAAGGAAATTTCGTAATTACCAAAAATGTTATTGTTCTGCTTCTTCCGTGTTTCCGGGAAAAACAACAAGCAGCTCTTTGTTATCGGCTATCGAATAACGCAAACAGCTGATATACCAAAATAAATAAATACATATTTATGTAACATACAAATTCCTTAAATTTTCTTAATTTCAATTACTTTGGGCTTAATGCATTTACTTAAGTTTTGGGCTATTTAATTTTATTTAAATGAAAACCGTTAATATTATTTTCAAATAACAAAATACCAAAAATAATGGCTCTCTGAAGCTAACAGATATAAGACATATATATTTATTTAAACAATAGAAAAGTTGTTTTTCTGTTATAAGCCTTCTACTAAATTCTGCCTTTTAAATTTAAAATTCTACTTTCACTTTTCACTTCAAAACTATTCTTATTTTTTTATATTTTTATTAAAATTATTTTGAAAATATGGTTAACACTTTGCGCGCCTTTGTTTTATAACATTTAGCAATATTTTGTTTTGTAATAAAATACCAAACTCTAGTATTGAATAAAAATACTAATATCGAGTGGTTGTAGTCGATTTTTTGAAATTTAAATTTTAGCTGGAAAAGCAGCTGTTGTGGGTTGATAGAAATTATTTTATTTGGGTTTTTTAATTGATTATTTAATGTAAAAGTAAAGGGTTATGAACAATTTATTTATTAGAATAAATAAAATAAGGTTTGGCACTAAAAATAGTTGTTTTAAGTTCGTTTTTTCACTTTAAACTAAACAATATTGTAATTAATTGTAAAATATTTCAATAAAAACAAACTATAATAATAAAACGAGGCTTAAAGCTTAATACATTTTAAATACTAAGGATAGTTACATGTTTTAAGACAACAAATTTTGTTAAAAATATGTATTTTATTGGTTAATATTGTAATTTTTATATATTTATTTTTATTTATTGTAAAACTAAATTAGTTATAATGGTTCCTTATTTTTCTACCCTTCTAGGACCGCCACAGCTGAATTCCTTCTCGCCTGAGTGCACCTACCCCTCTAACTCCTGGCATCCTTTGCGAACGAACACCTTTCCCCCCACCCTCACCTGAGCAGGCCGGGCAGCACCTGTCACAGTCGATGCACGAAACCCAGCTGGTGGTTGTTGCAGTGCCGCTCACTGGCCTTACCTCTCGCCTCTTGCCTCACCTGGGATAATTGCATTCACTCGCACACAAAGGACGGTCGCGACAGGACCTATTGGAATCGAGTTCTGCCACGAGACCCCAGATCCTGCGATGAAAACCCGTCAAGTGCAGACGAGATCCACGTCAATGGCTTCCTGCCGGTCGAAGCAATGGGTTCCAACTGTCCCCGGGATACCCTGCGAGCGGGAGCGGAAGCATGAGATGGCGGCGCGTGAACGGGAGGAGCAGGTGAAGCGGGACAGGGCGTTGGCGGCGGCAGCAGCGGCCGCTCAGCGGGTGCGGCAGCATCGCATGGTCAGTGGCGATAGGAATCAACCATCCAATCGGGGCAGGACAATGGCAGGAGCGGGAAAAAGCAGGCCAGGATCAGGAATCAGTAAGATATACGGCGGCAGTGGATCAAAAGGATCAAAAGGAGGTGAGCAGAGTTCATAATGCAGATAATAATTAATAAATAAATCAATTAATTAATTAATGATAATTATTTTAAGCACCCTCGGAAGCTCCACACAAACCCGAGTCGGCAGCCACAACTACTGAACCAGAGCACCGGACTCCAGAAATCTCTGAGGAATCCTCCATGAATCCCCAGGATTCTGCTCCTTCCAAAATGGATTCCCGGCTTAGCAGCGATGTCAAGGCGGATCGCCTAAGGATTCAGCTCGAAGAGCTGACCCAGCTGCCAGAGCAGCAATTCGAGCAAGGATTCCGTAAGTGGCTGGACCAGGAGGGCATAGCCCGGGAAATGCATTCCCACCTAAGGGCAGAGCTCATCAATTGCTTTAATAACACGGCTTTGGGTAAGGATTAAATACTATATATATAAGATGTTCCAATAACTATTTCCTTATCCTACAGGACAGCTCCTAAACAAGGCCGCCGGCCTGCAAATGTCCCAATCGCATGCCCTGCTTACCTCACCACTGGCCATGGCATTGCCCACTTTGGTGGCAGAGTTCCTGCACTCCCAGAACTGTCACTTCACTTTGTCCGTCTTCTGCAGCGAAATGCCCCATCGTCATACTTTGCCCAAATTCGAGAATCGTCCAGAGTTCCGCTTCCGTACGGATGAACTGCAGCAGGTTTTAAGTGCCGTACTAGGTGGTGGTGACCAAGAACTCCAACCTGATCCGGAGTTTAACCGCTTGGTGGAGGGTCACTACGAGGAGGATTTGGCGGGTCAAACCCAGAGTCTGCTAATGGCTCTCGTGCGTTCATTGGTGGAGACCAAGAAGCTGGTAATTTCCCAAGAGAAGATTAAGGTCACCCCCATTGATTGTGCCTCTCAAACGGAGCCGGCTGCCTGCCTGGAAGCTCGTCCCGAGGTGGACACCAGTCGCCTCTATCAAACCGAAGAGCAGGAGCTAATCCTCGGAGCCGATGGCCGGAGTGTCTTTGTGGGGCCTCGCGTCTCCCAATCCCTGCATGCTGTCGAACAACAAATGGCAGACTTAATGAAAAATCTACGCCTGCTAACCAAATCCTGTGCACCGCCAGTGGAGGTGATATCCGAGGAATCCTTCGAGCAACTCCTGAAGAAGGAACTCCGTGAACGTGATCGTCTGACCAAGGCGGGGAAGAGTTTCAATCCCGGTGAGCCGGTGATCAAGTTGCCGGAAAAGCCACCCAAAAAGAAGGTCAAACCGAGCCAAGAGGATGAAGTGGTCAACTCTGAAATGGGTCCCATTATATTACCCGCTGGTGAGGTGGAACTACCCCGAGTGCTGCCCCTGCATCCGGAGCAATTCTCCAGCCTGGCTGTGATCCGGCAATCCTTGGATAATGCCCAAAAGAAAACCAGACAGCCGCAAGCCCGGATGTATGTTTCCGTTCAACGCATGGAGACTTTGATGAGCGATGTCAGCGGTTGCGTCCAGTTGCTCGGGAATGTGCTGAATCTATCCATGGAGCAGGAATATGCAGTGGGGCAGCAGAAGGGCTTCAAAGAGGGCTACTTGGAGGGCTTCAGTCATGGTCACTTTATGGGCGTTCAGGAGGGACGACTAAGAGAGCAACATGATCGCTTGAAAAACAAAAAGGAAACCTCAACTCAGGTGAAAGAAAAGTCCCTAAGGAGTAAAGCCACCCAGACGAGTAGGAAGAGATTGACGCCCAAGAATCACATTTACATACAAACGGATGCCAAGTCCATGGGCGATGCCACCACCCAAGTTTACATGGAGGTGAAAAGGACCTACGAACAATGGATCCATGAGATGCTGCACAGTGCCAGTGGTCAGTTGTTTCTCGAACGGGTGGAACTCTCCCTCAACAAGGCTCTCAAGTTGCAGAAACAGCGATTGGACGAACTCTATTTGGTGAAGTTAAGACACCAAGCAGAGATCTTAAGACTTACCAGAAGACAAAACTCTTGGCGGGTAAGTATATCTAATTAATTGTAAACCAACTAATTAATTAATTCTCATCCTCAGACCATGTGCCGGCGCGTTCAACGTGATTCCCATTTATCCGCCGAGACTCAGGAACTTGTCCAGAAAATCTTCCGCCTGCTGGAGCATTATGAGACCCATCACCGTCTCCTGGTGGAGAAGATTCAACAGACTGAGATGGCCGCCGAGCAGGCCACTTGCATTGTGCCCATGTGGACTGGTCAGGAGAGTAATCCAGCTGTTGAGGCTTCTTCTTCAGCTGCTACGGTTAAGGTAAACCTGGCTCTTCCTTCATCCTCCTTGGCAGTCACATCCTGCGAGGTATCCAAGCCCATACAGCCCAGTCATCCTGTACAGTTGCCTGTTCATCATCCTGCTCCTTCATTGGAGGTTATGCCTCATCCATATCCGGGTTTGACTTATCAATTGGTAGCTGTGGCACCAACAAGTGGCATACCAGTTCCTGCGGCTTATATACCCGTTGAACCACGTCTGGCATCACATTATAGATATTACAGGAACTCCGATTCCAGTGATCCTGTGGATGTAACAGGAGCAGGAGGTCTTTCTGCCAGGACTAATAATCATGGCAGGAAATCGATACTACCCAAAGATACTTCAGTTAGCTCTCCTGAGACTCTTCCTGTTGCGAGTAAACTAGATGCCGCTCCGCCAAGTCCTAATACCCAATCTCCCAAAAATGAAGCTAATGTTTCTCCGGCAAAAGTTGCCAGGGAGGAACCCCAACCGGCAAGGGTCAAAGCTGCAGAGGAAGCACCTTCCCCTGTCATTGCTCCTGCTTCAGGATCTTCTCAGCAATTAAAGGAAACTCCACTTCAACCCTCTTCACCCCTAAAACCCCCTGTAAAACCTTTAGTACATGATGTGGCCACAAATACCATAGAACCTGCACCACCACAACCCATACTATCCCTAGGTCAATCGATCCAAGGACCAAGCTTTGAAGAGGCTCTGCTCAGTGCCAAGTAAGTTTAGCAACTCTTTATAATCTATAACTTTTAATGAATCCCTTTTAATCCCTCAGGAATCGCATGAAGCAGCTGGAAGAGGAAAGTGACCTCCTGGAGCAAAGCTTTCTCAGTTATCTGGAGAAGGCAAAGGCCACAGCAATTACAAACAACCAGAAATCCCACAAAGAACCCCTTAAACCACGTAAAATTCCACCAATCTCTCAATTAAGAGAGCAGCAGGAACAATTAGATCGCACTTTGGACACCTTCATGGTTCAGCATCGAAGTATACGCCTAGAAGATTCAACTCTCAGACAGGAGGAACTGCAAAATCAGCCTCCCACGGTGGACTCCAAGTTATCCTCACCCATCTGGCTATCGGAGGTAGAGGAGAACCCTGGCCAGGACAAGTATCACTTTACAAATGCCATTTCCGAGGCTCGAAAAAAACTGCTGGCAGAGATTAATCTGGAGAAGAAGGTGGCAGAGATAGAGCAACAGGAGCAGAAGGAGAAACTCCAGCCACCGACTGAATGGATACCAGCAGAGATGCCCAAGGTTTTGAGTGTTGTCAAACCCACGGAACTTTCCGATATTACACCCTCGAGGAGCAGCAGCAATGATGAGATGAGATCGCTCCTTCGGCGAGCTAAGAATGCTCTGGGCCTGCGATCCCCTAATCCCCTTTTGGATAGCAGCACCGATAGCTCCAGCCTGGAGGATCCCTCCCTGAAAGTGACCCGTTCGCCTAGTCAAAAGCTGCAGCAATCCATGGCCAAAATGGAGCTACTTTTCGGTGGTCCTTTGGTGTCAAGTAAAACCAAGATGCAAAAATCTTCAAAGCTAAATAAATCTGCAGCGAGACCTTTTAGTGCTCCTACGACAGGAGCGGAGAATGTGAGACTTGTGCCACCACGACCCCACACTGCACCCACTCTGTATCCCATCCAGGAATCACAGCAATCTCCTGGCCTCCAGGTGGAGATCAGCACAAGTACCAGCACCAGTACATCCCAAAGTAGCCTGCCCAGGGTGAGATCACCTTGTGGATCATTCGAGGAGCTGGTTGACAGTGCAGTAATGGGTCCAGATACCACACCAGAGGTCTCATTTAGTCAAGATTTCTGGAAACGCATGAACTTGTAGTTTAAGATTTTACGGAATTACTGTTGTTAGACATTGTATAATTGTAAATATGTGTAAATATAAACAGAGGCCACCAACAGTGAGTGGTATTTACCAAGAATAAAGTGCGGTTGAACTACTTTGATTCAGCATTTAATTCTTTTAATTTGTTTATAATTATTGTATAGATACATGTATAAATAAATTTCATCGACAATCTTTTAGTAAATTTTTTGGTTTTTGTAATAAATATTTATTTATTATTTATTTCATGTGAATTGAATTTTTACCTCTGTTTTTTCCAATGCATTCTTGAATCTTTACCTTGAAATTGTGTTAATATTTTGTGAATTACAAATTATTGTATTTTCTTGTTTCTCCTTTCCACAACTGCATCCCATTTTCAATTTTTTACCTTTAATGGTTCACATTTTATTTTTTAATTTTAAATACTTAAGATTTATTTTAATTTAAGAAAAATCCCTGAGCAAACAGTACAAAATTTAACACGGAAGGATTCCGATTTCCTTCCTTACCACTTGCTGATTTGGGAAAACATTCTTGAGGAAGTGTTGCAGACAAAGAATCCATATATTTTATTATTAAATACATTTTAAAAACAAACACTAAATACACACAAACTTAAAAAGAAAGTAATTTTTTAAATTGATCAAAGTATGCCATGAACCAAATATCAAGCAATTGTCATTACTTAAGTAAGCAAGCAACTGTAAGTTCTCATTCATAATCCATTCCCATTACTGGCAACACCTAGTATTCGTATTTTATTTAAAAATAACATTTTTTCCAACAAGTCTAGTCCGTGAAAAATTAAATTTTTATTCGTTTTCGGTAACCTGGTAATTATTTGTATACTTTTACAATCGCGGTGGAATATTTACTCTTAGTTTTACGGTTTGTTTTCCAGGATTACACTTTTGCCTTCGTCCTCGCCATCCTGCGTGTCATCTTGTTCAGTCAAAATCAAAGCTAGTCAATCCACTATAGCCTGAGGCTACTGTAAGTGAGTGAAGTTCCCTTCAGCTGCATCTGGAACTAGAGAATCTAGAGAATCTTTTGTGCCTGATAAAGGAATCAGTAAAAAATTACATTTTTATTCGTTTTCGGTAACCTGGTAAATATTAGAATACTTTTACAATCGCGATGAAAATTTACACTTTGTTTTACGGTTTTTTCCAGGATTACCTTTGCCTTCGTCCTCGCCATCCTGCTGTCATCTTGTTCAGTCAAAATCAATTCTAGTCAATCCACCATAGCCTCAGGCTACTGTAAGTGAGTGAAGGGAACACCAGCTGCATCTGGAACTAGAGAGAATCGTAGAGAACCTTCCGAACCTTTTATCAGGCTTAAGGAATCTTAATCCTTTTCTTTATCAATTTTTTACTTTACGACATGGGAAGTATACTGTCGTTTTTGAGCCGTGGCGGTAAGTTTCTATTTATTTTATATAATTATTTAATTGTAGATTATGTACTATATGACTAAAAAGATACAAGGGAAAAAGACTATATCCTTGCACCTTTTTAAACATGTCGCAGAATTCAGACTTTAAATTTCAAGAGCACTTTCTTTGCAACAATTTTTCGAAAGCTTAATTTTTTCCCCTTTTCCTTGGGTGTGATTTTTCTGATCTAATTATTTAATAATTATTATTAAACATATGTATTAATTTACTTGCAGCTAATGTGGCTAATTCAGATGTAGCTTTGGTGCCATCGACCATTAATCCTGGAAGGGATAATCGCATAAAAAGGCCTTACTTCGTGGTTAATGGTGTGGCCTGCTATACAAGTGAGCAGCTGGAGGTGGAACTGAAAAAGGATGAGAGTTTCCGAATGAGGAAAGTCCTGGATTTAATCGAGAATGAGGGAGATTCCACTCGGCCTTCAACTTCAAGCCTCGAAGATACCAATACTACGGATCTTCTTGCTGAAGTCGTAAAGAACACCGTCGAGTGCAAACGGATGCGTCAAATTGCTGAAAAATTGGAGGAAATGAAGGTGGAGATCATTCACATGGAACAGAAGCAGGGTTTTATGGAAAATCTAAGGAATGTTCAATATAAACGTCCCGTTTTTCCCATAAATCGACTTGCGAAAAAGATCAGGAACGTCAGAGCTCGTCAGATTATCAATAGAATTGGTGAAATGTTTATTAAATTGCAGCTCGAAGAGGAAAAGAAACGTAATTTGGATGAAGGCGTATGCTATACATATTTTGTATCCATAAAACCCACTGCTGGAGCCTCAAATTGTGCCGTAGAATTGGTTGGACAAACCGTAGAAGATGTAGCTGAACAGCCCCAGAATCAGTTGGTGTCCAAAGAAAAGGGATCCGTAGGGGAACGACAATAGAGGACCAACGATATTGTTTTTGATGTAATGGTTTTCAAAATTTCGAAATATGCATTTTTAGACTTTATGACGTTTAACACGAAACTAAATTTAAAATTGTTATGTGAAAAGGAGGTTCCACACGAAACAACTAAATTTGCAAGTATTTAGATTTGTAAGCCTTCATCAGTCTGAAGAATGGCAAAGAATTGTTGATATCTAAGAAGGATATATACATTCATATTGTAATGTTTAAATAAATCGATATTCTGTTTAATATATCGAAAAAAAAACCGGTTATCTTTGATTAAACTATCATTTTTGGGAAGGAAAATATAATATAAAATAATATAAGACAAGTTAAATTAGAATGTATACTATTTATATTATATTATGTTATATTTTATTATTAATAATATATTTTATTTTTCGATAACAATATGATATTAACGCGATATTGATAACGATAAATCATTAAGGACTTTGGCTTTTCGATAAACTTTTCCAAAAAACAATCTCCTTGAAATGGATTATATTTTCATTACCAAGTTAATAATAAAATTTATACTCAGTCACTGCTTTAAATTTGTATATAACCAGTCTAAAACTTTAATAAATCCTTTTAGCTACACTCAATCACGCTCCTTCCACAATTTCTGTTTGAATAAACCTTGTGTGCGTGAAATACAATATCCTGCGGCTAAACAGGATTAGATTATATGGTCAACCTCCTCCAATAAAATCAAACCAATTTGCTGTTAATAGATTTTTTATTTTCTAAATCTAAGCCTGGGGCCTTTATAAAATGAGTTTCAATGTCTTGTTTTGCGGACTTTCACAATTCCAAATGAATGTGTTTATTTTGAAAAGCCAATTGTATAAAAGTTAATAGAATTGCAAACATAGAGATGACATGAGTTGTTGATTTCATTATTCATTGTTTATTGGAAATTGATTTAGCGTCGGTCTTCCTCCCCCCTGGAGACCACAAATCACACACACGAAACTTTGCCGACATTTAATTAAAATTTCAGCCAACTAAAAAGGGAAGTTGGGGTTGACCCAGAACTCACCTGGATACGCTGGAATTAAATTGCTTAAGAGTGATGCATTAAATACCTTACTTAACTTAACAAATAATTAGGAAATAATAAATAAATACAAAATTTAAATAGAGAAAATGAAACTGCCATATGTTTTCTCTTTGCCAAAATTGTGCGCATCGTTTTATTAATTTTCAGAGACCTGTGTATTTCCATTTAAGCTAGTATACTTTTATTATATTTTATTGATATATTTTTATATTTCAATTTGATAGGCCTAAAATTGTGCGCATTTACAGATATACATATAAACTTTTCATGTAGATTTTATTATTATTTTAATAGCTTTCTTTTATATATTAATATTTTTTCAATAGTTAGTTTTGTAGAATATATCGGTATTAAAAAAAAAAACAAACAAGGGTCAGTGAGCTCTTAATCAAAGGCAATATAAATAATAAGATGCATAAAGCCAAGTAAATTAAGAGTTTGTTAAAACAGCGATCGAATAGAGTTATCTTCTATCTACACTTATTATCAATCTATTATTATATTTTAAAATTTATAAAAGAGATTTAAATGTAAGTAAATTTCGTTTGCTAATAGAAAACTGGAAATTCATACATATCCATGGATGTTATGCATCTTACCCTTTACATTCCTTTTGATATTATACTCTTCAGTTTTAGTTTTTTCTTAGGATAGGCTAGGATAACTAATTGTTTAGACGGCTGTGCCATTGATGAGATCATAGGGATCTATTTGATTGATTCCAAAGAGACTTGCATGCGATCGCCGCCTCTCCCTTTCGATCTCATCCAGATCGAAGGCTTCACTCACAAAACTCGATCTCCTTTGGGGATCATCAAAGGCATAGCCACGTTGAAATTTCGCCGCAGTCGTATTTCCTGTTCCCATCACTCCACCGGAAGTTGGGTATATCGGTTGCGGATGCTGCTGATAGCCATTCGAGTAATTTGATGGCGATGAAGGTATTGCCGCTGGCCATTGCACCTGCGACTTGGGAGGCTGAGGAGCCTGGGTTACCTGTGGCAGGGCCAAGGTGGAGAGGTAACAATTCTGTTGCTGTGATTGCTTCTGCAACTGCTGGGAATTCAACATCAATTGAGAGAATCGCTGCTGACTGGAGCCCAGACCAAAACCACTTTGCAGGGAATCCGAGGACTGACGGAGGAAGCAACGCGGCAGGGTACGACTCTGGCCAAGATCACTGGCCGGTGGGAGGGACATTCGCATATTGGGATAACCCACACCCGGATAGCTGGGATCTGTGTGCAGCGAAAGATTTGAGTTTAAGCGGCGCAAAGTTTGTCCCATGGAATCCACGCACATTGAGGAACGACGCGGCATCACCAATTGGGCATGATCTGGAGATAGGAATGTATATATATCAAATAATTATTTTACTTTAAAATGAAATGATTAACTTACCCCCCACAACATAGAGATGATCCTCCTCCAAGCGGAACTGCCTGAAACCATGATCATCGCCATCGGCATCATCGTCATTATCATCATCATTGTCTCCATTTGGATTTAAATTTGATTTTGGACTGGCCAGGGTATCCTCCCGTTTAGCCACCTCCTCACCTTGGCCACCATCCTCACCCTCATCCCCGCCACTGATGTAGTATATATTCTTGGGTTTGCTACGCATTCCAGCCCTGCGACAAAACTCCTGAAACAATTCGTCCTTGGTCTTTCGCAAACCCCTCTTCAGGCCACACAAACGCGATTGGGCATCATCTGGACCTGGACCCGATCTCGATCTTGTATTGGTGGCCATATTCCGCTGCTGTTTACCCTTCATCTGTGCCGAAGTGGAGGAGGATGGTGCTACAGGTGCTGATGGTGCCGTATAAATATCCGTGGCAGTGGACACCGAACGGGTCAAAGGAAATTCCTGTGGCAAATCAGCAAAGAGAGCTGGGGCAGGCAAAGGCTCCGGCAAAGGAGCAGGAGAAGATGCCGCCATGGATACCGATGTCTCAGTGCAAAGTTCATTCAGCGATTTGGCAAAGCTGCGAGAGTGCAGATTGCACTTGGACACTGCCGGCTTCTCAAAATAAAAACTAAAGGAATATATTTATTAATTAATTATAATTTATATTAATAAACTAATAACCTTACCGCCTTGCTAGATCATTGTTGAGGTTCAAATTCGATCCCCCATTTGGATGTTTGCGACAGGCTCCTGGGAGAGTCTGCGCCTGACCAGGATAACCCATCTGCTGTCCCAGATGTCCTCCTGGTAAACCACGTCGTGCATCATGCACCTGATGCGGTCGAGCATTCACAGTGCTGCTCCTTAGGATTCCAGACTGTGACTGTGGCTGCATTGCCGTCTCCTGGTGATGATTCCTTGATGGCTGAAGGATGTCCCTGGTATTCCGATTTGACACACTGAGTCCTTCCTGGCTGCCGGCATTGCCAGGCTGCTTGTACCTCTTATAGGAGTGACTCATTACAGGCTGCTGGTCCTCCTTGAACTTGGCCTGCATATTGGCTACACTAAAGCAGGGAAGTCTCTGTGGAGGAAAAGTATACATAAGTTGATTGATTGGAACGTACAGATGAGAATTTAAGGAGAAATTTATATATAGATACAAAAAAAGGGGGAGAGAAATATTGCTTATAGGATGCAACCTCAAGGGACAACTCATGCAATTTAGATATGCATTTTAGCTAAAAGGTTTTTGCACTTATGCAGTAGAAATATGAGGTGGCCAGGGATTAAACGATACACGGGAAATTCAAATGAATCAAATAAGTCAAGAAAAAATAGTTAGCAATGAAATGAATTCAAAGAATTAACTAATTTAGCCAAATTTCTCTGAGGAAAACAAGAATATGATGCATATTCTGCGGACATTGCAATGAGAAAATATAATAAAAATATATTGGTTTACTCTACAAAAATATAGTATAGATTTATCCATATTTGGCGCCAATACTATTATTTTTCTTTAAAATATATACAAAATATATATACAATCTCATACTCACACTGTAGTAGCTCACTTCCTGAAGGTTTATAAACAGAAATATATTCAATACACCCACAAATTCGGTGACAATAAATCCAAAGACAAAGAGAAAAAAGCTCTGGCCATATGTGACCTTAACAAGGGCCGGTTGAAGGGGTGAACGGGGTCTCAATTTCGAACCAATCTCTGCCTTCAATATTGATATATAGGCAATCAGTCCAATCAGCATTACCAGACCTTTGAATCATAAGAAATCATTTTAATCTTTATAAATATAATTCCTAAAGATAATAATTTACCGCTCACAATAAACAGAATGCCAGCACTAAAGTAATAAAGATTATTTCGATGCGAGCAAGTGGGTATCAAAAAGACTATAAAGCTGATCATCAGAAATACACCAGCGGCCAGAAAAATGGGACACGACTTTGTCACAGTATCTATAAAATGATAAATTAAATTAAAATTTTTACATATTGCCATGAAATAAAGAAAAACTATCAATCAATAATCAATTAAGCATTCAAGTAAATATTATTAATATATGAATTTAAATGTATAATTATTATTCTGAACAATCATAAGAAATAAATGGAAAATAATCATTTAATATATTGATTCTCGAAGACATTTTTATCTTTTTAATTATGGTAATAATATATAGATATAAATTTATATTTACTGTGTACTTACAGGGTATTTTATTTTTATCTTTTTAATTATGGTAATAATATATAGATATAAATTTATATTTGCTGTGTACTTACAGGGTATTGCCGCAGTTGAGTCATGCGGATCCGGTTGATAGCCTTCCTTGGGGAAATAATCAATCTTAACGCAGTTATAAGAATCAACATCGAGTCCTTTGGAAATATAAAATAAGCAAATATAAAGACATTAATTTAGAAATATATTAAAGAACATACATATGTACATTTAAAATACCTTTATTAAGTATCTTATCAATTAATAGACTCCTCAAATGCTACAAATGTGCATAAAAATAAAATTATAAGCCGAATTAAGGCACGAATTATCTATAAAAACAAATAAAACACAACAAATGTTTTATTTAATTAACATACTCTTCCACATCTTTATATTGCTTAAAAATAAATAAATAAATATATACCTTAAAAATCTGCATTTTCCATCGTAAATCAAATTAGTGAAAAACCTTTTTATGCACAGTGACATTTTTTTTACATTTTCTGTTAATTAAGATTTTGATTGATTGATTGATTGATCTGCCAGCCTGATTTCGCTTTGATTTTGCAAAGGCCTAAAGTCCACATGACGTATACGCAATTTCATTCCATTCAGAAACTGCAGTCCAGCAAATAAATAAATAAATAAACAATACATATACCAAAATCGACACCTGTCCCATTCGTCTTCATTGTTTTAATACTTGGAAAAGCCGGAAAAAATGATTTTCAATTCCTCACCTGGCTGCGTGTTGCACAGTATCCACAGGCTGGACTTTGTATACTTGGTGACATAGGCACCATCATCCATAGCATTTATATTGGCAGTTCCATTGTACTTATAATTGGGCAACTTTTCCTCCGTGAAAAGCCATTGAGGTCCTGCAAGGGCGGCTATGACAATGGCCACCGAAATGCTGCAAGGAAAAATTAAGGAAAAGTAAGTAAATAGGTAAACAATAATATAAGGAATATTACTAATAAAGCCAAACGATATTTTGTTTTAAAATTTTTCGTGTTAACTTCAGGTTCTCTTAAACATTTGTTGCAAAATCTGAGAGAGAGATCTTTTAAAGGCTACAGAGCCTTCTTATTCTTTATACTGTTTTTGAATTTTTTATAAATTAATCTGTACTTGTTTTTAAAGTTTATTAAGTCTACAACCTTAATCCATTTGAAGTGCGTGAGTTTCCAAATTATAATTCAAATATATCCACTAACAACCAATCCTTGTTCTAATCTGTTCAGATTTGCAAGGATTTTACAAACATTTTTTGTCACAACTTTAATTTAAAGTTATCCCAAACGATGAATTTAAACTTAATGCGATGTATATCACTTTGTTATAAATAAATATCAAGACTCGGTATTCTTCTACAAAGAATGTCACGGTCATACTTGGGCGAAGCGGCAATTGAAACGTGAGTGTTAAGTTTAAGTATAATTTAGAATACAAAAAATAAGTGAAATAAGAAATTTGAACAGTATTTATTTATCATAAATTTAAGATTAGTCCATATTAAAACGAAAGATTGAAATCTAAAAATCAAGGAAAATAAACACAAGCACGCGGTCAAAATAGGCCACCAAGTTGGGTGAGCAGAAATCTAATTGCAAGTTCAATTCTCAGTTTAAGAAACTATTAATAAGATAATCCTATTCTGCTTAATCTGGACTTCATCATTTAACTTTAGTAAAATAGTATTTCTTTGATTTCACTTACTTTTCTTAATAAGTTTCACTGTTTTGTTGCAAGTTTGCAATTTGCAAAGTTTGTTTACATTTTCGGCTGGGATTGCCATCATTGAGCTCTGATCATTTTCCAACACTGTTCAGCGAATCTCTTAATTATAGGCCAACTAACACACATTGTGTGTTCTTTGATTTCATTAAAATAATTAGTTGAACACAGTTATGTGTTGAATACCATTGCATTAATTTGTGTAAACAATTTCGTGTATTCTTCTTTAAAATTGATATCAACATGTGGCGAGACGGAACTAACCTCATTTTGATTAAATAAGGTGGCAACGCCAAGAGATATATATGTATGTAAATAAACAAACAAAATTAAATTCGATAGAGGTTGACTTACTGACCTACTGGGATCCAATTTTAAAATATAGATAGGAGTAAACTAGGGATACTTATTCATATAGTTCATAAACATTTATATGAGCAATGCCTCAATATTTCCCACGAGAAAATACAATAAGTAGCTTATGTACATATATGCATTTCCCCTGATTTATGGATTGTTTAAAAAGTTTAAAGTTTATTTTTCCTTGTCTTAATATGGAAAAGTTGCATTCCACAAATCGAATTCAGGAACTGAATCGGAAAGTAATCAAGGAAAATACCTACGATGGGTTCAATCCGAAATTTAAGTGTATGTGTGTGTGTTTGTGTTTTGGGTGTATATGTATGTGTGTGTCTGCTGATTAAAAAATACTTCAACCTGACTCTGTGGGCTGTGGCGGGGGCATTGGCCCCAAAAAAGCGATGCCAAAAATCTGCAAAAACAAAAAGAAAGTTAATGTGTGCTGCGGGTCTCTCTCATCCTTTCTCCACATCCGGTTGAACACACACTCACTCACACACACACACCCACACACTGTGGTATGCAAATAAATGTCGTCACCCCATGACAAAAAAAAAAAATCCAAAAAAAAACAAAAAAAAATCGAAAACTGGCTCAAATAAAATTGTTGACGCTAAAATATGTATCTGCGAAAAAAGGCAGCAATTGAAATGCAATAAAGAAAAAGGTCAGTGGGTGTTGGGTATTTTTTTTTTTAGAGGCTGCGTTTTGCCCCCCAGGTACTTACACATGAATACACTCGTGAGTACACTCAGAGCTGGCTCAGAAGCTAAATATTTGTTTAGCTCGCCAGGTGGATATTTGTGAATGCAGAAACTGTGTTGATTAGTGTCCTATTTTTGTTTTTTTAGTTACAATTGATCTTATATTTTTATATCTAAAACATTGATAATTTCACAATTTGGAAAATGCAATTCAAAGGCATAGTTTTTCTCTCACAAATTATTAAACAATTCTTACCGAAGACCTTGAAAAAATAAGATGCATAACACCCAACGAGTTTTGCTCTTGTTTCAAAGCCTTGTTAAGCTCTTCTTTAACAAATTACTTAATTATACAGTTTACATTTTGAATTAATAGAAACTAAGATACAATAGGATTTTTTTAATACTTTTTTCAAGGTTTCGCAATGCCATCTCTTTACCAAATTATTTTATAATACGAGAAAAAATACAATAGACTGTGCAATTATAAAAGCATAAAGGACAAAAGTCGCCACATTTGGTCCTGGCAGAAATTGTCATCAACTTTTTGCAACTGCCAAAGGCAGCTGCTACTTTTCACAGTCCCCAGTTTTATTCACTTTAATTTCCTACTTACCATATTTATATTCCTTATATTTTCTGCATTCCAGAGCTTTCCAAAGGTGATGGGAAGAAAACTCTACAATGCGAAGCCTATTTTCCAATCGTTACAATAATAAACGTAATGAGTTCTATGACCGTTATGAAGGTAATCAAATAAACTTGGATTTGGAAATATATAAAAACTAATTAAACAATCTCTGATTTAGCTGCTCGTGCCTTGCATCCTAGTTTGCCCCTATATGAGCGACCCAAGGAGCCTCCTCCAGGACGACCGCAGGCCTACGAAAGATCCTGTCGCAGACGCTTCAAGCCATCCAAGGATCAAAACAATCAGGCCAGCGAAAAAGGCGATAATTGGATGGCCAGTGATCAGCTTAGCATTGTGGTTCGTCGCACCATCGAGGAGCGGAACTTTGTGGAGCTAATGCCCAAATATGATCCAACGACGGCTACTCACGAATTTAGCCACAATGTCAGATCCCGTGGACGTCGTCCCACTCCCGCCACAATGGCCAGGAATGCAGCTGACTTTGCACTACAGGTGGGCGGAATGGGAACGAAAACGACCAAGGAGAAGGACAAGAAGAACAAACCCTTTGGCAAAAAGGAATCCGAACCAATGAGCAAGTTGATTGGGATCAAAATGAGAGAGCCAGAGGAGGAAACAATAGAGTCAGAGGAGGAAACAGTATTGCAAGAGCAAGAAGCAATATGGCAAGTGGAGGAAGCTCTAGATCTAGTAGAGGAAACAGTAGAGCAAGTGGAGGAAATAGTAGATCTAGTGAAGGAAATAGTAAATCCAGTGGAGGAAATAATAGAGTCAGAGGAGGAAACAGTAGATCCAGTGGAGGAAACAGAAGAGCCAATGGAGGAAATAGTAGATCCAGTGGAGGAAATAGTAAAGCCAGTGGAGGAAACAGAAGAGCCAATGAAGGAATTAGTTTGGCAAGATCAAGAAACCGTATGGCAAGTGGAGGAAGCTCTAGATCTAGCAGAGGAAACAGTAGAACATGTGGAGGAAATAGTTAAGCCAGTGGAAGAAACAGTAGATCCAGTGGAGGAAGTAGAAGAGCCAATGGAGGCATTAGTATGGCTAGTGGAGGAAGGACTAGATCTAGTGGAGGAAACAGTAGAGCACGTGGAAGAAACAGTAGAGCAACTGGAGGAGACAGTAAAGCAACTGGAGGAACCAGTAAACCCAGTGAAAAAACCACTAAAGCCAGTGAAGAAAACAGTAAATCAAATAGACGAAGCAGATGAGCCAATGGAGGAATTAGTTTGGCAAGATCAAGAAACCGTATGGCAAGTGGAAGAATCACTAGATCTGGTAGAGGAAACTGTAGAGCATGTGGAGCTTGACATCCCACACAACCTGGCCAATTTCCAAAACCTCAATCTGCCCGAGTTTCAGGCTGTTCAGCAAGTAAACTGTGACTTTGCCATGGAGGACAAGGAGAACTATCCAGAATTCAAGTTTACTCGCATCTTCAACTGTCCAGAGGCCACTTGCAAGCAGGAGTTTATTATGCGGTGGGTTTAATCATTAAAAATAATATAATTATATTATAATATCATCTCTTTAAAGCCGCTCCTTGTCTAAGCACCAAAGGGACACTGGACACCATAGCTGGTCGGAAAAATGTGATAGATGTGGGCAGATATTTCGCACGGCGGGCTTTAAGCGAATGCATACCCCCGGAGCCTGCAATCGCAATCTGTACAAAAAGAATCACAAATAGGAAAAAACATTATACTAAATCTCTTACCTAAATTTCTAACTAATTTCTATCTTTTTCACTCTCTAAAAGATGATCACAAACAGGGAATAATGTCATACCAAATCTCTCACCTCAACTTCTTAGTGATATCTGCATTTTTCCTCTTACACTTTGAGACAATACTTGAAAGAGATGTTTTCAATGTTTTTATATTACGGGTCATACTTACAGTCTTACCTCAATTTTTTTACTAATTCTATATTTTTTTAGTCTGTACAACAAGAATTACTAACAGCCAACAATGTCATACTAAATCTCCCACCTCAAAGTCTAACTAATTTATGCATTTTTTCTTCATACACTTTGAGACAAGACTTGAAATTAATGATTCCTATTTTTAGATATATTTATATATTTTTGTATACAAATTTATATTACACAACTTTATAAGAAATAAAAGTGTTATTAAAAATAATTTGATGATTTCTCTCTCTGTGCACCTTCGTGCGAAATAGTTTGCGAACAAATTAAGCCCACTTTGCAGTGATTTGTGTCGCTAACACAATTATTTGTCAAGCAACAAGGATGAAGGAGGCAGCCAAGGATGTTTCTTGGTTGCTCTTGTGACAAGGACGAGATGCCTGTACCAGTTCCGTTGCCACTGCTGCTGCTGTGACTGATGTTGTGGCTGCCACGTGAAACTTGGAAATCGCTCTTATCGCATTCCTTTAGTTGCTTTAAACAGAACTCTAAGAGACAGGAAATTTCCTGAGAGTGTGTCAGTGCGTCTTTTGCAGGAATTCAGGCAACCGGAATTTCAAGCTCTTTATCGTCGATCTAAAGCAGGAATGACCAGGCCATACATTGATGTGTTCAAATTGAATTTATAAGAGTTGGAAATATATTAAAGTGTGTAGGTAGCAGAAAAAAATAGCTTACAATTTAGGTAATATTTTATAAAATAATATTTCTGACTAATATTAATAGATATTAACCTCTAAAAGAGATTAGTTTCAGCTGCAATCTTTAAAATTTGATCGAACTGTAGGGTTTTCTCTCCTCTCCTCTCTTTTAATATCTATATAAGTAATCATAGATTATTGAATAAATTCTGTTGCTTTACTAACCTGGCTGCAACAGGTGTGAGAAGCCACAGGTAACTTCCGCTAACGCTGCCCATGCTTGTGATTCTACCTTGCGGATCGGTAACGCCACCTACACCCGTGCCTAGACGATGTTGTTGCTGCTGTCGCTGTTGATGTTGCTGCTGCTGCTGCTGATGTTGTTGATGCTGAATCGACTGCTGATGCTGTTGCTGCTGGTGTTGCTGTTGCTTTTGATGTTGCTGCTGTTGCTGTTGCAGCTCCTTAAATGTATTGTAGTGACCCAAGGAGGCCACCTGTCGCTGCTGCTGTTGCTGCTGCTGCTGTCTTCGGTGGTTGCTGTTGCTCCTGTTATTGTTGCTGATATGATTGCCAATATTGCTGATATTATTTAGATGCAGTTCACTAAAACTGCCAGACATTGTGCCAAATCCAGTGGCCGGAATACTGCCAGAGATGGTATTGATCACGCCAGTTTGCTGCTTTTGCTCTGGAGCGAAGCGCTGGCCACGAGGCAATGTTGCATACGGCGAGTGTTGCTGCTGTTGGTGTTGGTGTTGCAGCTGTAGCTGCTGCGAAGGATGACTGTGCTCAATGGAAGCACTGGTGGTCAGCTGATGCACAGCAATTGGTGGTGGCGGTGGGGGAAGCATTGGCTGTTGCTCGATGGTGTTGCCGCCATGTTGTTGCTGCTGCTGCTGTTGTTGCTGCTGCTGCTGTTGTTGCTGCTGCTGCTGTTGTTGCTGCTGCTGCTGTTGTTGCTGCTGTTGGTGTTGCTGTTGGTGTTGCTGTTGTTGCTGTTGGTGTTGCTGTTGTTGCTGTTGGTGTTGCTGTTGGTGTTGCTGCTGCTGCTGCTGTTGCGTGTTGCAGTTGCTGGCATTTTTAGCAGACTTGTAAGCACTGCTATAGGGATTTTCGCTATTGATGCTATGTGTGGAGGCCACACGAAACACATTGGGTACCAAAGGATGGTCCCTCATTCTGAATACACTTAACACAACACAAGAAAAAAAAACCTCACCTCTAAAACCAAACAAAACACCAAACAAATAATTCTAAAACTAAAACATCAACAATTTCAACACTTTGAAAGCGCGCCAAATGAAAAACAAAAATCGTATTTGCGGGCACGTCCGCTGCGCTGAAGAACTTTCACTCGACTAACAGAAAGTTTGGTCCTGGCCAAAGGACTCGGTCATGTAAAACGAAATGAAACGAGCAGGGCGATGTGGGCCTTCGGCTGCTGCGGCCGCTGATGCCACCACCACAGCCTCTCACAGTGGCGATTATAAAACACATCAGCCATATATTTTATCTCTGCTTTGATGGTCTCCAACTCCATCAGCAATCCTCGATTCGTCCTCTTCTTTTCAGACCCCCAAAAAGATAGTGGCTATGACCAATGTTAAATGAATTTTTGCAAGTGCACAGGCACAAAAAAAAACACAACAAAAAATTAGTTATTTTAACATTTATTTAGCTTTCATAAATAATTCTAGCTATTCTGACAAATATGTAGGGATAGAACAAACAATAATCGACAAATTATTTAAGATTGACTGAATAAATGCACTGCAAATAAAATAAATAATATAAAAATAGGAAAAAGAATATTAAAATACACATGGTTGGTAAAGTCTGAAAATAACGAAACAAATAATAATATATATATTTGTTTGTTTAATTATTGTGATTTAAAAACAAATTTAAACAAACAAAATATATATAAAATATATCGAAACGTTAGAATATCCATTTATCGACCCATGAAATATTGATAAAATATCGATAAATTAATATTTTATAGCTCGAGGTGTTAATTAATCGTTTGTTAGAAGACAATTAAAGCAAAGGCTTTACCTAAACTAATTCCTTCTCCACAAAAGAAAGACTTTTAACCTTAAAATGATCTATTTCATGCTACGTTATATTTATAACAAATATATTTAAACAATAATTAATGATCACTTACTGTTAACCAGTAAACTTTACATATTTCTCTCTGTGACCCAATGGCAACTAACAACCAGCAGACGTTTGCAACTTCCGTTGTTAGCTAAAAGTGACTTCCGGTCGCTAGGGGATATAACCGTAAATCTGTATGCGTGCACAAGCCTGTGCATACATACATACATATGTACAAGGATCCTATAGCTAAGGTACCTGGCCCTGGTTGTTGTTGTTGCACTTTGCTGCAAATCTAAGCACTTATTGCAGCCCTTCCTCCATCTTCTACAACTACCCTTTTTGTGGCTCAGTGCAAGTCTCGTTTATTTAATTGAATTCCCACATGTGATTGGGCCAAGTTCGTGCCATGATTGTGCCACATTAAAGGGATAACGAAGAACCACCGAAAATTCACCTGTCCGCCAGGCAACATCACCACCCACCACCCACCACCCACTGCCCACTGGCACACACACACAAACACAAACTGACTTTTGGCTGAAAGCACCTTGTTAAGTGCACTGCTGAGTTGGCCGATGAGAACGAAGTGAAAGTGTAGAATTGTTTGGCCTTAAGCCCAAGAGCAGAGTTCAGAACAAAAAGCTGAGTAGATAAAGCGGCAAAGGTTGCACTGCAACAAAATATCTAAGAAAATGTAAAGGTTATCTAAAAATGATTACCTAATAAATACAAAAATACACAGCTTATTTTGATATAAGTCCCTAACAAATCATATCTAAAATATTTGTATTGTTTTTTCTTCTAAAAACTTGTTATTGCTTACTTTTAGACAAATAAATACAAATACACAGCTTATTTTGATATAAATCCCTAAAAAATCATATCTAAAATATTTGTATTGTTTTTCTAAAAAAATTGTTATTGCTTACTTTTAGACAGTCTTTTTTTGAAGCATCTGCCATCCCTAGTTTTCAAATATTTATATTTTGATATATAAAATATTGAAATCTGAAACGATATAAATATGTAGGAGTGCCCTAGAAATCGTTGTTAAATTTTAAAGTAATTTAAATAGACTTTAAAACTCTTATGTTCCAAATACCATTAAAATTTCTTGCTTCAAAAAAATGTAGCATACTTATGTGTGCACCATTTAAAATGATTTCAAATCTTGAGCTTATTCTTTAAAATTAAATAGTATTTTCCCAAGTGTAGGATTGAGTGCATATAGGACTCCCGAGTAATCATTTAGTGAATAGAAAACAAAAGCTGCAGATTATTGCAAGCAAAGACCAAGGTGTTTCTGTAAGTCTTAAAATGCAACCGAAGTAAAGCCGCCTTCCAGAGCTGACTTCAGTGTCGAAAGACATAAATACCAGGGTTGAGATTTGAATGAATATAAAAAAAATTAAAACCAAAAAAAAAATAGTATTTGCTTTTATAAAAATGTATGGAAAACATGCTAAGCAGAGCTGTAAATAAAAACTCCTGGTGAACTGTCAAAAAACCTACAAAATTATGAATGCAACATAATCATTTGTCAGAAGAATAATTTCAAAAACCTTTCAATGTACACACACATTTAAAAACTGAATAAACTATTAAATATTTGAATAGTGTATATCCAAAATATCTTATTTAAATCTCAAATCTCTTGACAAACAACACAACTGTGCGTTATTTCAACAAGTTGTTCAGCGTTTGCCTTTAATTTGCCATATAATTAAGCTTTCCTTTTCCACTCTTTTAATTTCTGCATTTAAATACATAGAAGCAGAGTTTACAACTTTTTGCAAAAGTTTTCATCTAAATGTGCTGCAAATGTTGGCAACACTTTTTTCATTTATTTTTATTTTTTTACTTTAACATTTACATGCATATATATGTATATATATTTTTTTGCATTGCTCAACTGAAAGTGCAAAAGAGAAAGCTAACAGAAAATTGCATTTTTTTTGTTTGTGTTTGTGCCTTTTGGCAGTTTACTTTTGCCCCCTTTTCTAGTTTATTTTTTAGTTGGTTTTTTACTATTTTCTTTTATTTTATTTTATTTTTTTGTTGTTATTTTTGAGTAGCTGTTGTTGGTGGCTGCTGCAACTGTCAAATGATTGCAGACGCATCCTGCGCATTTTTAAGAGGTCCTGTTAGGGTATGACATTGCTCACGGCTTGTCGTCATTTTTTTATTCAGTTGTTGACGCTGTCTTACTTTATTCTGTAAAAGCAAAGTTGTTTGTTTGTTTTGTTTTTTAAAGCTTAAATTGATAAAGAGACATGACTAGATCGACTGGTCTGTTGACGAGGATTGGAAATGTATACTTCATAGGGACTATAATACCAATTTTAATTAAAATCTTTTTAAATAAAGTAGTCACAAAGTATCCATTAAAACTTTATTTATTTTTAAAGCGAAATCCAATGTATAAATCGATATTTAAACTATAAAATAAATCTATATTCTTTTTTATTTTATTATTTATTATTTATTATTATTTTTTTATTTAGTGCTGTATTTTTTGAAATTTACTATTTTGATACTCTTATTATCGATATGATTTCAATATATCTTATCGTATTTTTCCACTCAATTAACATCCCTATTATAAATATAGCCTTTTTACACCTAGACGTAGATCTTCTTTAATGTTCTCATTATAAACCTTAATTATATGTTTAATATAAAACAAATCATTTATTAGTTTGTAACTATGCTAAATTCTTAAAATATTCTTATATAGGAGATAGTTTTTTGTCATGATCTTTTATTTTGTCTCCAAGTTTAACAACTTGATGATAGCTACTCGGTTTCTCAAAGTTTTGTCTCCTATTTCGTGAGCTTCCTTTGTCATTTAATAAAAGGATGTTGGCTAAGCTGGCAAAGAAAGGCAGAACTTTGGCCACTTCAATATTTATTTTTGAGGGTTTCTATTTCGTTCAAAAACTTTAGTTTATAACGAACCATTTATGATAACTTAAATATAATATAAGTAGTATTTATTCTCAAAATAAAATAGATTTTTTGGTTTGTTGTTTTACCTAAATTTGATAAGTAAAAAGGATTATCAAGACTATGTTATGTATATATTTAGTTCCTTAAAGCTCTGCTTATTTTCCATTGACAGGTGTGTCCTATTCAAGTTTAGCTCACTTTGGACTAGTTGTTTCTGCTGGTGTCCAAATATTGATTAAATGCACAAAACTCAAAGCCAATGAACGCTCCGAATCCTGGCACGTTGACACACATAGACCGCGGGGACAGATTTGTTGCTGTTGTGTTGACTGATTAGCGCCTTTTCCATTGATGCGATGTTGCTGCTGTTCAGGTTACTGCTGCTGCTGCTGCTGCTGTTGCTGTTGCTGTTGCTGCTGCTGCTGTGGAAATTGATGAGCAATTAAGGTTATTGACCAAACCGCTTGGCGAAGGGTTGCTGGATTGACGGAGGGATGGAGGGATGGAGGGTGTAGATAGAGGTGGTCTTGGGGTGGCACGCTTCGATGCCTTACCGACTGACCCAATCACTTCTATATACTTATATATATATAAACCATATAGCCATATATATGTATATAAGCAGTGAGCGAAATAACAACCTAATTCTGTCACTCGTAAAGGTAACAATTAACTGGAAACTCTTTAATAGACCTTAAATATATACTCTACAGATTTAAAAATTTTATAAATTAAAAGAAAATATATATTTTTAAATACTCGTGGAAAAATTAAGAATATTTTTAACTACTCGTGGGAAAGTTAGGAATATTTTTTTAAAGAAATATATACTAAGAAACCTTTATTGATTAAGTGGTAGTTAAGTTCAGATCTCTCTCCCTCTATATATATATTTAGAATCTCAAAACAAGGCCTTTAAGTTGGCAGTTTAACTAGATTTTTTTAGAAATATAAGTTTAAAATTATATATACGTTTTATATATAAATTTATATAAATTAAAACAAGTAAAATAAAATAATAAAATCATGTAAAATCAACTGGAAAAAATATCGGGTTTTTTGTTTATTGCACAAAAACAATTTTATTTCATTAAAATAAATACACTTTTATGTGTTGCATAAGTTCAAATTTATTACTTGGCAAACTAGAAAATATATATTTCTCTCTAATATATAAACTAAATTTGATGAAAAGTCACTATATAAAACCAAACTTAAATGTTAGAATAAGTCTATATTTGATTTATTATTGAATATCAATATAATACGAAAAAAATAAAAATTAAGACACATTTTCGATTGTTTCGATTTTATCGATATATTAGATAACAAAAAAAAAAAAAATATAAATTAAATACAACAAATTATCGATATATTAGCGGACCAAAAAAAAAAATTTTATAAATAAAATACAACATATTTTGATATTTTTTAAAACGTAAAAATAAGAAAATTTGAACTACATTCATTTAGTTGAAAGCTTTTGTTTTAACTGAAATTATACACATTATTTATTAAAATATTGATTCAATCAGTTTGATATTTAATTCACCATCCATTTGAACCATCATTTTTCTTGCAGTGTCCATCATAGACACTGAGGCATTGAAGGGGACAACAATGCCGACAGCCATCCGTAAAGGAGGAGGAGGAAAAGGAGCTGGAGGAGCTGAAGCCATAACCAGACCACTTGCTCATCCCTACGCCGGATGAGGGAAGCGTCAAACGGAAACGAAAGCAATTGACTGAGTTGAGTGACAGGACCAGGTCCACCTCGGCACCCCCAGAGTCCCTCCACCCACTCCGCCCGCTGATTAACATTAACTGATTTAAGGTGAACGACTAACCTGAATATGCCGCAGCAGCAGCAGCGGCTCCTCTGACTGCGACAACTCCAGGTGGCAACTTCAGGCGTAAGTGGAGCGGAAGCGGATTACGGATTACGGATTACGGGTAACGGATTACGGACCACAGGTAACGGATTACGGAATACGGAATGCGGCAAAACAAACGAAATGAGCAAAGCACAATCCCAGCAATTAATTTTTGAATATGGAGAAAGTCAACCATTTTTGAACTTTTAATTATCCACAAAAAAAAACCAATAAAGGTAACTGCTGACAGAAGAGTCATTGAAAATGGGAAGCAATTTATTTTACTGAAAAATATGGAAAAAGTCAAATTTCATTGCCAATAATCGGAAATGGTAAAAGAAAAACGGTAAATATTTACCCGACATCGGCAGGAATCAATCATTCAATGGCTGGTCAACCATACTTTTTAATAAATGGTTTTTAAATGAGTCTGTGAGATTGTTTTTTTCCCCCTCTCCCCTCCGAAATGAAAACAATGACACTGAATATATTTGTTTTTGATGTGAAATATGAATGCATTTTGATATTTTATTGTGAGCATTGAGCATTACACATCTATAACATCAGCATTTTGGAGTCAGCATTTTGTAAAAAATGTTTCATTACCATTGTTTTAAACTAATAAAAAAATGGAATCATTGTAAATATCGGATTATGGAGGAAATGGGTCTATGGTCATACTTTAGATCGAGTGGCTCAATAAGAAAGAGAAGTCGAAGCAGAGAAGTACTTGCAATTTTAATCTTCAATTATATTGTTCATCGGAAAAGTTTAACATAAGTTTGTTAGCTATCTTTGGCAGTCACTTAAAAGTTTAAAAGAGTTTAAGTGTATTAATTTCAATGCATTAATTTAATGCAAACATAAGTGGATACAGTGTCGAATGCTAAAAAGCGGCGGGTAAGTACAGTCACATGCAAACACACATGTGTATGTATTAAGCGGAAAACCTTTTCTTGCGTTTCTGCACAGTAAAAAAAATATATAAATATATACATAAGTATATATGTACATACTTGAACCAAAAATCTAGCTCCCAAACCATGCTCCTAATAATTTTCATAATAATTGCATTCGTCGAACTAGCAAGACCATTAAAGAATTTCCTCCAAATGAATTCCATCAGAATGAATTCTTTGCAAGTTTTAATTTTTTTGTCTCGCCAAAAAAATACTTGTGTTTGTGGTATTGGTGCAGTCATATGTATGTATGTATGTACATACAGCGACGCGTCGAACGCTAAAAAGCTGCGAGGAAGTACAGTTACATACGAACACACATGTTTATGGATAAGGTGGCAACCCTTTTCTTGCATTCCTGCACAACCGAAAACATATACATATGTACATATATATATACATATATCTGCAGTCTTTCCTAACATTTACATATATATTTAAGACATTTTTTATTTTAGAAACCAAAGCGTAAAAAACTCGTAACTTAGCTTTCCTCTAGTTTTGGTATTTATTTATTTAAGTTGCTTTGTTAACATTTTTGTTATTTTATACTTAACCTTAAAACTTAAATCTTGCCATCTAGTCAGCCTTGAACTTCTTGTATCAGACCGAAAGTCTAGCTCCCAAACCATGATCCTAATAATTTTGATTATAATTCCATGGAGCCAAGGTGTGCCCATTTATGGTTTATAGAATCGGAAATGACTCCTTCACAGTGCTATAAACTTAAGATTAAAATTATTATACCCTATATATTTATATATAGGATGACCAGATAGAAGACTCACCGCCAACGATCATGAGAGCATCTTCCGAGGACATCGCTGAGACACAGCCTTTGAAGAACAAAGTTTTCACCTCGTCCGACTCCTTGGGGTGCTCCGTCAAGAAGTGCAAGATGTGCTCCCCAACAAGACACGGCCAAGAACCACTTTCGGTTTTCAGGCATTGCATGTACCATGCATTTCAACCAAAATTTCAAAAAAAAACTCAAAGGTGGGTTTATATTAATTGTAATACTTATATATATATGGTATATAGAGTGGGAAATGACTCCTTCACAGTGCCATAATCTTCTGATTAAAATTATACCATATATATTTCCATATAGGATGAGATAGAAGACTCTCCGCCAACGGTCTTGAGAGCATCTTCCAAGGACATCAGTGGGACATATTTCGCCTCGTCCGACTCCTTGAGGTGCTCCACAACAAGACACGGACAAGAACCGATTTCGATGACGATGACGGCCATGACTCTTTAATACTTCAAGGAGAGGAACTGAAGACCAAAGAAGTTGTGCTTTTCAAGTCGAAAATAATCGTGACCTGGTCCATGTTGATTGGCGGACGAGAAACCTGGCTCTTGATGACTCGCAACCATCCCCACCAATGTATCCCTACGGATTGCCATCAAGTCTCTTTTGTGGTAATCATCGCTGGTGGGGACCACACCAAGCAGATTTGGGGGCATTCAGTAAGGAAACGTTGGTGGGGGTGGGTGGGAGTCATCAAGAACCGAGTTTTACGTCCATTACGTACAGGTTCACTGTTATTCGCGACTTGAAGAGTATAGCCGCTTTGATTTCCGGACCTTTTTCTTTATATTTCTGTTAAATTTTACTTTAAATCATGGCAAATATCTGATCCGAATTATAATACCTTTTTGGAAATAAAATTATATGACATAGGCATGTTTGTGCTTTGTATAAATATAACAAAAATCAAATAAGCGTGACTATATAAAACGTGTTATTAAAGGCTTATGTTATGGTATATATATATATTTATATTATATTTAAATTTTTTTTGTTCCATTTGGATGTGTGCCAACCCCGTGTGGTCACGTGACCAGGAGACTGGGTTAAAAATAAACCAAGGGTCGCCCCTCTGGAGTATCGTGTACATATATATGTGTGTGTATACACACAAAGGTACACCACTAAGCAGGTACTAAGACACAGACCAGTGCACAAAGCACAAACGAGGCTTTGAAGTCTCGCCTAGTTAATTAACGCGGTGGCCCGCCTAAATATGCAACACTTTTCGTGCTTAGCCTGGAACAAACTTGCTTGCATCAGACACAACTGCTGGGCGATCACTATAATTAAAGTTTCCAGCTACAAAAATGCTTTAAAAATTATTTATTTATGCCACCCACATGGAAACCAAGCGCTGCGGCATGAGCGGCGAACAAAGTTAAAGCGGAGCCAGAGGATGGACACCACAGAATTTGAATATATAAATAACGTGATGAGTCCTCCAAATACACAGGGAAAAAGGATGTCTATTTTTAAGTAGTGATAATGGGGAAAAAATATATCTATATTAAACTTAATTTTGCGAAAAACTTAAAAAGAAATAATGTAAGAAAAAATAATGAACAGAAAGAAAGAAATATTCATATAAAAATATTTCAAAAAGATATAAAGAAAAATTATATGACAATTTATGAATAAAGAACAATATCACAAAAATATATATAAATAAATTCGGAATGACTTTAAATTAATTCATATTTATATATTAATTAGTTCATATTTTAAACAAATTTAAGGCATTTCTTAGCTCAAGTCCTATAAATTGAATATTATCGATTTTTTACTTAAGAATATCGAGTTGTAAATTAGTCTTTCCATGAAATTTCAATAAAATATGAATATATAAATGTTTTGTATTTCAACTATCACAGAAATGTTAATTTTATATTGTAATGTTTTATATTTTAATATATTAAATATTTGTATATTTTTAAATCGTTCATTTACTTGGAGTTGGTAGACACATTCTTTACAACTTTCACAAGATTATTATTTTTCTAAAATCTTGTGACTTTGTTTTCTTGTTGTGTGCACAAAAAAACCGCATAAAATATATATTTAAAAGAGTCGTTACGCTAACTTTTTGGGAATTTGAGCATTACGAACATGCAGTCCTTGCATTTTGACCACAAAGTTTGGACCCCAGATCTGTAACTTATTATATACATTAACTGCCAAAGAAACTGGGTTGTAACTATGTACTATATATTTCAAAATTATAAAAATTATATTATAAATTACCTAAAAAGACTGAAACTTACCAGAGAAATTACCTTGGAAATATCTAAAAAATCAAATTCAAGTTTCTGCCAAATAAATTTAGGTATATTTTATTTCATGTCCAGTCTACTTTATTTTAAACTATGCTCAAAGGTACGAAATACATTGAACTATTGGTTTTTTGATTTGGTTTTTTATTTTTCTCTTTCTTATGTTTCTGTTCTATTGTAGCTTTTTTGTATATCTTTTGTTTATGGAAATTTCTGTTGTGTATCTGTAATTTTGTAATATAACCTTTAACTTACATGAGGCAAGCGTTGGGATCGATAACAATACAATGCGATGCAATTTTTTGGGAGGGGAAATGAAACCAAATTTTGTTTTGAAATATATGTGAAAAATGTTTGAAATGAAACCTCCATGGGTTATTTTTTTATATGGAGCATATTTTAACCACAATTTAGAATTTAATTATCTCTCCGCTGGCTCCCCTTTTATGAAGTCATAGTTTGTTTATTTGGTTTTGGTTATTTAATACCTAGCTAAACATTTAATTACTCAACAAAATTAATTAATTGGTAGGGCTTTTTCATATTTTCACTCCACTTTCATTTGCATATCCACTTCCTTTTATTTCACTCAACAGCACACTCAGAGATACAAAAGCAACAATGGTATAATAAAATATACAATTTCAAAACATTGTCAGGTTTCCACTCACATTTCAACAAACTTTTTCTATCAGAGTCAGAAGTCTCTCTTTTTTGCATATTGCTACATTTTTGTATATCATACTTTTAGGCAAACTGAAAAATAAAATTAAATAAATCAATTTACAGGTTTTGTAAAATGATTAAAGGTGTTAACGATTTCACATGGCGGGAGGGAGGTGATATTGTATATGTTTAATGATTTACTATATTGGTTATATCGGTGTATTTTTGTTTTCTCTTTTTTTTTGTGGGACGATGTGTGGAATGTTGTTCTCTTGAATTCTTCTGAATTAGCGGGTTTAGCCACAAACATATCTTGTTCTGTTTGGTTTTCTTGTATACAATATATTCATGCACAAGTTGTACACTCAACGATTTTGTATTAGTTTCTTCTTTTCTAAATATCTCTCTTAATCTCTTAACATTAGGGTAATAAAAAATACATTTTTCTCCATTTAATTCCGTTGTTGTTCTGCGCTGTCAATCATCTAACCCACAGTTATAGCGTAATACAATTTGCAACTAGATTAAATTTAATTTATATATATATATATAGTTTGTATATATTATTCATTCTCTGATTTTGGGGTATTCTTCTCTCTGTGGCTTATAGAAATAAATACATAAAAAATATATAATTTGGTAATTCATATAAAACTAAATCTTTTAAGACTTTACCTATAAATGAGCAAAAATTTCTCTGAACAAAATCGAGAACGAAATATATAATCAGTGCTGTCACATTGTAATTTTAATTTTAATTAACTTATTTTCCTAATATATATTTTTAATGCCAAATTACAGAAGATTTTACTTATTTAATTTCTACCAATTTATTAAATTCCTAATACACTCAAATGCAATACTGTAAATTTCCCTATATATGTATATAAAAAAGGAAATACAATTAAAAGAAATAATTTTAAACTATAAAAGAGAGATATAGAGAGAGGAATACCCGTATTTAAATTGTCAAGTTTCTATATAGATTTGTATATATAAATAATTCTGTATAACGAATCATGGCTTTGGGTTTCCTCAGATCCTTTTTTTTTGTTTTCTGGGACTTCCAGCGTATGGCCTAAAATATACATCTAATAATACTCAAAACACACAAGTCTAAACAATTCGTCGTCGATCCCTTTCAAACGGCCGTCTCATGATCAGTTTCATCAATCCTTCCAAGGCGCCAGGAGTTCGGATCCCCAGCTAAAATATATATAAAAGAAATAAAAAGAAAAGAGAAAATATATATTAAAGGATCTTCAGTTATATATTTCAATCTAAACAATTTTAGGGCAGTTTTCAAGGAAGATAAAAAATATCAATATTTCAATTCAATGGAAAACGGCGACAAAATTTGATTTAAAATGAATATATATTTTTATCCATATTATTTTGTTTTTTCTTTAATTGCTCTTTAACATTTATTCAAGAATGTGGAATTAACACCGTAGAACGCATGCACAAATCTAAAAGCTTTTTTTGCAACAAAACTAGGCATGGTCACACTACACAAATTGTAACACAGACTTCAGAGAGAGATAGATAGTTTTACAGAGAAAGAGACAGATACACACACGACTAACATAAGTACATACTCTGCTATGCGGCTTATGGTTTGCAAACCCTGGTCCTATGACTTTTAAATTAAAAAGTACCACAAATATTTAACAAACAAGGGACAACAAGAGCCATTACATATTTCTTTAATATTTTTTTTTTAAATATAATATTAAATTTATGTAAAGATGACTTCCGGATAAACAAACCAAAACAAAATACATAAGGAATTAATAAATTTATTATATATATACTTTAAAATGTCCATTTATTTTATGCTAATTTTACTGACTTTCATTTGTTTTATTAAAAATAAATTTAATATTAAAAGACTTTAAGACTCTGTTAAAACTTTAATCACCAGATTCGTTAGGCTTACGGATTTTCTACCCTCCTTAAATTTATTTGAGCTTTAAAAAAATTACAGTGCTGTCATTTGTGCTGTTAAATATTACATATCCTTCTTTTTCGAGCAAATAGCTACCAGGAACTTTAACTATGTAACTATATTTATAAGTGGTTCTTTAAAAAATACTAAAGTAATATTATTTTCTTAAAGATTTTAAATTTAAATTCCGAATTTACTCTTCCTTACATTTTAAATATTTTTCTACAAGTTTATCCCTACATTTCATCAAAGACATAATAATATTCATTTGGCGTTACGCATCTTTGTTGTTATATGACCTTTACTTTAAGTTTTATAATAACTAATCAATAGATTGATATAAAAACTCCTATAAAGCAATCAGTCTGATAGTTTCATTTTAAATATTCACCTCAGAAGCTATATACATATATCCTTTTTATTGGATTTATTAACTTACCGCAATCGTAGTACTTCGATATCCTGGGCAGTGCTGTTTTTGGATGTTGTTGTTGTTGTTGGTTTTGGATTGTTGGTGTTGGTTGTAGTTTTGTTGTAGTTGTTGATTAACGTTTATGATGCGATTTTTTGGTTTGGAACGTTTACGTTAGACATACAACAAAATTATAGTCACCGAAAAAATAGAAATCAAATACATAAATTTTATCACAAATTAAACACATACATACATATAATTTGTAGAACGTAGAATATATAGAAGGTGGTAGAGAGGGGGGCGGGGCGGATTCAGTGTGTGAAATCAGACACATATAGTAATGTACATACATATATGTATGAATGTGACACATAAATCACTGAACTTTAACTTCCATTTTGGTTACAAATTAAAGTAAATTCCATAAATTAAGTCAATTAAAATTTAGCTAGACTCTAGTATATACTATAAATTTTGATTAAAATTTTTGAAATTTGCTTGATATATTGATTTTAGGAAAAGGAAGAAAAACTTCTTTCTTTTTGTTCATTTACACTGACTAATAATTTTTATTGCATACTTATGAGCACCTTCCTTGGGGTTGTAAGAACTTTCTGTGAAATCCTTTGCTCCTTCGAATATATATTAATTCTATGCACCAAAAACAAAAATATCTTCTTGAAATTTGTACAGATTATAGACAATTTAAACAGATTTCCCAGTAAGTTTCCAAGTAAGACTGACTTTTCTCTATATATTGTTTATTCCTAGAAAATTTTCCTTAGCTTTTATAGCACCAAATAAAAATGTTTTAGATATATATTAATATTATTATTGTCGGCTGCACTTTGTGTGTAAATTTATAGACATGCTTTATTATTTTGTTTGCTTTCAACGCGATAGTTTACAAAGACACTCCCTTACACTGCACAAAAACGTATACCCAGACAATTAACACGCGGCAAACAATTAAAAAAACACACATATATATTTACGTACAAATATATTACATTTTGTTATTGTTTTTGTTTTTCCCAGAGCGGCGGCAAAACCAAATAATTGCGAATTAAAATAAAAAACAAATCAATACCATTTGCGACAAAATAATGCTAATAATGATGTCAAATTGGCTGAGCGCGCGTGCCTTTGATATATATGTATATATATATAGTCTGACTCCCGATATTGACACCCGATCGATTCTCATTGGGATTATCTCAAATACTTCATATCCATATAACATACATACTCGTATGCGTGTGTTTTTTTATTAGCTTTCGTTTTTGGCTTGTTTACATTCACATTGATTTCGTTTCGTTTCATTACACATTGGATATTGGTTAAAGGGGGTTATGTACATAAGATATATGTATAGATTTAATGTGCTATTGGTCATATATGTCATATATATATAAATATATATATGTTTATTTGTATGTACAGAGACTTAGGCTATGCTATTGCTTACATTATGCCAATAATTATTCGATATTAATTCTAATTAGTTTTCACGCTTTATGTTAGCTCAATTCGTATGCAAATTAAAATCAGCAAAAAGGAAACAAAAAAAAAATATTAATGCATAAAATGAAAGAACAATAAATTAATGTGTTAAAGTCAAAATAATAAATGTAGGTATTTTTGTGTGCCAGCACAGTAAATTTCCATTACTCCAAAAAAGGTTCCTGATTTCTAAATTGAAACTTTTCCAGTTAAGAAACAAAATCAAAGACTCTATAATAACAAGATGAATAACACCATATTATATTTTATTTGTAAACAAATTTTGTATGGAAAAAGGTGAGAATTATGCATCTTGTTATTATAAAATCTTTGTCAAAAGATCAATAATATATAAACATTTAAAGACAGCAGTTGAAAAGAAATCTAATTTATTTACAAAAGTTTGAGTTGATCTATTTGTGAAAAAACTGATAATTACATCTTTATACTATTTTTTTAATTTCATTAACTTCTGTCACAGAAATATTAATATTTACCAGAAAATTCTAATGTACAAATGCCATCTCTTCATGGATATTGATATAATTTAATTTGATCTTGCTAAATGCTGATTTATATTCAAGATCTCAGCTTTAAATTGTCTAATAATCGATTAATTTAAAGTCCAAAACCTTGGTTCGAGCTGTCTAATCGAGAAAAGCCCACTCAAACTATAACTATAATTCGTGAGCAATCAAGTGTCTTGTTTAACTACAAACTCAATGCACACAGCCATGATAAGTCAAGAAAACTGTTTGAACTGAACATAAATTGAAAACTTCAATAACTGGTTTTAGACTGTAACTAATAATGATTGCTTTTTGCTAAGGATTTGCTTTTTTTTTGTTTTTGTTTTCTTTCTTTCTTTTTGAGTACATTTCCGCTGCGATGGAAATTTTATGCTGAACAATTGCTGGTGTGATGACGAGGAGTGTGTGTGTGTGTGTTTGTTTAACAATAAGCTAAAAAGTTTACATAAAAAATCATTGAATCTGTTTTGGGTTGTACAAAGATTGGCTATTAGAATGATTAGATGGATTATTATTCGTTTGATTAGTGTCTGTGCTATATAGTTGCTATGCTACGTAAGTATGAAATGACTTTATAGATCTAAATGACCTAATATTCCATTGGCACATTTTATTAAACACACTTTTAGTAGATTGGAACGACATGTGAATGGTACAAAAACCATATTTGTTATCTGTTTTTGCAATTATTTTAAACAATCAATTGGAAACAACTGTAATATATCGAAACGGATGGTGTTCGTTTTTTATAGAATACAAATATATTGAAATTGGTAATTTTATAATTACAGAATCAATATTTGCGACGGAAATAGATAAATAAAATAATAGTTTAACATTGTGAACTAAAGGAAATCAATTGATATTTACTATATGACTATATAGACTATATGAATACAAAAGAAAATAAAGCCATAAAAACATTGATATTTTATCTTTAACATTTACTTTTTCAATATTTAAAATTTCATAATATGTATAAAATTTTCGAGGTTATGAAATAAAATAATAATTACGATAAAAATATCACCATTTCAACATTCAGTACGATACATTTCGAAAAATACAATTGTAATCTTTTCGATATACATCCCTACTCTGTGTGGAATCGCTCTAACATAATACTAATTTTTTTTCATATTTCTTTAGAATTTACAAGGATAAAAGAATCTGTACATTTAGTAGAATGTTAAAAAAAAAAAGAAATGTGCCAATGGAATCGAAGGCAGCTCTTTCGGTAATCGGTGATTGTGGCCTTTTGTTGCTGATGTTCGCGGTGATTGATGATTGATTGTTAGAGTTGGGATTGGATTGAAGGTTCGATGACTGACTGAGGAGGCTCCGTGTGTTTGCGTGCGTGGGTGCGCGTGCAATAGATTTATTATCTTATTTTTTTTCTGGTTTCAATTTTTTATTTGTTTTGTTTTTCTCGGCATGTATTCGTATTTATTGCATAATATTTTTCAAATTGCACTTTGCTCGATGTTGTTGGCGCTTGTTGTTGCTTCTGGTTGTTGTGGTTCTAGTTGTTGCAGTAGTTGTTGTTGTTTGTACGTGCGACCAAGTAAAGGAACATGCTCTTCTAAAATTAGAGTTTTTGTTTTTCGTTTTTTTTTTTTTTTTGCGTAGAAAAAAGGTAAACAGAACAGAAAAAATATAAACGAAAAATCACAAAATGCACATAACATAAAAGTATCGCAATGTAAAATTAAGATATAGTATATATGTATTCTATATAATTAAAACTATAATACAGGGTTAAGTGAGAAGGGGGATTAGGTTTTTTTTTTTTTGGCCATGCAAAAAGCCCCGTTAAAAGCAAAAAGCTTGCGTGCACACACAGAGAGAGAGAGAGAGTTGGAGGGAGGGGGGAAGAGCAGCGACAGAAAGACATTGAAACTGCAGTTGAAAAGAAAGAAACCCCAAAAAGAAAAGGAAAAACACATCTAGAAATATTTGGATACACAGCAGCGGTCACAACGCTAGTATAAATATTTAATAATAATTTAAAAGATGACCATTTTTGAACAGGTTTTTCGATTCACAGTATTTAGAAAACTCTGTAAACTTTAATGCATAGGTTTTAATTTAATATCTGAAAGCGACAAATATGTATCTGCATTTTCTTTAAAAAATTAAATCTTTTCCCTGAAAGTAATACAAATCCAGTCGGAAAATATATAATTCAAGAAAGTAACATTAAATTTGAAAATTTGCCTATTACATAAATGAATACTTGGAAAGAACTAAGTTAAACTTTGTTAGTTGCTTTACTGTTTATATATATATATTTAGCATATATTTGTAATATATATTTTATTTATTTATCAATATATTATCTTAAAATTTTATTAATATTTTTTTTAACAAGTTTTTCTTCATATTGTGAATTGAAAACATGTTCGGAAATGTGTTAAAGTCGTGGTTTTTAATTAATCAGTGGTACTATATTGTGTGCCGCAGCTGTAGTAGCTTAGGTTAAGGAAAGGGGTAATTTTAAGAGAGTGAGAAAGAGAGAGATAAGAGAGAAGCACTCACCCTGGAGCTGCCGATTGATCAGGGCCGTCAGTCCATGGCCCACATCCACACTCTTTTTGAGTATCAACATGGGCTTGTCCTCAGCATCCTCTGCATAACCACCCGATGGCAGGAAGCCATTGCTGGCTATCGACTCGCTCACCTAGGATTAGAATTAGAAAATATATTTAAATTTCCTCCATTTATTTTGAAAACATATATATTAATAAATAAAATAAGTCACTTGAGTGTTAAAATCTTGAATCAGTAAGTATCTTTCAAAGCTAAGTTACTATGAAAAGATCATAGTTACTGGATCAGTAATTAACAATGATCAGAATCTGTAAACTTTAAGTTACTATGATCAGTAAATATCAATGAACATTAAGTAACTATGAGTAGTAAGTAACTATGATCAGGAAGTATCTATGACCAGAAAGTACCTATCACCAGTAAGTATGTATGATCAGTTACTGACTTTGAACACTAATAAACAATGACTTGCAACTTTTGTAACACAACACATATCTGATACTGGGCTGGCAGTAGACACTTCGTTCCGGGGATGTTAGAACCAGTTGGGAATCATATGCACAAGTGTGCGAGAACAAATTTAAGCTATTTAAATGAAACTATGGAGTGTTTCTTCTTTATAATTTTACTAGTATATATGTCGGAGCAGGGCAAATCGGTGGACTATATATATATATATACATATATATAGTAGCTGCCATAGGAACGATCGGAAAATTTTAAGAAAAAACATAACTTTTCCGATTTTTAACAGATTTTCATCAAATTTTATATATAGCCATTATATATTAATCAAAAATGTTGTGTAAAGTTTTATGAAAATCAACCGACTACATCATATAGTTTTTCTTGATTTTATATGACATTGAGCTGTATAATTTTGTATATATATCACATTGAACATTTCCTATTGATACTGATATCTTCAACCATTAATCAACCCTTACCTGGGTGACCTGCATGAGTTTCTTGACCACATCACGGCCTAAGATGTGATCAAAGACGGTCTGCAGAAAGGGCTCGGCCATAATTGACAGTTTGAGCTTATCGCGGTGCCAGATCAACACCCGCGACTCCTCCATCGCCATAATGGAGACCTGTTGTTTGTAAGAAAAAAAAGTAAATCATGAGTTATCAAAATGCTTCAAAAGTGCTGACCGCCTCACCCACCTGAAAGTAGTCGTCGGTGGAGACGCCAAACCATTCCGGCGAGTCTAGGAACTGATGGGGAAACACAATGTGCAGGGCTCTCTGATGCTGTGACACCACCAATCTGCGGGGGAAAAAGAGTAACGAATGCATTTTGATTAATTTCTTTTAAAAGGGAATGAGTCAACTGAGTTAAAATGACTCTTCAAACACACTCACTTGCCGCTCAGCACCAGCGACAGGCTGTCGACCTTGGTGACCTTCTCCTGGGCATAAACCTCCTGGTACTTTAGAGCACGTATCACCTTCATGCAGTTGAGCACCTTTTTGAACTGATGGCGGGTCACGTGCAGCGGCTGGAAAAGCGCCAGGTAAACCTGAAAATGTAGAAACCACACACATAGATCAGAAATAATCTCAATAAAAACTAGTAATCAAAATTAATCTGTCAATTTAATGATAAAGATTTCAATACACATACTATATATTTTTCCAATTAATACTATATACATTTTAACTGATAATAGAGTATTCTCGCTTGTCTTTTTGAAAACCATATCCAACAATTCCCGAGATTGATTTACATTAACAGTCCGTAAAATAAATTGGCTTAGTCATTTTACGTTTTTTGTTCCCGTTGCGTTCACATAAATCGTCAAGTTTATATGACCATAATTTACTGTCTTTTGTAATAAACAAAACCAATTTGCAATTCGATATGGAGTGGAAACTCCCTAGACTTTTTTGTGTCTACCACTTGAGAGAATCTCTGTTGTCAACGATCGGTAAAAAAAATACAAATTGAAATCAAACAAGCAAACAATAATCGGTTGGAGCATGCAAATAAATAAATATTATCGCTGAACGCGAGTGCTAACTGTTTTGCATTGCATCAAGTACAACAACCCATAATCGTGCCCCCTTTTCCCACTGCTCTATTTACCTGCTATTAACTTATGGCGTACACTGAGCGAAAAATATATATACTTATTGAAGTAAAAAGTAAAATATTAAGGACAAACAAAGTCCCAGTATTACAACAATTTAATGGTTGCCTACGAAGTGCAGAAAATATCAATATATCGATAAAATATCGAATTTTGACAGGAAAGTCGATATAAGTAGAAATCGATATTTTAGCCTAGCCATTTTTCAGCGATAAATTTATATTGCTATATCAAAACAATGTAATCAAAAACTCAGAGAAATAAATTAATTATAAAACACTTTTCAGATATTTAAGAGTAAAATCTATATTTAAACGATAAATGTGATATTTTTCTATATTTAATAATTACATAAATCATACTTTACGAAATATTTAATGGAATATTTTTCGATACATTTTATACCGCTAAAATTTAATCGATATACATGGCTTTATAGTCTCAATAAAATAACAGCTAACTGATAAAATATTTAACATAATTGTTCTATAACTTTTAATATTTAAATAGTTTTACTAAAAAATCTCTGATATATATATTAGTATATTGTAATATTTTTTTAAATAATTTCTTTTGTCTATATATTTTTTTTCTTGTGTATATATTTTCATGTAGTAGAGTTGCCGTGGTGGTGGATGAGCTTGAGACCAACAGAGGCCAGCTAGATTGGGCCCACCAGCGATCACATGTCCAAAATGTAAGACTCGTGGTGGCAACAACAGCGTCACATTGCTGTTGCTATGCAAAAATATTATACGATTTGCTGACGCAGCCGTTAAGACAGACCCCCCTTGGCCCAGCCCCTCCCCCTCCCCCGTTTAGACTCAAAAACCCAATCAGCCCCCACCTTCCACATACACACACACGCCGCTGGGGGTAGCAACCATGGGAGGCGATCGCATTGCGGCGAGCTACTTGAAACGTTGGCAACTTTCAACTGTTTGTTCACTACTCATAATTTGGGGTATATTAGACTATTTACTTCATTAAAATAAATATTATAAAACCCTATGTTAAATATATCAAATCAAAATGTTTTAATTGGGTAAAGAAATGCATGTAAAATGTATTTAAAGAACTATTCAAAGTCTCTAAGACACAATTTTGTAGTATAGTACTATAAAATATAGTAGTATTTAAAATCTGTAGCAGCTTCCGTTTAAATATAATTCCTATAAACTCTTAGAGATTTAAATTCATTTAAAATAAAGTCCTAAAACTATAATACAAATAATCCTATCATCTTAATATCTCTGCAAAAAAATTCCCAAAAACAACTCCAACTCCACACCAACTCCAATGCAAAATTGTATAGCATACTTTTTGATGCAAGTCTTCGAGAGTTCAAAAAAGCCCTTTTAAATTTCTGTAATATACATATATATTTTATATCCTATAAAAATTACACTAATAAAGTTTTAATATATATTTTGAATTTCAGTAGTATATTTATTCTATATCCTCTAAAAAAATACTCTTATATTGTTATTATAAATAAACAAACATATAAAAAAAAGTAAGTGACAGGCACCAATTAAATTAAAAACACTACAAAATTAGTAATGCCTCAGTCAGAGTCTCCCTATCTCCTGATTGTAGTTTTATTTTTGTCTGTTTTTTTTTTATTTTTGTGAGGCAGTGGCAACGGCAACGACAAGCAATAACATTAAACATTAACGAGCATGGCAAAATAAATAAATAACATAATCAAAAGTTTAGCACGGGGCATACGCTGGGCAGGGGGAAGGGGGGGCTTTCATACAAATTGTGATCCGGGGCAGGTTTTTGGTGGCGGATTCAGTGAATCCAGCGGATCGTTTTGCGATTTGCAACAGTCGCCGCCGGTCGCCGGCCGCCAGTCGCCGCCAGTTGGTCGTCGGACATTGCCGCAAATGTCCGAGTCACGTAGGCCAGAGCTAAAGCCAAGCTCAGAGAGCCACAAAATACAAAGCAGCAGAAAAAAAAAGTACTAAAATAAAAAATATCACAAAAAAAAAAAAATAATAAAAATCCACAGCAACAGTGAGAGGAGAAGAGCCGCAGAAGGCGGAATCCAGGGGCAAAGCTAGTCCCAGATACAAATGCAGAGGGAAAAATAAAGAGCATCTTAAGCTTAAACAAATAGATGAATTAACAATAAAACAAGAAGAGAAACTAACTTTGAAAAGACGAAGATTTAACAGTTTAATATTGAATTAGAGGATTGTATCGGAAATCGATCATAACTAAGCATAAAACATTCGCATTCGAATCGATAATTATCGATATTTTTATATGACAATTTATTCGAAAAATTAAAGTTTAAAAAACTCATAGTTTCCGCAAAAAAATACATCTGCATACTCTATTTTAAATTTTAAAGAAATTAAATTTTTTTTACAATTTTTGACAATTTTAACGATGTAACCCCTTATAAAATGTTTAAAAAAATTAAAATTTTTTATTTTTGTCAGAGATGTCTATGTTGACTCGGCTTGTAATGCTGATCAAGAATATATATAATTTATAGGGTCGGAAATGTATCCTTCACAGTGTTTCACAAGCTTTTGACTAAAATATCTTTTGGATTTAATTCACATAAAATTTAATTAGTGGTATTTTTGTTCAGTGTACTGCAGATACGGCAGATTACCAGCCTCTTGATGATACTGAACTGGTGTGTGGACGGGAACTTGGCTGGGAACTGGAAACTGGGAGAGCCGGGCCACTCGGAACGGGGATGAGGATGAGCTTGGGGTCGTTATTCCTATGCTGTGGGAAACAAAAGCGCGGATTCCATTGAGTTCGCTCGCAATTTGCAAATTGAAATCAATGAAAGCGAACACGAATTCCAACAGCAAAAATAAAACACACTAAATATTACAACTCAACATAAAGCCGAAACTAAGCTGAAACAATTTACAAGCGATCGTTGGTCAGAGATAATGCTACTCAACTTTGGATCAAATCGGATCAAATGATAAGAAATAAGGTCACATCTGTACATATGAGTAAAAAATATTGCATAAAAAAAGTATGCTAAAAAACTGGTATACTAAAACTGGTATATTCTTAAAACTTATCTAAAAAACTGATATACTAACTTTAAATAATTAAGGTGTGACTCTTGCTTGAATTATAATAACATAAATTATAATGTGTAAAATCTTAAAATTGATTAAATTAAAGGGAATATAAATCAATTTGAGAATTGTTATACTTAAAGGTAGAATAATTGTTATACTCAAAGGTATTATACTGTAAAAGAGTATAAAAGTCTTTACAAAAAGACACAAAATTCTGAAATTTAAACCTTTCATGTGAATTCTCTCTGTGCAGTCATAGTTGATATTACACTTGAAAGACTTAATAAATAATGACAGGGGAAAAGTCTTTGGTAAATTTGTATGAATTAATTTCTCCCTTATCTGCTCGGCATGTCAACAATTATTTATAAGAAGAGTTCAATTAACCGCAAGGAATTCTTCTGGAGCAACCCAGAGGAAAGATTTGAGGCTCATAAAGCTCAACACTAATTACTTCCTTATTCGATCGATGGAGTAGATCATTCTTCAATCGATCAATGAAGTTACTCTTTCTTCAATCGATCAATGAAGTTACTCTTTCTTCAATCGATCAATGAAGTTGCTCTTTCTTCAATCGATCAATGATGTGGCTCTTTTTTTACTCGATTGATGATGTAGCTCTTTCTTAATATTTCTTTATCTTTTAAATTTTTTTTCCGCTTCTGGTTAGCTCTTAACTGACCTGCCTAAATATACACTAAATGGAGAGATCATGGGAGAGGACAGACAGGTGGTAGATCGAAGAAGTGAGCAGCAAAGAGAGCCAATTGCAGTTTCTCTTTACTAAGAGAGCGATCGATAGCCCCCAGGTTTTCAGGCAGTCGGCAACAGTGCGATCGTTAAAAGATAATACAAAAAATAAATATGTACGTTAAGTCAATCGTGTGAAAACAATGGAGCTTGTAAACAATTCAACGCCCGTAAACAACCATCTGTTGTGATAACAGTAGCGCTCCCCTTTCACTCTCTTTACCTCTCTCTCTCTCTGTCTAACTTGATACTGTCTCTTATCATAATCAGAAGAGTTGTGCATGCAAGCTTTGACGCTCCGAAAATGAAACCATTTATGGTGAAATACCATTTGATCTATATTTCCAAAGAGTTTTTACTAGAAAAAAAAAGAGATTACTCATTTTTTTGTAATAGATATGATATTATTTAGCTTTACAACGTTACAATATATAAATTCTTATATATATTCTTCACTTTTCCAATTCTGAGTCATTCTAAGAATTTTGGAAGAAATGGGCCTATATCTATATCTTCCCTTATCACGTGGGCCAATATCTATTTGTATGCTTTTTCCTCATAGGGATTACATGGAGAATTCAGACAATGATTGAGTGAAGGCGTGTGGGTGGTTTTTGGGCAGGGAGGAGGTGTGTACCGGTGATGTGTGAAAAATATTTTCCGATCATAAGTATCTGTTGGACCAGAGCCATCACAACGTTGGACAACTGATGCCCGAATGCTGACGCAGACTTGGACACGCGGACCGTCTTTCATCAGAGTTCCTCAACAACAATTTTGTGGTGCGTCAAGGTGCCAAAAGAAAGCACCGCGAGGAGCGGGGGAGGGAAACCTCATCATCATATGACGCGAAAGCCGGCCGGGCACGTCCGCCGCATTTTGGGCAAATTAAATGAAATTCGCCACACCGATTGAAAAAAAAAAATAAATAAAATAACAGACTTGAAAAAAACCAAGCTAAAGCAAAGTCCAATAAATTGGGCCTTACTCATGAGAAACAGCATGTATCAATCTTTCCAACACTATTGTAAAAGTTACTACTCTATAGGAACAGAAGACAATATAAGTGCTTGTACATTGCAGGTTCAGCTTCCAAGATCACAATAATAAACGTAGTAGCTACTATTTTTTTTTTTAATTCTTGTGTTTCTGAGTGTAAAACGAAACGTTTTCTCGTTTCCCATTGCTTGTACATTGCAGGCAAATTAGAGCAACTACCACAGTTTAAGATTTTTTACCCTAATTCTTTCGGAATACTTTTTGATAATTCATAACATTTAAAATTCATTCATTATTTCTTATAAACATATCTGAAATTTCGTAAGAAACTAAACCTAATTGATTACCATTATCATTTATATATTTTTGAAAAAAAAAACATGTCTAGACTTCTGAAGAAATGTTGTACTTTATCTTTTTAATTGATGAGTGTAGTTTACTTTGTAACTTTCTTGCTTTTAATTTTTCTCTACCAAAAACTATCCCCCTGCTTATATATCGATCATTGCATTTGATCGATTGAGTGCCATTTCAAGATATTCAATTTTGAGATTCATTCATTAGTAGGTTTTTTTGTGTGTAGCCGCCGATGCCGATGATTATGGAACGTGTGCGACATAACAATAGGATTTTTCGGAACCGGCAAATCGGATAAGATATACATGGAGAGTGCCTTTCTATATACGATTCCACTGATGTTGTTTGGCTTTGCCCACAAAACTGCTCATTATCTAATTGCGGTTCGAAACCATTGCGTTCTGTTGGTGAATTTATTTGGCCGGACGTAGATCTCTCCGATCGAGACGACTTCGATCGGTTTTTTTGGGTAGCTCCCGCTTCCTATTTGTGCATACAAATGCCGGCATTAATTCCGATTTTGGATCCCCCTCCTGATTTTGTGGCCAGACATCGTGACATTGATCACTGCGATTTTCTTGGCCACTCATCGTGGCTCTCAAGAATCGCTCGGCGGATATATACATATATATATAGAATATGTATATCGCGCCTGTGATACTGGGGGTCCGGTGCGTCCACTGATTGTCCATGATTAAGCCTTATAGCTTAATCAATTTCGCTTTACTGCCTGACCTTTAATCAAACTAATCAGCTTGTTTATTCTATTTTTTTTTTGCCAGTCTAAAATTGCGTGTGCCTTTGCCTTCTTTTGCGCATTATTTGTGGGTAATCCACGATGATCTCTGGATCTGGCGATCAAAAGGTGGTCAGTTTCGGGACAGGACCTTGACCTGCAATCCTCGATGGACACGACTGGGTTTACTCAGTGGCTGATTCACATTGATTCAATCGTTCTTATCCTTATCGTTTGGGTTATTGTGAGAGATTTCAATTGAATTGTTCGAACTTTCATCAAACTCTTAGAGCTTGATTGCATTTATGGGAGTTAAAAATACAACAAAGTGTCTAGATATGTGACGATAATGGGAACGATTTTTGTGTAATGTTACATAAAAAAAAAACAAGATAAACTCCAAAAGTGTCTAGATCTAGGAATAAAATTGAACAAAAACAGTCTTTAGGCTCAAGAATCAGAGCTTTGAGTTTTAAATTTGAATACTTTATAATATTATAATTATAAATATTATTAAAATTAGCTCTAAAAGTGTATAGATCTACTCACAAAAATATTATTATCGCACAAAGGTCGTGCAGAGAAATCTACTGATTTTTAGACCTGAATATGGGGCACCACTGTTTTAGAGTGAATAATTTGAATAAATTTGAATAAATACATTTTAAATTAATTTTGAAATAATTCTTTAATAAAAAAATATTAATAAATGTTGAATGAAAATTTGAAATGAATTAAATTAAAATTTAAATTAGGTTTTAATGAAAATTAGAATACATTTTGAATAAAAATTTGAAAAATTTTAAAATTAAAATTTAAATAAAGTTTTAATGAAAATTTAAATAATTTTTGAATAAAAATTGTAATAAGTTTTGAATGAAAATTTAAACAAATTTTGAATACAAATTTGAATAAACTTTGAATGAAAATTTGAATAAAAATTTGAATAATTTTTGAATGAAAATACAAATCATTTTTGAATAAAAATTGTAATAAATTTTGAATGAAAATTTAAACAAATTTTGAATACAAATTTGAATAAAAATTTGAAAAATTTTTGAATACAAATTTGAAAAATTTTTGAATAAAAATTTGAAAAATTTTTGAATGAAAATTTAAATAATTTTTGAATGAAAATTGAAATAATTTGTAAAATCATTCTACATCTTCTACTGTCACTTGGGTTTATTACCCCCTAGGGGATACCAGACATGAGACATTTGGCAATATGTAATTGATATTTCCCAAACACCTTTTTTGCTTAAAGCGAAAACACAGATATAATTGCAATCAGAAAAGTTCTCAGAAGCAACGTCAGTTATCAAAAATCAAGAATACGTTAAAGTTAAGAAGTTGAGTCATTTGGAAAACAAGAATTGGTAGATCCGAAGATCGGGGATTGCTCCAAAGCGTTATGACGTCCGAGGTATTTACGCTTGTTTCTTTGCTGGCCGCAATTTTGTTGTAGGAAACTTAGCCACATAAATGTGTCGATGGAAAGTTTTCGAAAGAGAGAAGAAAGACCGGGACAGACAGAGAGAGAGAGAGAGAGAGAGGGAGAGAGAGAGTGGGGGAGGGAGAAAGGGAGGGCAACCGCCCGAAGGTTAGTCCGAAAACTATTCACATGTGGCGCCCATTTGTCAGGTGCTTATAAGGGGCGGTATAATGTCAAACGATCGCAGCGTGACAGCCCCCCCCCCCACCATTTAATTGAGGCGCTCTCTTACGTCGTTAGCATTGTTCCCTTTCAAGCTTGCAATTTAAGAGCACGAATGCAGCAGGTGCAGCCTCCCTCTCTTTGGCATTAAGCTGCACTTAATACCAATTGGAATTTGGAAAATATTGTAAAAAATGCAAAATTTCAGTAAAGTCCATGAAATAGGTTGCCATCTTGGCCCTTCGCCCCCCAAACCCCCACTAACACTTAAAGATAACACCCAGCTGATCCGAGTGCAAAAAATATGGAACATGCAGCGTGTGAAAGCCAAAGAGAGAGAGAGAGCGATAAGCAAAGAGACTACAAAAAAAAAAAGAGAAAGAGCATGGCAATCGATCAGGGGAGCACGCGAGCGGAAGCAGAGCTTTGGCGTTGACGAAGCGCAAGAACTGGCGTCGCGCCGCGCAGCGCTATAAAACCAAATGGCATCGCCGTCGACGTCCCATTCAAAATTCGCACACCTTAGCGCGCCGCGTCGTGGCCTCCCCAGCAAATAACCCCCAGACAATATTAACCCCAAGCCGAAACCCCAACAAAGCCCAGTCTCCACTTTAAACCGAGAAACGCGGAAAATACAAATCAAATTAGAAACGCAAGAAAAAAAAACCGCAAAAAAAAGCCCAAAAGTTAAGAAAACAACCCGAAAAAAGTTCCTCTAACACCGATTGATTTTTTTTTTTTTTGCTGTGCGAGCAAGACAAAGAAAAGAAAGAGAGTGTGTTCTCTAAAAAGAAAAAGTAATACAGAAAGAAGGAAGAAAGGAAACCAATGCAAAGATGTGCCACAATTCGGCCATTATGGAAAAAAACAACGACGAGCAGCAGATCGAACGGTACATGGCCTGCGGTATGCCCTCCAAGGCAGTGCGCAGCGTTAAGTATACGCTAAAGAAGCGCGAGAAGAAGCAGCAGCAGAAGAAGGAGGCGGAAGAGCAGCAACAACAGAGAAGCTTACAGCAACAACACTTACTGGAGGACCTCCAACTTAGCAGCAGCAGCGGCAGCGGCAGCGATGCAACCGCCAGCAGCGCCAGTGATAGCGAGGATAGCGGTGCCGATGTTGCGCCTGTGAACAAAACTGCTACCGTTTCGGAAGTAACCTTTAAGGAACAAATCACCGCTGACACTGCCGTCAAAAGGGGCAGTTTCAATAGCAATATTAACAGTGAACTTCTCAAATTCTGCCCGCACTACCGTAAAATGCAACAACAGCAAAAGCAACAACAGCAGCAACAGGAACAAATGATAATGAAAGAGCAGAAACAGAAAGAGGAAGCGGAGAGCGGTGAAATAACGGAACTCTCGGCAGCCGCTCTAAAAGCCCAACAGCAGCGAAAGCTTAGCTCCATGGAGCCCTCAATGGACGATGCTCTGGCCATTGGCACCCAGATGACCCGTCAGGTGTCCGAGCGTATCACCTGTCTGGTGGCCCAGCTGCAAGCCAGCCGTTTATACACGTAAGTTTCTAAATCAAAAACTATATAAACAAAATAAAATTCTAAACAATAAAACAAAGAAGGGAATAGAAAAAGGTATAAAATAGGTTAAAACAGCCGTATTATATATAAAGACCATATTTTAGAGGTCATTCATCATATAATAAGGTACCTTTAAAATGTTCCAAAAATAAAATATATCTATATAATATAGAAAGATCATATTTTGGTGCTTAAAATTTATATTTTAAGAACCATATATCATTTTTTATGTGAGAAACAACAATTTCTTTTTGACATAAAGTTAGATCGTAGCTAATTTCTTTCCAATAAATTAATTAGTAATAATATTAGTATTCCCAATAATACACATACATTTTCACTTTTAAAAAGTATTTAAATACTTGACAAATTTAATTATTTAAGCACATTAATAATATATAATGATTTCCGTTTAACATTCAGTGTAGACTTTGGCACGCGCCTCACGTGCTTACACAAAAATATGCGGGGAATGACAGGAAGCGTGGAGGCATTAATTCGATTAATTCGTTATCGTTTCTATATATTATTTTATTACAATATTTTCGAATTAAAATACACCCAAAAAATCAACAAAAGTAATCAATCTTTTGCTATATTTATTGTTCATAAAACTTTTCCTCAATCAATAACCTAGCCCCACAAAAATATAAAACAAAAATATATGTGTATTATAAAATCAGCGATAAAACGATAAATATTATCTACTTTTTGCGGTTCATTGGTCGCAAGAAAGAGATTCCCATAATTTTGTCATGTGACATAAGAAAAAAGCTATGAATGAAGGAGGAGGAAGGGTATTAGAACCTATTAGAAAATGCTTATCAGTTCGTTGTCACGGCGATGGATCATGCTGATCACACGCCCCTATTGTATATTATTGACTCTGTCAGCTGTTTTATTTACTCGTTGTCTAGACGCGAATGCCGTTATGCAAACAAAAAAGGAAGATAATTAATGCAGTTTGAAAAGAAACAGAGAATGGAAATGGAAAACGTTCAACAGGTAAACTAATCCACGCGTCACTAGCTGAACGGAAACAAAGTCATTAGATCAAAATGAAATTAAAATAGTATAATAGACAACACAGGAAATGATCAACAATGAACTATATAAAGTGATATCGTTTATGAGATCTTAATAATACTATTTTTGATCAGATCTATTTCATTGAATATCTTATCCCCTTCATCATCCTAAGATTATTAGCACTTAATTAATAATAACTGGAACTCGTGATATTCACAATATGGTTAATTTATACCTTGCTCTAAACAATTTAAAAAATGTGACAGCCATGGCACGGGCCAAAAAGTCTGGAATTGTAGGCTATAAAATATATAATTTATTGAGTTATTTATCCCTTAACATTACCTAACAAAACATCCCTCCCATTTTTGCAATGTGACTAATAGGGTTTTTAGCCAACTGGAAAAAAATTACTAATTATAATTCTATATATATTTAGAACATATAATTATATTATATTTATTTACCTTGACCGCAATGCCAAGCGATAAGTTAACCCCTTAAGTTCCTTATCTAATGATCAACGCAACGCGATGACGAAAAATCGCAAGTCAACAGAGTTTCCCTAAAGACGCCCTGAATCATCACAGGTGCTATTACCTGTTTGAATGGGGTTCCTAAAAAACGTCATTTGAAAAGGGTAAAGCTTTTAGGTTTTTAGGTCACAATTGCGGTCAAAATATTAGTGAAGTGTGTCTTGATTTTATAACAAATAAGACTGTTAAAAAAGAAAACATTTCATGGTTTTTAAATAACCAACTTACTATTTATTTATTTATTTGCAAATTATCTTTGTCTCGTCTTTTGTCTTACATAGTTTTACCAGCTGTACACGCTCGTCAGCTGATTTGTAAAAGTGCAAGTGCAAAATGTATATATGTATATATGCATACGAAGATTACGACTATGTATATATATATTTTCTATAGTTTCTGGCTTTAGTTCTGGTCTCCGCATTTAAGAGGGAGCACCGCTTGAAATATATACAATATTTGGTTGCATGCGTTTTCGCACGTACGCCACTTTGGCTTTGTATTTGCCGCATGACAAAAAAAAAATAAATAAAAAATGCAAAAAAGCAAGTGGCAAAAAAAAAAATAGAGAAACATAGAAAAATAGTGGCAAAGAGATATGCAAAAAACAAAAACCCGAAAGGAAGGCAGACAGACAGACGACGCAACAAATGCGTAGACACAATGTGCGAGAGGTTGAAAAAAAATATCGCAAGCCCAGTGGCGTAACCAAAGGGGGGCCTTTGAATTGTTTAAAACCCCTAAATATATCTACATATTTTCCGGATCCCGACTACGAATCTAATCAGCCGACTACGAGGGCCACGTGGCTACGTAATAATTCACGACAACTATATCTATCTGGAGTTTGGACTTATATATAACCCAATCGATGGTGCTACGATTACGTTTATAAATCCATTTCAATTCCGCTCCGATTATATGGTAGCCACTTGAGTCTGTTTGCACAGACTACTAGACAATTGACGACAATATCTGGGGCTTGTTATAAGATAGTTTAAAGTTCAGATTTATAGAGGTAGTTAAAAGTTATTCAGACTGTAAGATATATCTATGCATCTTATAGATGAAATTTATACAGGCAGTAGGGCATATTTTTAATTTTAAGATTTATATAGGCAGTTGGAATTTATAAGATATATCTTTCAGTTGAGATTCATACAGGCAGTAAGGTATATTTAAAAGTTTAAGATTTATATAGGAAGTACTATATATCATAGAATACTTTTACAAATTTCAGGGCTTTTAAATATTTATGCCTTATTTTAAATAAAACAATAAATAATTTGAAAGAAATTTCGGATTAGTAAGGATTATTATCAGGGTTTATACTAGTCAATACCAGAATTACTTATAATCTTTTGATTATTTTGAAAAAATTACTAAATTCGGTATCAAAATTGATTATTTCTTATAGAATTCTGACGCGTACAACACAACCAGCACACTTGATAGCCGTTGGCATATTGGCCTTTGTGCTAATGACTGTGGGACGCGATCTCATCGATCCAACGACAACCACTGTGACATCAACAACAACATCAACATCAGCAACAACAACAGAAGCAACATCAAGACCATCGACTATACCAGCAGCTTTGGTCTATCTTGGTGCCTTTGCCACCCACTTTGGATCCCAGATCTGGATGACATTTGTGTCTGGTAAGTTTTAACAAATAGTATTAAAAAAATAATCATGTTTAAATCAGTAATCCAAACCATATTACACTCAAGAGAACTTCATGTATCATAGGCAAGGCATACTTCATAAGACCCCAGGCTAAGGACAACATTTAAGATCGGAGTTAGACTTGAAAAGCTACTCTTAAATGTCACCAAAGTGTCACTAAGCGAAACATAAATCATCAGTGTGTGTCTCTTTTTGTTATTGTGATCCTCTCAAAATGATGTATTCTTCTGCAACAGCAGATCATCTTTCATTCATCAGTGATCATTGATCTTCAGTATAAAACTCTTGAAAGCGACGCTTTTCTAAACATAATCATAGTCAAGCCAAAAACTGTAACTACATCTTAAACGAGCTTTATAATTATAAATTAATTAATTACTTATCTATATATTTATGTGTTATCCCTTTTTGCAGGTCTCTCGCTATATTTCTCCCTGCCACGTCATGTATTCGGACAGTGCCAGCAAATATTATTCCCTCGCTACTTTGCCCTCAATGCAATGCTCAGTTTAACCATGTTGGTTGTCTATGCCAAATACTTTTTGAGCGGATGGACAACGGCGGCTGGCATTCAAATGGGATCCCATGCCTTGGCCACCGGCATTGAGGTGGTGGTGCGTCTGTATTTGGTGCCACCGATGTTGCAATTGATGCACGAGAAATACAGGATCGAGGATGCAATTGGAAGTGGCCAGGAGGTTGGCAGTTTGGTTCAGGGCGATCTTGTCGATTGCCCGCATTACCAACGCATTCATAAGGGATTCCGGCGTATTCACATGACCATTGCCATTGGCAATATGACCGTCATGCTGACAACGTGTCTGCAATTGTATTTTCTGGCATCGAAAATACATTTCAGCTAAGGCACTAAGGCTGAGCGGAGTGAAGAATTTATTAGAGAACCAGGGATGCCCAAAAAACACATATACCTAACTCTACGAATTTTGAAATCAATTGAGAATTAATTTGTTCAAATCGAAAAGAGGTTTCGCTGGGCATTCCTCATAGAATAAGTTAACATCATCATCACCATAAGCACATTAAATCACAATACCAACCGTATATTGCAATGTTCAGTGCTTTTCTCAAAAAAAAATAATGATAATATGCTTATTGAACAATTGATAATATATATAATATTACCCAAGCAAAAGAAGAAACGAAAAATGTTACATTTCAATATTTACATCATCTGCTACGATTTTCCAATCTGATTTCCTGTGATAAACTCAGCCCGCCTCCCACTCCCACTCCACAAAACTCTCAACCGCCAACCGCAGCAGCACATTTAGTCTATAGTCGATAGCCAATAATTTACACAGATTAATTAATTAATAGCTTAATTCATAATTAATTATATTGTTTTTTTTTATATAACTCAAAATCAGTACGTGTTTTTTCTGTTATTTATTAATTTATCGAAACTATGTATTTATGATATATTAGTGAATATATAATTTAAATTAGAACAACAAGAAACTTCAATGAAAACAAAAGCAAAACAAACAAAAAACAATACAAACAAATAAAAACACAGAAATTAAATCAATAAACAAAAACATATTAAAGCAAAGTCGAAATCTTTCGCTAAAATATAAATAATTGTTTTTTCTCCAAAGGGTTTCAACGGTTTTAAATAAATTTAAGCAGAAACTATTAACATTATAAACTTGTCTTCTAAAATAATTACTTTGAAATTGAAAAGATGAGATTAAGTTTTGATGTTGAGAAACATTTTAAAGATTTTAAATACTCTAAATAAGAACTTTTATAATCATATTATTAATTATATAGATATATCTGTTAAATAGATCTTATTGTCAATTCAGATCAGTTTTTCAATTATTTAATTATTGCTTTTATCGATATTAAGCACATAAATCTTTCGATTTATCTATCTTAATATATACGATATTTGTATATTCTCTATTTGATTAATCCTTATATCGATATTAAGAATATAAATCTTTCGATTTATCTTAATATATACGATATTTGTATATTCTCTATTTTTATCGATATTTTGACAGCTCTACTAGAAAATCAGGACTTTGTACACAACTGTACTTTAACAAGTAAGAAAGCTAAATTAAACTTTCTACATTAATGACATTAAAGATAAATGTATTTCTCATTATTGAGATTTTTTCAAGGCTCTCCATCTCTGGAACTTTATATATTATTGACTTAAAACATAAAAAACCATATGTTAATGTATCAAAAAAAATATTTAAATACCCCATATTTAAAATATTCAACGAATTCTGTAACAAAAATGAAACTTTCCACTTACCGCTTCAATTTCCTGCTCGAATCGAACCGGTCTCAGCCGGCAGAGCACCACGACCAGGTAGATAAAATTCACCGCCATTCCCATTCCTGACCAGAGGACCACATCCGGCGTACAGGCAACCAGATAGCCATGCATGCCCATCATCAAACAGCCAATGAGGAGCATCGTTCGCATCCATAGCGAACCGTAGGGACCATGCGGGGCCAGGAAGGCGAGAAAGAGGAAGGCCCAGCCGAGCTGAAAGTATAGATGATGCGGCTGCTGCCATCCGAGGCACTGTTCGATGGACCAATCGCCGGGATTGATGGAGCGCAGGGTGCCATTGTTGTCCCAGGTGATGGTGCCGCTGCTGGCGGCACTAGTGCCAGCCGTGCTCTGTGCAATAAGGGAACCGGCTCCTCCGGCCTCCGATCCACCTGCTGCTGCAGTGCCGCTGCCCGCTGCGGATCCAGAGCCCAGACCGATGCCCATGACGCTACTGCTGGCACTGCTGCCGGCGCTATTGATTAGGGCGCCCATGCCAACGCCGGCGGCACTGCTGCCCGCCGTGCTGGGCATTCCAGTGCTGCTCCTCCGCCTCCTCCTAGCACTCCTCCTGGCTTCCTTTCTCTCCTTGATTTCAGTCTGTCACTCTCCTTAAATTGTGGTCTTTGGGTTGGTTTTTTTGTTTTGTAAAAATCCAATCTCGATCACTCGTTATCCAATTGGTTGGTGTCTTCGCTTTAGCTTTCAATTTAAATAGTTAAAATTTTAAATTATTTAGGGTTAATATAATTTTTTAAAATTTTATAAAATCGAATTTAAGGTTTTAACTGATGTTTGCTTTACTTTAATATTATTTTAAATAAATTGTTAACACACCTTGAAAACAATAAGAAATCCAACCGTTTCGTGGTTTAGGTCAACACTAAGTAGAACACTTTAGCTTTGACTGGTGCCAGACCTCGCTAATTTGTAACTTGAAAAAGTTTTACTTGGGGATTTCCCTTGATAAATCGTTTTTTATATTGACAAATGCTGCCACTCCTCGGATAGTTAATAATAGAGTAAGGTTCCGATAATGATGATGATGCTGCTTCTGCTGCTGCTGCTGCTGCTGCCGTCTCCGCCGCATGTCACATTGTTGCATCGTTTAGGCAGCTGATGGATGAAAACAAAAATAAAACAAATTTATTGGTAACTTCGTGAGACAATTTTAGCCTTGGCAAATCAATAAATAATAATATAATCGATATTGCTGCAACCCTTTGGGAATTCACTCAGCTTGTGCAGCAATTCCCAGAGATCACATAATATATAATTACACATATGCACAAGTACAATGGAAAGAATTTTCAAGTCTAGGAATCTATATCAACAAAAAATAAGTCGATTTATTATATTGACCAATATAATATCAAAAACTTTGATATATCGAAAATATATTGAATTTAATATCACAAAATTTAATTAACCGTTTAAATATTGATATCGAAAAACATCTGAAAACTGTTATTTAATAAATTTTCTTCTCCGATTATATTGATTTGAAATATCAAAAGTATATCGATTAATGGCACATAAATAAATCGCAGCATTAAAATATCGATTTTAGTATTAAGTTTTTTCTGCCATTTTTAAAGCTACAAAAAATATAAGCATACAAATATCCCTGGTTTCCCCTGGCCTTCAGTTTGTATTTCCAGTTTCAAGAAATTTTGCAATAAATCATCCAAAAATCCACACAATAAGGATTCCAACAGAATAACCAAAATTTGGTCAAAACTCTCCAGAGAATATATGTATCTATTGTATATACAAAATAAAGCAGACTTGTGTGTGTGAGAAAAGTTCAAAAGGTTTCTTTAGCTGACTTTCAAAAGATTGGAAGTGGGAGAGCATATACAGTTGTAGTTAAAAATAAATAATCTAAACAGCAAAATGTAAAACAAAATATAAAAAAAAATTAATCAATAAGTAAAGGGAGAAATTATAAATAAAAAATATTTTAATAAATACTCTAATATATTAAACAAAATAATAATAAATAATAAAGCTTGCAAAAAAAAAAATTTTAAAACGTTAGAAAAATATTAATCTATATTTAGTTAATCCCAATGCGATCTATAATTTATTTTTAACTCAAACATAATCAGTTATTTATTTCAATTATTTATTAGTTATTTATTATTTATTATTATTTTGTTTTTTATATGATATACCTTGAATCTCAAAAGTGACACTAGATATTTTGTATTTAAAGGTAAAGCTATCATTATTGCTATTCTTTTGACCACATCTGCATGGTTCCCACTATACATATATATGAGTCGATATATATTCTATATTGGGGTTGGTCTGGAGAGTGTAGAACCAAAACATTTCCGGCCTGGACTGGTGGACAATAAAACAAAGGCAACGAGAAGGACAGATAGCGCAAAAAAGGAAGGCGAACACACACACACCAAGAGGGGACGACGACAAAGGGCATTCAAATAATCAATTTGATGTCACTAAGTTCGTGGTCTCAAATGCACTGAGAGAAAACTTTGACATCAAATTGGTATTTAAATATAATTTAATTTTCAGAAGACCAATAATATAAATAACCAAAATAATAAACGAGAGTGACATATTTTCTTCGAAATAAACATTCCTAGTCTATAAATTAAATGAGATTATGTCTAATATATTTTTAAAATTTTTGTAACTCTTTTTATTGCACGATTTTATGTCATTTTAAAATGATATATGCCCGGAAAAAATACATTATCCAAATGAGATTTATGCGGATTATGTAAATCGTTTAAGACCATATAATTAAAAGCTCATTAAATCAAATACTAAAATTACAAACTTCAAAAAGTCATAGTTTTTGAAAATAGTTATTAATGTATACATGTATCTATAAATTCTCATAACTAGCGCATATCTATCTTCTATAAACAAAACTCAAATAAATTATATAATGACTTCATAGCGTATTTTTAAATATTATTCTCTATGTATCGGACAACACTAGTATTTTTTTTCTCTGTGCATTTTCGGTATTGAAAGCGGTCAGCCAAGCGATGACTGACAGTCAGACGACGACAATGATGATGATGATGATGGTGATGTCGGTTGGAATGATGATGATGGTGATGTCGGTTGGAATGATGATTACTCAACACTTTGCATGGTGGCTGCAACAATGATGATAATAGTGATGATAGCGCCAAGTGACACACATCATCAGCAACACAAGCAAACAAAGAAAGCCAACACTTTCAAAAGAAATGAAAACAAAAGCAGCAGCAGCAACATTTAGTAACATTTGTGGTCTCGCACAAATGTTGAAGTAAAAACAACAAATAAAGGAAATAAGAATATTTTGAATCAAAATAAATCATAAAAATAAATTTCCTAAAATTCCACAAACTTCTAGACCGTGTCTATATCTTTATTAAAACCATTATTAATCAAAACCAGCTTTGACCCCTTCAAACACAAGTTTTACTGAACCATTTTTGATATACCTTTTAGGCAAATAAAAATAATATTTAGATGCTAATTTAATTTGTATACCCTACGCAAACTAGTTCCTCAGTTTTGAAGGTATCTCAGCGAAACTTTACAGTAAGTCTTCATATAGACTTACTTTAATTTGATTTAAAGCTATTTATCTATTATAAAATTTCATTTTTAGTTTTATGAAAATCAGAATACTATACAATATAATTACCAGAAAACGGTTGTTAATTGAAGAGAATCAGTAAGTATCTTTCAAGATTAAGTTATTAAGAGCAGTTATTAACTATGATCAGTAAGTATCTATGACAAGTAAGTAACTCTGAACATTAATTAACTTATGAGAAGTAAGTAACTCTGAACATTAAGTATCTATGACCAGCAAGTATGTATGATCATGTATTATGTATGATATGAACAGTTAGTATCTATGACTAGTATGTATGTATGATCACTTACTAACTTTGAACACTAATAAACAATGACTTGCAACTTTTGTAACACAACACATATCTGATAATGGCTTGGCAGCAGTCACTTCGTTTCGGGGATGTTAGAACAAGTTGGGAATCATATACTTTGATGTGCGCAAGTAAATCTGAACACTGAGTAACTATGACCAGTAAGTAACTCTGAACACTGAGTAACTATGGGCAGTAAGTAACTCTGATCAGTAAGTATCTATGAGCAGTAAGTAACTCTGATCAGTAAATATCTATGAACAGTCGGTAATTCTGATCAGTAATTAAGTATGGCCAGTAAGTATGTATGTTGATCACTTACTAACTTTGAACACGAATAAACAATGACTTGCAACTTTTGTAACACAACACATATCTGATACTGGCTTGGCAGCAGTCACTTCGTTTCGGGGATGTTAGAACAAGTTGGGAATCATATGCGCATACGTGCGAGATTTGTTTTGGAACAAAGAGCAAGCTATTTGAATGAAACTATGGAGCTATTCTTCTATATAATTTTACTAGTATATAGTTCGGAGCATGGCGAATCGGTGGACTATATATATACATATATATAGTAGCTGCCATAGGAACAATCAGAAATAATAGGAACAAAACTATAACTTTTTCAGTTTTCAACAGATTTTCTTCAAATTTAATATATAGCCAAAATGTATTAATCTAGAATTTTGTGTAGAATTTTATGAAAATCGAACTACTATATCATATAGCTGCCATACAAACGATCGTTAAAAATAGAGGAAAATAGAAAACTGTGAAAGTAACACTGTTTACTTTATTGTTTTTTAACATAAATATAAATATTTTATATTGCATTAATTCCTAGTGATCGAATGTTAGCCTGCAAGGGTATATATTAATAAAAGACTTTTTAAATAAATGAGTATAATATTAGTCTTTACAGCTCAAACTTCTGCAAGATAACTTTTAGATAAATTAACAAAATATACTGAGTCAAAGAATTAATCAATTAAGGAATTGATATACAAATTTTAAAGTAAACTACAAATATATATTTATCGTATTTATGATAAAGGGTAACCTCAACATCAATGCACCCACACACGCACACATTTTGTGGGCAGAGAAGATGAAGTCATCGTTTTGTTGCCTTGAAGAGAAAACAACAACAACAATAGCAACAAATAAAACAAAGTCCACACTAGCAGCGAAACAACAAAACAAACACAAACACAAAATAAATATATGTACAACTAAGCGCGACTTGGCTTAAAAGACCAAAAAAAGTGAAGACTAAAACCAAAATGGGAACAACTCGAGAAAAATGTAAAGAAAAAAATATATATACAAAAAAATGAACTTTAAAACAATAAAATAAAACAGAATGAATATTAAAAGGAGGGCAACATGGGAAATACAATGTGTAAGACAAGAAAACCATAAATCAGAGCTTAAAGAAATGCTAAATTATCATTATTAATTTATAGTTTTTATTAAACTCAGATAAGTTACAAAACATATTAAAAGCGTGTTATTGAACAGGGTTTCGAAAGTAATAAATATTAATAAACCATTAATAATCAATACAATTTTATTAATATTAATTTGTTTTTTTTATAATAAAAAAAACTCGAAAGTAAGGAGCAAACCTATAATCAATTTGATTTATTTCAGGTATATTTTTTGTATATCGTCAAAGTTAGTTTTCTTGTCTATTTAAAAATGTTGTTTAAGAAACTTTTCATATTATTTATAATTTTAATATTTTTAAAATTGTAAAAAAGTAAATCTTAAACTTCCTATTGTGAAAATGCCAGTAAGTTGATAAATGACTGAGGAAAAGATGGGTGGAGTGAAAAGACCAATGGGTAATGGATGAAAAGCGGGGCATGGATCAATGACCAATATAGTGACAATATAGGTAAAGAAATGGGAGGGGGAAAGGCGAAGGAGGTTAATGGTCAAAGCCTCCTCTCTCTTTCTCTTTGCCCTTTTTTTTTTTCTTTGCGGCGAGGTAATTTGCTATCGAAGTCATCGATTGATTGGTGTTTGCTTAAACGCAATCATCGTAAAATTATCGTGTGGGGGGGGGGTAAAAGTATCTAATGAGATATCGCAATAAGATATGATATATCCCTATTTGTTTGCATTTGCCTTCCAATTAGATGAGTCACAAAAGGGACTGTACAGGATCCTAATAGATTTTTCCTAAATAAGGGAAATGAAAGTATTTGAAAGTTTCATCTAAATTATATAAATAATTTTCTTGGAAACCAACTTGGCTAGATTTAAGCTACTGTTGATGCTGGTTAAAGATAAATACGTATACGTAATATTGTTAGAAATAACTCCTAACAACATTACGTATACGTATTTATTCTAACAATATTACGTATACGTATTTATTCTTAATCATGAATTGAATTGAATTAATTGAAATCTTCCTACTAAAATTATAAGGTATCACATTAAACCAGATTAAATAATAGTATTTATATATTTACAAATAATAATATTTATGGGGCATAGAGTATAGGGCATTTCTAGTTCGAAACGAAAGCTAGCAAATAAAATATAGCCCGCAGCGACTCATATCTTGGCCGATTCTAATCGGTATTTGGCCCGCAGACAAATTATGGTCGCTTGGGTCGTAATCCAATTGGAAACGGAACATATATGTACATATGTATACATTTATGTATGCCGCGGCAATTGGAAATGTCGATAGAAAAGGAAAAAGTGAAAATAGAGGCACCCTTTCATCAATTTTCCCCTAGCAACAAGTCATCAAGTTGTAAACATTGTAATAGTTTAATTACAAGAAATTAATTGGGGAAAAAAACAAAGTAAGAAAGCTAGAAACGAGAGTAGACGACTAGGGAATACCCGGTACTCAAAGTTAAATATGAAAATACAATATGTAAAACCCTTTAAGAACTCAAATTAGCCTTTTTAAATATTTTTTGTTTTGAAATAATTAAATTAAATGCCTTTCTAACATTATTTTTGAAGAAAAAAGGAATACAAATTATAAAAAGTATGTATTTACAAAAATAAAAAAGGATAAATACCCTACCGACCCCTTAGGGCGTTTCCAAGTTTGTATTTCTCTTTCCTAAAATAGCATTTTAACAATTATAAAATAATTTCGTAGCAGTTTTTAGACGGTGAAGCAAGTGGAGAGGCAACTTTTTCTCTCTCTCTCTCTCTGGTTTCTTGCCAATTTCCGTTTCCCACGCGTAAACAAAAACAACAAAAACCAGCAACAACAAAAAAATAATAATTATACCAATAACAATAAAGAGGCAAAAACACATGCCATATTCAATTTTTATATCTTTCTTATGCTCAAAAAACAAGGGAAAACAACAAAAGCAAGACAAGGGTTTGAAAAAATAACTAAGACAACGAAAAGAAACCAAATTACTTAATCACTCATTCACTTTGTAAATGGGTTGGGGAAAAAAAATGAATATCCATCGAAAATTGATGGATTGCCAGACAATCATGTTTTTTTTTATTTGCAGTATTTCGTATATTTTCCATTTGTAAGCCAAACATTAAATATTAAAATGTGTAAATATTAACTAGATAGGAAAACTATTCCAACACTTAGGAATGGTTTCTACTCTCAACTGTTAAAGTATCTGATAGTTATCTGATCGAAAAAGATAAATACCAGATACATTTCTGAAATGACCTTGACAATGAGTCTAGCTTAAGGATAGATAACCAAATTTTTGTATCATTAACTTTATCTGACTGCTAAAAAATTACCAACTAGACAACGGAAGAAACTTTCCAGTAAAATAATAAGTTATGTATCTTATCTAAATGCTTTTAAATAAAAATAGATATCAAATAGCAGAAGTTATTCAACTTTGTGTATGATAATAATGATTATTAACTAAGTTTATTTAGAGTATTTATCAACAAAAATTATTTATATTTCACTCTATCCTTTAGTACCTGATATTTCTTTGTGATTTTCCTACATTAATTAATTTCTCTCCATGGGATGCAAAAATTTTGCAATTGCTTTTTTGTTGCTGTTTGTCAACCGGCTGTTTGAAACTCGAATAAATAAATATCTATGATATGTATGTATTATGTACATTGTATGTACATACGTACATTATATTGCCTCAATCTCGCCTCTCTTTTGCTCTTTTAGGCAAACTAGCTTCCATAAATATACACGCACACACAAACATGTACTGAAAAGTTGCATGCCAGAAATGCTATGCAAATGCAAACACCCACACAGTCGCACACACACACATATGGGGGAGAGAAACAGCTGCAGGAGTTGGGGTTTGTTGCTGTTTTACTCTTTACCAACTCCATATCTCCCCTTCCCCAATCATCCATTTCTACTTCTGCTTCTTCTTCTTCTCCTTCTTGGACTTCTTTGATGCGTGCTGGCAACTGCAATCGCTGCCTCTGCCGACGCTGCCGCTGCCGCTGCCACCACCCGCACGCACACACACACATGCATCGTATACCACATTTTTTAGAGCGTTGATGTTCGATTTTTCACCGTTCTTGCACTCATACATATAAGTATGTATGTACGTATGTAACTTTAATGGTTATTATTTAATTAGTTTTGGCGCAACTTGAAAAATAAAGAGAGTCAGGCAGCAAAAACACAAACAAACAACGCCTTCGCCGCCAGTCTCCTATGTACATACATGTATTGTACATGTAAATACATATATGTATATGACACCGAAACACTTGAAAAAAAATTAATGATTTTAAAGATAATTCACATGCACACACACACACTTTCCCTTTCGTTGCTGTTGTACTTTATTTGTTAATGCCTTTAACACTCGAGTTTATTGTTTTTCTTAATGGGAAAAGCAAACTTTTATTTACCAGCAGAAGTCACTTGCATTTGTTCCGCGATCCGATTGCTTTTGTGGTCTCGTGTTGGGAAATATATATGTATGTAGCAGAATATATGCGGATGTTTGATATCAATAGTTAGTTTATGTTTTAGCCCGGCAATTAATCGGATACGAATGTCTTATTTGCCATATTCTTTTTCTTTTTGGCAGCGCAGCTCGGTTGAAAAAATAACAATGATAGTGAATTTTGCGGTGGCTTAAATAGAAATTTTGTTCGAATGCTCTCTGCACTCTGCTCCGGAGCTCCGCTCTCCCGCAAAACAGCCGTTTCTCTCGATTCGCTTTGCCCAGTGATGCCAGAGTTCTATCTTGAAAAAAGCTGTAACAAACAGCAGTAGGGGTTAGAGGTAAGCCTAAATAATTTCTATATATGTATTTACAGATTATTTATTGCATTAATAGCAGGAATAAAAATGTAAATAAATTATTATTATTAAATTACGTTTAGTTTGCAGTTGCATATCTTTTGTTTTAACAATATTTTGATTTGTCCCTTAGGGCTAGCTACTTTCTAGCTGCAATGTGACAGCACTCACTAGCCCTTTTTTGGCTCTCTTCTGCGTGGCCTCTCTTTCTCTCTCCTTTTTACAAATAACCTTTTTCAAAACGATAGACTTGCAAATAAAACCAGAGGATCAAATATCACAATAAACTATAAGAATAAATATCTAATATAGCTTACATTCATTTAAATCTAGTTTATGTCATCGCAGCGGCAATTGGGAGAGCGAGAGAGTTTGAGAGAGCTGAAGAGGGAGGCAAAGCGAAGCTTGAAAAGAGAGCGGAAAAACAGCTGGCAATGACAACAATAAGAGGATGAACAGCCGGTTTGGCTTAAATGTTTTAAATTAGTCACCCGACATAAGCTAGCCATAAGTTTACAATTAAGGGAATGTTAATATCAAAAGGATGATTCAACAAAAAACATGTTTTGGCAAAAACGGAAGAAAAAATCGTGCCAAGCTGTGAGCTGCCATTACGTTTACGATACTTATATCGATAGCTCGATACCGATAAAGTCTTCTCTGCCACGGCTTGCAAATTCTGTCGCGCATTATTTTTACCAATTTTTTTTTCGAATAATAGCAACAATAAACCTAGTGCAGTGATATATAAATCGAAATAGGCTTACGGAGCACCTATAAAACCAGAGACCGGTTAATTTGGTGACCTTGAATTGGAATAAACAACGCCGGAAACGCCGGCAGGCGAGAGAGAAAAAAAGACATGACGGTTGACGTGGGCGGCGTCGCCAGAGGCTTTCTCACATGGGAGAAGCAGGAGCATCTAGTTAAACTGGCCATACTCATTTTGGCGGCCGTTCTGTGTGAGTTAATATGCCATATTGGGAATTTTTATTAGTTATTGTTGTTAAAAAACAAAAAAAAACTAATGCGGTTCGTGAGTTTGTTCGATATCGATATTTTCTAAAAGAGGTGGTAGTTCGTACGAAAGGTCCATGTCTTCGCTAGACTTCAGCTGTTCCGATATAGTGAATACAGGCACCTTTTGAAGATATCGATATATCGATTGACTGTAATTTGCCACCACTAAAACCCAACTTCCTCTTTTTAATTTTTGACCGCATGCAGCATTCGCCACGCGCCTTTTTTCTGTCCTGCGATTCGAAAGTGTTATCCATGAGTTCGATCCGTACTTTAACTACCGCACCACTCGGTTCCTGGCCGAGCAGGGCTTCTACAAGTTCCACAATTGGTTCGATGACCGCGCGTGGTATCCCCTGGGCCGCATCATTGGCGGCACCATTTATCCCGGATTGATGGTAACCTCGGCGGCGCTCTACCGCCTCATGTGGCTGCTAAATGTGACTATTGATATACGGAATGTGTGCGTCTTCCTGGCGCCGTTCTTTTCGTCGCTTACCACATTGGTTACCTATGCTCTTACCAAGGAGATTCATGTAAGTTTTGGAGGTTAATTTTCACACGTGGTTTTTATACTTAACATGTTTTTCTCTTCTTTCTTTCAGAGCACTGGCGCTGGACTGGTGGCTGCGGCTCTCATCTCCATAGTTCCTGGTTATATATCCCGTTCGGTGGCTGGATCGTATGACAATGAGGGAATTGCCATCTTTTGCATGCTCTTCACCTACTATCTGTGGATCAAGGCCGTCAAGACGGGCACCATCTTTTGGTCAGCCATGGCGGCATTGGCTTACTTCTATATGGTCTCCTCATGGGGTGGCTATGTGTTCCTAATCAACCTCATACCCTTGCACGTGGTGGCTCTGATGATAACTGGCAGATTCTCGCATAGGATTTATATTGCCTATAGCACGCTGTATTGTGTGGGCACAATCCTGTCCATGCAGATCTCTTTTGTGGGATTCCAGCCCATCCAAAGCTCGGAGCATATGCTGGTAAGTGTGGTAACCATAGTGCCAACGAGAGATTGACCTTTAGTGATCATTTTATGATGAATACTTTATTATATTCTTGATAGGAAGAGTATGAAACATAATGAGTACGAACAACCAAGCTGATTTGATCACTAAAAGTAGTTTATTATAAATAATCCTTGAATTATTTATATACATTATTAATTTTTGTTAACTAATTCTTTCTTTTTAGGCTTTGGGTGTCTTTGGTCTTTGCCAGATTCACGCCTTTGTGGACTATCTGCGCTCTCGCATACCCAAAGAGCACTTTGATCTGCTCTTCAAGACCTTGATGTCCAGTCTGCTGACTGTGGTGCTTGTTGTCGGCACTCTGCTGACCATAACCGGCAAGGTATCCCCTTGGACGGGACGATTTTATTCACTGCTGGATCCTTCTTATGCCAAGAATCATATTCCAATTATTGCCTCTGTGTCGGAACATCAGCCCACATCGTGGTCATCATTTTACTTTGATCTTCAGGTTAGTTTTTATAGTTTTCTTTTTGTAATTGTAAACAGCCAAAAGATGAAAACTTTATAACGATGCGAATGAGTGTTGCGTCTTAATGCACTTGAATGATTACCTTGCACTTTGATCGCTGAGGCAGTGTCTGTAAACTATTTGATGTTATTTTAAATTAAGTAATATTAATTATAATATATTTTATCCTTTGCAGATCTTGGTATTTCTCTTTCCCGCTGGCCTCTACTTTTGCTTCTCCAAGCTAACCGATTCGAATATATTCATTATATTGTATGGCGTCACAAGTATTTACTTCGCTGGCGTTATGGTGCGTCTCATGCTGGTTCTTGCTCCCGTGATGTGCGTTTTATCTGGAATTGCCGTATCACATCTGCTGGCCAAATATATCAAGAGTGTGGATGCCGGCAGTTCGTCGTCCAAGCATGGCGGAGTGGAGAGCAAGCGGCAGCACAAGAAGATGGAGCAGCAGACGGGCGGTGTGAAGAGCGAGGTGGCCATTGGTTTTGTGGGCATTATAACGCTGATGCTTATAGTTTATACCCTGCACTGCACGTGGGTCACCTCGGAGGCTTACTCCTCGCCCAGCATTGTGCTGAGCGCACGATCGCATGACGGCGGTCGGATTATCTTTGATGATTTCCGTGAGGCCTACTACTGGCTGCAGATGAATACACCGGAAGTGAGTCTACATTTTCTACTTACTATATATTAATTAATTTCCTCACTTGCCTAAAATGATGACTACTTGTATAAATTCTTGATAGGAAGAGTATGAAACATAATGAGTACTAAACAAACTAGCTGACAAGGAAATTAAATAATAATTACTTTTCTCTTAAGAACTTTATAACTAAACTCTATGTTTTACCTTTATTTCCGCAGGACGCTCGCATCATGTCTTGGTGGGATTATGGCTATCAAATAACAGCCATGGCCAATCGTACCATATTGGTGGATAATAATACTTGGAATAATACGCACATTTCGCGTGTGGGCCAAGCCATGGCCTCGTCGGAGGAGAAGGCCTATGAGATAATGCGTGAACTGGATGTGGATTATGTCTTGGTTATCTTTGGCGGTTTGACTGGCTACTCATCCGATGATATTAACAAGTTCCTGTGGATGGTACGCATTGGTGGGAGCACAGATCGTGGCGCACACATACGTGAAAAGGATTACTATGCTGCGAATGGAGAGTTCCGTGTGGACAAGGAGGGTTCGCCAACGCTCCTCAATTGTCTGATGTACAAGATGTGCTATTATCGCTTTGGCCAGATGTACACGGAGGGTGGCAAGGCCCAGGGCTATGATCGGGTGCGTGCAGCGGAAATTGGCAATAAGGACTTTGAGCTTGATGTGCTGGAGGAGGCCTATACCACGGAGCATTGGCTGGTGCGCATCTACAAGGTCAAGGATCTGCCAAATCGAGGAGTCTGAAGAGGAATCAAGGAGTCGCAACAAACATTCCAGTGTGGCGCCATCTCTTTGAGAGCTGGAAGGAGAACATCAACGATTTTTTTCGATGTCACATCGATCTTCTATCTCTCTCCATTCTATGTTTGTACATTATAGTCCTATGTCTCTCTCCATCTCGCTCTGTATCTCTATTTATATCGAATCATTTGGCAATCTCTCTTGCTCCCTGAGTATTAATTGTTGCTACTTGTTGCACGCCTTTCGTTTTTTGTACCCTTTTTTTTTACTTTAAAATATTTCTCATCTGAAACAAGAACACAACACATGTAAGCAAATCGAACGAAAAATATATATAGATATGATAAAAGTGATCAATTTAAATAGATAATTGTTTCCATTTTGTGGGGGGTTTTGAAAGTAAGCATTTTAATTGAAATGTGAATTTATAAAATAATGCTTTAGGGTTTTAAATAACAGCTGAGTCATCTAACTAAGTAAAATATATGAACTTTGGCTTATAAAATAGTAAAATATAGAGTTCTCTATGTTTATACCCTTGTGGAGTATTATAATTTATTCAAAAGGTTGTTACTATGTGAAGGAATCATTTCTGACCCTATAAATCATATATATTCATGATCAGCATCATCAGTCGAATCGATCTAGCCATCTTTGGAGGAAAGAAAAAATTGAAAAATTTTTTCAAAATTCTATAAGGGGTTATATCGTTAAAAATTATGAAAAAAAATCGAAAAAATTAAAATTTGTTAAAAGTTTAAATTAAGTACGCAGATTTATTAACCTATTAAAAACTTACATGGGAACGCTTTCCGAATTGAAATTAATGCTTTTTTGGCTTAGTTATGAGATTTTTAAAGTTTGAGTTTTCGAAAAAATTGTCATACAAAAAAATTATTGATTTAAGGAACACGAAGCTTAATTATTTCCGTTTCGATTTAATTCAAAACTGCAAGTTCAGTGCTTACTTCTATCCCTCAAAAACACGCGTTAAGTTTTTTTTTTATTTATAAAAGGATATTTTTATTATCAAATATAAAAATGCATGCCGGTTTCGTTTTTAACGTTATAATAACCAATTTCGACTGGTTCATATTTCAACTTTCTTTCAGATTTTAACTTATAGTTTATATATCCAAAATAGTTAAAAAATGGACAGTGGAATTAGGCTATATAAGTTAATAGTGCTTAGGTTTATGGTCGGTAGGTTTATAGGATAGGTTCTAACTCCATAAAGCTAATTTCTATTAACGTTTTAGTGGCCACCGCCATTTGTGGTGGTGCCATTTGACTTGGAATTCTGATTTCCAGCGTCTGTGATGAAGGCTGTGACGTCCAGCTTGTTGGCCAAGGCCTTAACCTCCTCCTTGCCTGAAGCATTCTTGCCCACAATCAACACAGTGGGATCTAGTTCAAGAACGCGGGCCAGCTTGCCAATAATCTCGGATTCATTCAAACGGATCACACGCCTATTAAGTGCCTTTATTACAGGATCAGATGGCTGGCGGTTCATGCTCACAATCTGAGTGATCAACGTCTCCTGGCTAACCACGCCCAAAATGGAACTATTAAAAAAATAAGAGAGAAAGTGAGTTAGTTATTTTAGTTTTAGTTTAACCAATTAACCCTTACCCATCCTCTTCATCTACCATGGGCAGATGGTCCACGCGGTGCTGCTTCATCAGGGCCACAGTCTCTCCCACAGTGGCGTTCGACTTAAGAACCACTGGCACTGCTGGAAGCTTTAGTTTCTGAATCGCTAGATTCCACCACCAGTGACCATGCTCGTTAACCGACTCCTTGAAGCCACGTGCCTCCATCCAATTGTCCGAAACGAACTTGGTCATATAGTTGCGAATGCCATCGGGCAGAATGACCACACAACGTTGGCCCTTCTTCAGTTTGCGAGCATTCTGGAGGGCAGCGTGCATTGCACCGCCGCTGGAGCCGCCGCACAAGAGTCCCTCCTCGGCATTCAGACGCCTGCTCATGGGGAAGCAATCGGAATCGGTGATTTTGGTCCACGAATCAACCACAGTTTCATCATAGACGGTGGGTGGAAAGTCATAGCCAATGCCCTCGACTTCATAGAATGTCACATCGCTCTTGTTAATCTCAAAGGGACGGGCCAAGACGGAACCAAAGGGATCCACGCCAACGATTTGACAGTTTGGAGCCTGCTCCTTGATTTTTCTACCAATGCCGCTTATGGTGCCCGCCGTTCCGGCCGAGACCACAATCATGTCCACCTGATTGTCCAATTGCCACAGGATCTCAGCAGCAGTGCCATCATAGTGGGCCAACGGATTGCCCGCATTCCGATACTGATCGAGGACAATCGAATTGGGTGTTTCCCTCTGCAGCCGCTGGGCCACATAGATCAGACCTTCGGGTGAATCGTAGGCAGCCTCCGTTGGTGTACGAATTATCGTAGCTCCAAGAGCACGAAGTGCAGATACCTTCTCATTGGACATCTTCTCTGGCATCACAATGATGCACTTGTAACCCTTGACGGCACAGGCCATTGCCAGTCCGATGCCTGTATTTCCTGAAGTTGGTTCGATAATCGTGAATCCTGGCTTCAGAAGACCCTTCTCCTCGGCATCCTGGACCATACGATAGCCGATGCGATCCTTGACCGAACCACCGGGATTCAGGAACTCGCATTTGGCATCTGTCAGAGGAAATCGGAAAGTTATTATGGATACACCTCAGTTGGGATTTATTTATACAAACTTACACATCTCGCACTCTATGCCCTCAGCGGCGGGAATATGATTAAGTTTAATCAGTGGAGTGCATCCAATCACCTCCAGGATGTCCGGTGTGATCTTCTGACGGTGAGCAATGCCTCGCTGCGTATGGGGTGACTTTTCGGTGGTTCCCAAATGCCATTTGCATTTCGATGGCATTCCGGGATCGATGTAATCGGCGGGCCTTTCGTATGGCTTTGGCTGTGGCATCTCTGTGGGAAAAGGATACATTATAAGGATGTATATAAATGATATGATATTTAGACTAAGAGACTCATCACATTCAGTATAAGATTTATCAAAGTTATATATCGACTTTCGTCTCATATATCGGTACAGCATAGATAAATTAAAAATATCTGCCATCTTGAATACTTAAGGTAAGCTTTTAAATCAGCGAAATACAATTTTGCAACTAAGTTTTTAATTAACATGTAATTTTTACAACATTATAAGAATTCAGATATTACAAAACGTCAATTTAAATAAAAGAAAAAATAATTTGATTTCCTTGTTTTTCCATTAATAATATTCGAAAAACATTTGAATTTTGTTATCTGTTTATTTCACAATATTCGAATCGCCAGATGGTGCAGTTAGACCTCAAACCTTATCGCTTTAGATTTTGGAATAGGAATAAAAGTATGACTTGGAATCGGAATTGAAATAGATTTTTTTGTTGTCTCATTGTGTGCTTGGTGATATTTTTATATAGCCCGAGATTATTATTTGATCGAAAGCGAAAAGGTCGAGCATGCTTTTGAAACGATGACGTGCAAAAGGGGATTGGAAAAAAACGAGCTTCTAAATTCCCAAGATAATAGGGATTGTAAAATTGATTTTTTTAGAATCATAAATAATTAGTAATTTATACTGCTCCGTTTGTGGCCATAAGAGAAATTGATAAAGCCCTGTGACGTGTTTATTTGATTATTATAAATCCCAAGGTCTTTCCTTATCAAAACCAATTGGGGGAAAGTTCAAAAATGGTGAGATCAGCAAAAAAAAGTGATTATGTAATTAATACTGGGGAAATTTCTAAGTTCCTTATTGTAGATTGATATATTTATATATTGGATTGATCTAGAAACTAAACCCTCACAAAGTTGGTCAATAAACCTGTATATGTTATACTTCAGATACTTCCTTATCGACACCTATTGGGGAAAAGCTCAAAAATTGTGAAATCAGCAAAAGTATGTGATTATGCAATTAATTCTGGAGGAAATTTCCAAGTTCCTGATTGTAGTCCAGTGGAATTATTTTGTTTTCTTTTATAAGTATAATTGATACTTTGTTTATCTTTTGAACCCTCTCAAAGTTGGCCAATAAACGGTAGTTGCCTGTATATATTACATATATATATATATTTACTGCTTTAGATAAGGTGTTCCCAGGTGGCACTGATTGATAGCAATCGACACGCCACTTGAAGCAGACCAAATAAGGGAACCTATATACACACACTCTTTTTTTAGTACCTGTTACTTTTATAATGTGCCATAAATTGGGTTCCTAAGGTAGGTCGGAAACATTAAAAGGGTTGCCTGATATTAAAAGCTTATTTTTCATTAATTAGTTTATTTAAGTGTCACATTTTCATATGACGTAACAAAATTAAACCTTTTTTAAGGCTATGGAAAAATATTGATCTTTGAGACCAAAAAGAACAAGGGATCGGAGTTATGCAATACTTTATATAACCATTTTAAACCTATAAATCATATATATTCTTGATCAACATCAACAGCTTTATATATTCAGTCATTTCCGGTAATATTTTCTAAACTGTATAAAGGGTTACACCATTTAAATTGTAAATAATTAAAAAAAACAAAAATAATAATCATTTTTAAGTATTAAAGTTCATAATCTGATTATTTGAACTAATAAAAACTAACACAATAAAGCTTTGCGAATGGAAATTTTGATTTATTTGGCTTAGTTATATTTGAAGACCTTTGATCTGACCAAAATATTATCATATTAAAATATATAATATATATATAAGTATTATATATAAAATTATCAATTTAATGGATTTATGTTAATTCCTATAATGCATGTTCTTAGCCAAAAACCAAATAATATAATCACCATAAAAATTCTAATTAATAAAAATAAATATTTGTAAACCAAAAACCTATATTTATATTTTTCCTACGTTTTTTTTTAAATTGTAGAAGAGTTGCATAAGTCAAAAATAAAACATCACATGTTGGTTTTTAAACCTAATAAAAACCAACAAAGAAGAGCTTTAAATGTAATATTTTAAATTACATTTTTAAATTTAAATTAATGCATTTTTGTCTTAGTTATTATTGATTTTACAATTGAACACGGCAAGGGTATAAAAAATTCAGCTTTCACAAGTCTTATTTGAGACTTTAACTTAAGAATTAAAGTTAAGATACTATTGAAACAAGTTAAGTTAACGATCTTCCAACATTAAAATATATGTAAATCTATTAGTTCTATTTTTTCTGTTTTATTATAACGTTTTCGTGTTCTCTTTGTTTTTCTATCATTTCTTTGAATTTACTTTCTTCACCAAAGAGACCGGATAAAGAGTAAAATGGGAAAGTGGAGTGGAGTGAGTGGGAGAGGAGTGGAGTTGCACAGATAGAATTCCAACTGGATTTTTACTGCTCTCTCTCTCAAGCATGTTTATATGTTCTCCTTCCGTTTCAACGGCACATGTTTACACACACACACGGAAAAGTATTTATATTCACATGCAAATAACGAAATAGAAAAACAACGCGCAGCTAAAAACGAAAACAACAAAAGAAAGGCCAAGCACATGTGTTTTTTAGCCCCCTATTTTCACACACACGTATTTAGTTATTTAAGTACGCAAATGAGCCGGTAGGCATTTAAACGCATTTAATAATAAAGCCTTAACTGCCACAAGCTTGGCCTAAAAGGAACACAGGATTAACGTACTTTTTGAGCAGTTTCTATTATGTTTAAATAAACTAATCACTTTTGAAAGCCGCAGTTAAACGAATACTTACTGCTTAAATGTGATGTCTTTTTGAATAAAACTAAAAAACCGCAGCGAAGTAAGCTTGTTGAAAATATATCAAAATTTCAACTTGTATCGATATTTTAACATCGATATTATTATTTTTTGTACACAAAAAATATCATCGATATGATACGATACGATACGTAAATATACATTAACGGACTTTACATGGTTTATCTCATTTACCACTTGAAATAGCTTTTAGTACAAAGAAAATGGTCAATCAACATTCCGTAATCCAAAAATAGTTTAAAAAATAATAAAAACAAAATTAAAGAATAACAGCTGCTTAGGTATCTGCTAGGGATGATAGTTCCGTCCCGATAGCACATCGATAGGCAGGAAGCGCGCCATATAAATTTGAAATTCAGCGCGCTCAACATCTATATTTGAATTAATTTAAATAGAACAACACGAATTCTTGATAGCTGTTTTTGTTTTAAGTTTATTGATGACATATTTCGTGGTGGAATTGCGAAACAGTCTGAATGAAAATAAATAAGGATACCGAAATATCCTAATAATTGAATATATCCGAATCCGACATGACCTGTTTGGTTTATACTCCAGTGACTCAACCTTGGCTGTAGCTGTTCTCCTCCCAAGGGACTTTGTTTTCTATTTCTGGAGATGAATCGGGGGTCAGTTGAATATGTGATTCTAGTGTTGAGATCATGGGTCTTCTGGGTTAGTTGTTCGTGCTGCTTGATCATCCGGGCTTCTCCATCAGGTTAATCTTCTTCTGAAGATTCTTCCATGTCCAAAAGCCCCATTCGGTGCTCATCATGTGCCGTCTTTCTCTTTTCTTTGCGAGCCGCGAGCCCATCTAAGCTCGATTTCTTCATAACTTCGGCACTAGACCTGGGACTGGGATCCATATTAAGAAGATTACGAGGCTGTGCAGAAGACGTCGATGGTAATTGTAATGAGACATCCGACTCGACGGCTGAGGGGGATCTGTTGACACTCATAGCTTGTAATGCTGAGATTTCATCCTCCAGCTTGCCGATCTTCTCCTCCAGATTGCAATGCTTCTCCTCGTAATTGCGTTTGTCCTCGAGAAGACTGGAAATGGTGGCGGCCATGCCCTCCCTCTCCGTTACCATATAGGTCTCCTTGGATTTCTAAATATATTAAATTGTACTTAATCTAAATAACAATAATATTATATTAAATATTACCAAAGAGTTTTGTAGATATTCGATCTGTTCCATTAACTTCCGGGATTCTACGTTTGCTGTTTCAGCAACTAACTTTTCATTATTTAAGGCTTCTCGCAATGACTCAGATTCAATATCTTTGGCTTTAAGCTTTGCCAAGAGGTCAGCATTACGTCTATTCTCTAGATTCAAGGAGGTGATGTCTTTCTGCATCAATTTCTTTTCCTCTAGAAGACTGGAAATGGTGGCGCCCATGCCCTCCTTGGATTTCTAAATGTACATATTTTACTTTAACGAAATTAGAATTATATTATTTTAAATATTACCAAAGAGTTTGTAGATATTCGATCTGTTCCATGAACTTTTCTATGAGTTCAGCATTACGTTTTTTCTCTAGATTCAAGGAGCTGATATTTGCCTCCATCGTCTTTTTCTCTTCGACGAGACTGGAAATGTTGGCGGCCATGCCCTCCCTCTCCGTTAGCATATAGGTCTCCCTGGATTTCTAAATATACAAATTTTTTTTAAAATTATTATCAATAATCTTAATGAACTTACTAGCTCAGTGCGTAGGTTGTCACACTCCTTGGACAGTTCCCCCATTCGATGGCGTTCAGATTCCATTTCCTCTCGCAGCTTCGCAAGTTCTTGATTGGCTTCGTCTTCTTTTGATTGATTTTGCAAAAGATTTCGGAGATTCCTCAGCTTCACCTTAAGCTTTCCGTTTTTAGTTTCCAGAATTTCCTTATCATCTTCCAAGTATTGCAACTTGAGCTGCAAGTCTTTTATGGAACCATTGAGATCTGCAATCACCTTTTCGAACTGTATACCATCTTGGGACATCTTATCCTCCGCTGCCTCTAGCTTCGTTATCATAGTATCCTTTAACTCCAGGGCTTGCATTAGATCTGAACGAAGTCTTATCATTACCTCATCACCACTGGAGATTTCCTGTTGAGCAGCAAGCAGTTCATACTGCAGGTTATCCACTTTTTCCTGCAGAGTGGAGGACACCCCCTTTGCCACCGAAAGGCATAACTTTAGCTCTTCGTTCTCCGATATCAGATCGTCAAGGCCAGATGTCTTTAGCTGAGCATTGTTTAGCTCTTTTTCCACCTTAAGCTCAAGCATTACCTTTTCCTCCCTCAGATTATTGGCTTCAGCATCCAGCTGGTTATACATTTGCTGGAGCTCTTGGATATGCGCCTTCATCATGGCAAGCTCATCCAAGCCCTTGTTACGCTCATCTTCGGCTTTTTGGATTTGAAGCTCCAAGTCCGCTCGGACCCTTTCCAATTCAATTGAGTGGGAATCATGCATCCGCTTCTTGCAATTGTCAAACTCAAGGAGATCTTCTATCTCTTTATCCTGGTATTTTGCGATCTCTTCCTGGTGCTGGGCCTTTAAGTCTTCTTTTTCTTCCACTATTTTACGAAAGGTGTCTTTATAGCGCAATACATCTTCCTGACACCGATCAGTAAATGTAGAGAGCTCTTTTCCGTAACGAAGTAACTTGTTTTTGTCTTCCAGCAATTTTATTTTGTATTCACATTCTTTATCAAAATGCTCCTTTTCGACAGCCTTTAATTTTTTGGAGAACTCCAGCTGCAAGGCATTAAGTTCATCAGTCCTTACCTTATCCTTGAGTTTTAGCTCATTTTCGGCTTTCTGCAATGATTCCATAAGTGCAACGATTTGTTCTTCGTACTCAGAGGGAGGAATAGTTTGCTTCGGTTTTGGCAATCCAACCAGCTCATGAGGCGGAGCGAAGCGACTAAAACCGGTGCGGACAGAAATGTCGAGTTGTTTTACCGATTCGGAGACCTTGGCAAGCTCCTTACGAAGTTCCGCCATTTGCTCAGTACTCAAGCCACTCAAAGTATTCTTGGCTGCGGTCTCCTTCAGATTGGAATTAGATTTGCCGTTGTTTCCAGACATTTTCTTTTTTTTTTTTCGCTTTTGATTTTGCTTTGACACACACTGTTTTCCAGTCGCACGAATGAAAATTTTCAGCTCGAATGACAGATGACAATAAAGACGTCAACTTTGATTCTTTAATGTGAACGAATTCTGGTTTTGGAAAAATGTTTACTTAAAATGTGGTATAGTATTTAATATATTTAGTATGGTGTTGAAAAGTGAAATATAAATAAATTTAAATGAATGGGATGTTGGAATACCATTGAAGTGCTTCTTTTTTAAATATCCCGCAAATTATTTCGATTATTTAACAGCTGTTTAGTGTTTCGATCTGGCAACGCTATCAACAAAAATGGTCATTGCGTTTTTGTTTACAAATTTTATAACATCCCTAAAATCTTAATTATTGAAGTTTTACTAACTATTAGTTAAGGAAATAAATTCCAACTGATGCTGCGTCCTTTGGTCAACGCCGGCGGCCTGTTGCGGCGTTTCTATGGAACGAAACTAAGCGATCATCAGGCGGCATTGATGGCCCGCGGATTACCCAAGCGGGAGCCCATTAGCGGCGTCCAGGACATCATTGTGGTGGCCTCCGGCAAGGGCGGCGTGGGAAAGAGCACCGTCGCCGCAAATTTCGCCTGCAGCCTGGCCAGCTTGGGGAAACGTGTGGGTCTCCTGGATGCGGATATCTTTGGTCCCAGCATACCGCTGCTGATGAATGTGCACAGCGAGCCGTTGGTGAACGATCGCAATAATCTGATGATTCCGCCGCAGAACTACAATGTCAAGTGCCTGTCGATGGGCATGTTAACACCACCGGATGGCTCTATTATTTGGCGCGGCCCCTTGGTCATGTCTGCCGTTCAGCGTCTGTTGAAGGGCGCCGAATGGGGACCACTGGATGTTCTCGTTGTGGACACACCACCGGGCACAGGCGATGTACATTTGTCGCTGTCCCAGCATGCACCCATCACGGGCGTCATTTTGGTAACTACACCACATACGGCAGCCGTTCAGGTGACCGTTCGCGGTGCCAAAATGTACGAAAAGCTGGGTGTACCCATTTTCGGTCTGGTGGAGAATATGCGTTACTCCATTTGCCAGAGTTGCAACGAACGCATGGAGTTCTTCAAGGACAGCACTTGCACCCGCTCCCAGGAGGCACTTCCGCGCAAGCTCATCTCCCTGCCCCTTGATCCCCACATAGCCGAGTGCTGTGAGATCGGTGTACCCGTGGTCATCAAGCATCCCGACAGCGAGTACTCCAAACTCTTCACTCAGCTGGCTGGTGACATTTCGAATATTCTGGAAAAGCAGCCAAAGGATAAGGCAACGAGTGATGGCAACTCTTGAGGCTGTCACTAAATATTTGTGTATGTAAGTTGTTAAAGCTTTTGTTTACGAAAATATATATCAAATACTTGTCACAAAGTAAAACTTGAGGTGGGTTCTTTACATTCTGTGCGTGGTCTTTAGGCACCCTCTTCTTAAATAACTAAAACCCACAGCAGCCAATAATCTTAGTAAACAAGAGCCAAAGCCTTTTATATTTAAAAAATGATACAAAAATATGAATGAAATCGTAAACTATTATTTATTTAGAAAGCAGCCGCAAGGATAACCTGGAGAGCCATGTAGACGGTGGCACCCAGGGCCACGAAGAAGGCGAGCGCACGGGATGGCTGGGGAACAACAACCACGGCGTACACCAGAGTGTGGACAATGCGGGCGATACCCACGGCGCGGAAGAGATTGATGGCCAGCCAGGCGGAGGGATTTGTCAGCACATACAGAAGACCAATGGCAAAGAAGGGCAGAATGTTCTCCAGATCGTTGCGGTGAGCGCGACGCACACGTTCAACATTAGGATCATCGAACTTGACCTTCAGCTTGGGGGACATAAGGTCCTCAGGATTGGCAAAGGTCTGAAAATGAGATGAGAATTTAGGTTTTAGTGTTAGAATTGGAATGGATTATTATTTAATAATTAGGGCAGTGCAATTTAGTTAACAAATTTGATCAGATAGAAGAGGGTTTTATAGCCTCCTTATGAAATTGATGGAAATCTTCATCTATAATATGCAATTCTATTATTGTAATATATTTATGACTTGATATTTGAAAAGTCATGCTTATAATAATAGTTTATAGCAGAAAAACTTGGGGTTCTCTTGTACCCAAATCACTAAAACTAGCTGATAAAGATAATACTATTCTTCTCTTTTGTATAAACCAATTTCTTTTGTCGAAAACAGGTTTATATACATAACTAATAGCCCAATTTCACTGGCATTTTGCTTATTTGCTTTCATTATAGTTCAAAATTAGTGATGTTGCTCTTCCTGAACATTATATATTAAAATTAATTTTAAATTTCATTCCATCTTATCGATAGGGTAATACACTTTCACCGCAAGTTGGAAATGTTAGCCAGGTTAACTAGGCTATTAGGCTAAGTGCTTAACCCTAAGTTTTGTCGAAATTATTCGTGGTATTTGAGACTTTGACCCCACTGTGCTCGCTCTTGCCACCTTCCCCCCTCCTCACCTTAGTCTTGAAGCGCTGGATAGCGGTGAGCAGGCTCATGGACAGCATTTTGATCACCAACACTCCGACCCAGAAAACGAAGCTTTTGAAGACGGGATTTGTGAGGCTGAGCAGTTCCACGGGGCTGGCCATTTTAGTTGATTTTAGTTTTATGTATAGTAATCTATGGGGGGATCTATTAAGATAGTGCCTCGGTCTCCCGGTGTTTTTAGTTGGAAGTGAAAAAAACTAGTGAGCTTTTCAAGCGTCTGCTCTCTTGTTTTATACCGCACCCTCTCGTGGCTCTCTCTTTCAATATCGCCGGCACAACAATATTGTTCTCACGCTAATGCTCTCTCTTTGTTTGCTATCTCCCTCTAGCTCATGTTGGAAAAGTGTCAAGTCATTCTGAGGCAGCAAGTGCTTTATAGCACATGCTATAAAGTACAACACTGGACAAGCTTATAGTATATATTCTATATCAGATAAAAATCTTTTAAATATCAAACATAATTGTTAAGAAAACCTTAGAAAATGTTTTGTAAATTCGTAGCAAGTTAGGTGAAATGTTAACTAATCTATAATAATCAGTAATTTAGATTCATATATAACTAACCGCGACTGTAAATGTAGAAAGCATGCATAGGTACCCCTTGTATCTGTAGATTTCATGTAAATAACTACATACATATGTAGAAGATACTTTGTAGAAACTTAAATAACATAAAATAGAATCAAAAGTTAACTTACGGCCGTAAAAAAGCGCATCAGACCCGTATAAATGCCAGCTGCAAAGATTTTCAACACTAAAATAGCCGTCCATCCCATATAGCAACGGAAAACCTGGTTTTCCAAAGAAATCAATCCGATATCTAGCATTTTGAGAGCTGCAAGTGCACTTGTGTACTGGCAACTGAGTGTAATCGACTCTAGAATAAATACAGGGGAAACTAACTAGACACTTCTACACTTCCCACAAAAACTATAAACAGTTGGAATTAGAAAGAAGAAATTTGTTTATATAAAATATGTCATTATTAAAATTAAAGAAAATATATGTACATTCTAAAGGCTATATATTTTGTATTATATCAATTTTCATGAGAAACAGATGTATCTTAATTACTTTAAATTATAAAAACGATTTATTATTAAGTAATTTCCTGAAAATTTAGAATGTGTAATGAAAACAGTGCCACCTTATGTGATTTATGATATTCAAAAGATAATCTTTAAAGTTTTCTACATATTTTTCTGCAGTTTTTAAAAATTCTTTATTCTGTAAATGTATTTATTGAATTTTTGTTCTGAATTTACATACATTTTATACCGGTTTTTATAAAATATTGTAAACAAGAAAAAGAACTGACACCCTAAAGTCGATATTTGTATTCCCTTAAGGGACTATTTGTTAAAATTTGTTCTTTTTCTGTTCGTTTTTAAATACATAAAATATATATAAAATTAAATACTTAATTTTAAAATATGTGGCAATCTTCAGACTTAATTTATAATACCCTGAAAAGGCTGTACAAAACTGAGAGACTAGAATCTAATTTAATACAAGTGTACTCGATTATAGTATTCCAACTTTTTTCAATGTATTCTTGTTGTTGTTGTTATTGTTAAGTACTGATGATTAACATTAAGTGAATGCATAAAAGCAAACAAATTGCCGGTAATTACAGTCAAATTGTAAAAAAAAATAATGCTGTGAAAAGCATATCACACATCATTTGTTCTAGAATCTATTTACAATGTTAAAATTTGTATTAAATAGAAAACTTTAAAAATGCATACCTAAGTATGAGTAGTAAGAAATGAAACTATGGATTAATCGAATAGGTCACGCGATAAGAGAGCTAAGTATAGATTGATGTACAAATATGTATACAAGTATCAATATCAACAGGTGCCTTAAACTGATAAGACACATTCATAGATCCCAAAGAACTATATATAGTAACTAGAGTTACTTAATTTAATTTAATTTATTCTCCTTTATATGTACGACCCTGATTTAATGAAATGATTTGGATCTTAATAGAACGATCTATTTTCCATTATGTATAACCCTTTGTTGCTAACTAGGAATTAGCGACTTAACCCGCTGGCCCCATTTCCACCGATCTTGGACACAACCTTCTGGGGGCTAAATGCAAATCACAATGATGCCACACGGGGGGACCCGGGTCGGGCCCTGGGGACAGTCGCCACTCAATCAAGTTGCAAGGGATGGGCCTCAAGTGCTGTTTACACAGAGGAACGATTCCAGCAGACGATTCTGAAATTCCGAATGGGCGAATCCGAGGCGACGGGCGGTCCGAACAACAGAGAGATGGAAATTATGAAAAGCCTATTTCCTAAGTGTAATTAATTAATTTCAGTGGCTGCTGCTGCTGCGCTGCAGACTGCAGAATTTGCATTGGCATCCCCACATCCATCCATCCATTCGTTCATTCGAATCAGTTTATCTTTTGCCCTGTCGTCGTGTGCACGTTTCAAAACCGATTAAAATCGGGGACTATTCAAAAGATTTCTTCGATATATATATTTTGGAATAAAAAGAGTTGGTAGAAAATAAATCTTTAAAACTGGACAACATTTTTGAGGACTGTCAGCAGCGGCAGCAATTTCACAAAATGTCTCACGGCGAGCGAAAAGGTCGCCTCAATGTGGTCAAGTTCCTGGAGTTGGTAAAACATATTTATATTTCTTTTTTTGTTCGTTTTTTTCAAGTGATTTTTGTGTTTGAATTTAAAGTGAGAAAATTATGGTATATTAAAAATATATAGGTTTGGTTAATGTTCTTGAAATCATAATTAAATAAAGTTTAAGAATGAACTTTGTAGTGAAGAAAGTGTAGGAGATATTTTCTACCCCATAAACCACATATTTTCTTGATGTCCTTTTTGAAAATTCAATTTTAGAATATTTTCAAAATTAAGACTATATGAAATAGATTGAAAAGAAATAAAGGGTTTGATTTTCGTACTACTTGTAATAGTTATTTTTTATGATTTTTGAACCACATTTTAAATATTATTTAAAATGAATAATAATAAATTTAAATTCTCAAAAAATTTATTGGAGGGGAAATATACAATATCTTTATAACTTGTATGTATAGATTAAGGTTCTATATCTCCAGTAAAGTTTTTCGAATTTCTTCACAAAAATATTTTGGTTTTTTATTATTATTATTCTTTTTTATTTGTTATAAAATCTTTTGAGATAATAATAATTTTTATAATCTTTAACTATCTCTCTTTCCTAGGGTTTTGCCGTGGCGTGTCTAGTGCTACATTTCTATAGCTTTAATGATCGGGATATAATGACATCGTTTCTGGCCACAGGTACCTTTACGGGCTATATAATAGTGGTAATTGGAGTATTTGCAGGTGAGTCTTAACAACAATTTCTTCTGAGAATACAAATAAAAATATAAACAACAATATCTTATTATAAATCATTGAAAAAATTAAATAAATAATAAGGAATACAAATATAAATCAAATCAAAATTTAAATAAAATTTTTAAATATTCCGAAACTCATTCTAAAATCATGACACATTTATGAAGTTTTTGGTAAATATCTAACATCCATTTATTATATAATTATTAATTACTTTTTAAAAAATTATGAAAATACTTTTTCAAAACCATTTTAAAGTACAGACAGCATCATCAATCATTTCAATGCATTCCAAATAGAACTCCTATTGTATATATCATATATTATTTCTAAATTCCAGGGGTTTTAATGCGTGCACCCATACACAAACGCATCGATATTTTCTTCAGTGTCCTTGGCTGCACTCTATTTGTGGCCAGCGGTGTATTCATCATCGAAGCCTGGGAGTTTTCCTTCAGAACTCGAACCCGAGACTTGGCCCTCATCAAGGCCTCGCTATCCATTGTGAATGGTGTACTCTTTGGATTCGATGCCGTCTTTACATTTCGCGATAAATGAGTCCGAGATGATCAAGGGAGGAGGAAACCGGCCTAATCATTTATCATCATTGAAAAACAACAATTATATCGCATCGTAAACATACCTAAAGCCATAATATTAAAAGTTTTGGAATAACAGCTTGAGGAGAGCTTCTTTTAATGCATTTAATAGTTGTAAGTCTACCGAATATTCTTTCTCTGCTTCTATTTATAATTTCGAAAAACACATACATCCGTTTAACGTTAATATATTTGTATATTTAAGCATATTTTTCTTTTTTTTTTTTGTTTGTTTTTGTATCAATAAAAATTAGCTCTCACATCACTCTTTTAATAATTTTTCAACTTGAGAGGGTTCTCAATCCCGGTACTCTGACTCTGGGCATCACTGTTCTAAATATATGAATTAATTAATTATATTTCATTAAAAAACTTTAAAGATTCTTTACCCTTTCAAACCGCAAAAAGGAAAAAACTATCCATTATTTCGTTGAATTACTATAATGTATTTTGATGTGTGCAGAAAAATACAAAAAACATAACGAAAACATTTCTTGCTACAAACTTGAGCACTCACAGAACATACCACACACATTCCATTCCATTTCAAATTTCATAATAATTCATAATTCTAGCTAAATATGTTGTCGAAATCCCCACAAATCCAGAGTACCGGGGTAAGGGGACGACGACGACACAAAACTGGGGTAAGAGAAAACAAACAAATAAAGGTAAATTCCGAGCTCGTCGCTCATTTTGTTTACATCGTAATAATAGTTAGCATTTAATTTTTGTTTATTGTGTGTGTTTTTGTTGTTTTTTTTCTTTCTTTATGTTTTGTTTTGTTTAGTTTTCCACTGTTGATAAACGTGAGAACACTTTCTGCTTATTGAGTCGCCTGGAAGCCAGTTGTTACAGCTTCGTCATTTGCTCCATCTTTGGGTGTGTGTGGTTGAGTGTTGCAGTTTTGCGTTGTGAATATATATCATAGATTTTTGTTCAGCAGAGTGTGTGTGTGTTGGTGTGGTGTGCCCCTTAGGCAGAATTGTGGATATTAAGTCGGAAGATGTCGTGGGCCACAAAGAAGGTGCCGGCATTGGCCTTCAGCACGAACAGCTGAGAGAAGGCATGTGGTGGATCATCGTCGCACTTGAAAGTAAAGAAAATAATAGATATTAATTACAATGAGTTACTGATAGTCATAAATATATTATTATTTATTTAATCGTTTAACAAGCGTGCATAAAGATTTCAATATTGATATTTGTTTTAAGAGAAATGGTAAGAAAACACACATTCGAGTCATAGGGAGCAAGTGTTGTGGTTTAAGGTGTGTGCTTCATTAATAAATCTAATAAATATATTAGAAATTAATATAACACCATGAAAATAGTTATAAAAGAGAGGATTTTATTAAAAATTAATTAAAATTCTTGAAAACAATGAATGATTAACTGATATTTATCATGAATGGGTGTTAATTTTATTACAAATTAAGTTTAAGATAACAAACTATCGGTTATATTAAAGCCCGAGTTTTTCCCTGCTAAAAAAGGGTATTTTCAATCATTTTATATATTTAAGTAGAAAATCTTAAATGAAACATGTATATAAAAACCTTGCTAAACATTTTTGGGTCAATATTTAATGATTTAACTATCAAGAAATGGTTTGTATGGTCATCTATTCATTAATACCAAGTGAATAATAGATACATAAGTAGTTCACTAAATAAAATCAATGAATAATGCATAGCAAAATAGTTTCATATTAATTTGTCATTATTTTAAACACACTTTTAGCTTTAAAATAATTTTAACAATTCGAAAAACTATCGAAATAAAATACTATCATCTAAAATAAATATATGTATATAAGTGTCTATAATAGGATCCTAGGGGTCATTTTGAATAATACATCATAGATCAGAAATGTAAATATACTCTATAAACTTAATATACTCCAACCTATAAAAAATGGCAAACTCTTGCTAAACTATATCTCAATAAAGTAAATGTTTCCCAACAACCACTTGGCAATTTGTTAATTGGTTCTTAGCACAACACAAAATTAACGAAAATGAAAACGAAAACCATGCAAGAAACAATTTAAATGTAAATAACAATTGTTTTTTTGTGGTTAATTGCCGTTGGAACTTCACGTACTGTGAGGAAAATTGAGAAGAAAACTTGTAGACGATGGGACGGCAAGGATTCATTTGCTTTTTGATTTTATAATCAATTTTGTATATTTGTATTTTCTGCAGATTATGCTGATCATTTGGCTGCTTTTGTGGGTCTTGATTTTGCTTTTGGTTTTCGTTTCTGACTTTTATGATTTACTTGGTCTGGCGCTGAAGTCTGGAGACTGGGCTACACGTCGTGCAACGATAATCGAAAGATATCGTGCTGCACAAAGAAGGTACCACTGACCGACTTCAGGACGAAGGTCTGAATGTAGGCATGCGGTTGATCATCATCGGTCTGCATCGTCCGGGTTTTCATATTCATATCACAAACATAACAAGATGTTGAGATATTCGAAATATACAATATATTTTTGTATTTTGTGGAAGTTTGAGACTTTGGATCCAGTTTTGCGGTAGGTTAATAGCACCAGAGCCAATTTTTTTGATGTAAAATATGCGAAATGATTTTTCTGGGTAAGAAGTACTGATACTGTATCGATAATTGAAGCGAAAATGGATATTTTAAAAGATATTTTAACTTTGCAATGTTCTCTTTAATATATCGTTTCAATATAATCGGAAAGAGGACAAAATAACATTTTTCATATTTATTTCAGCAATATTAATAGTTTCAATATTTTTCAACATTCTCTTTATGATATTGAGTGAGAAATTTTGTTTTGATGTATTGTTTGGGAGTTTTCCTATTGGTATACATTCCAAATACTGATTTGATATGATTATTCTAAGTAAAAAGTGTGTTTAAACAAAAGCTGCGAAGAAATCGATATCATCATGGTTTGTTTTGGTTTCGGTTGGCCATTTATTTGGCTTCAAAATAATCAAATTGCTTTAAATCTGTTTAAACGCATTTTCAGTTTAAGATAATTATTATAAATTGTCAGATTTAAACTATTTAATTCCATAAAAGAGCAAAAAAATCGAAGAGCTGATAAACCAAATTTTCTAAGCTCTAGTTCTTATCAAAATGGTAAGTACATTTTACGGACAGCAAAGAGATAATTTTTCTATTTTATTAAGAATATTATCTACCACTTTATATTTAATATTTGTGGATAGTTTTATGGGGTTTGCCTTTTTAAAATCAAAGAATTTGTATATCAAAAGGCTTTTAATATATTCAAAGGTATTTAAAGTATTTTTAAGCTGATGAAAAATACATAAATTATAAATATATATTTGCAAAAAAAAGTATATTGTCAAAAACAACATTATTATGCGGTCTGTCTACTTTCCACAAATTATAAATAATAATAAGAAGAAGAATTAGCAAGGTTTTAAATAAAAAAATGGAACTAGTTTAAGGAACTTGCTGCAAGAAAAATACAACAAAAGTGCTTTGATTATGTATACGATATAATGATTAATAAGATGATCTACAATGTACATAGACTGTGCGTGCTATTATCCTGACCGCTACTGTACACAAAACAGTCAGTTTTTAAGAGATATTTTATAAAATATTCCCTTTAACGACTGTAAACTGTGGTCAAATTTAACAGGGGACTTGGGCCTTTTGATGTTTCTTTTCTACTTTTCATTTTAATAATATAAAATTGAGTAAACTGCTTACCTGCAATCGACCAAGAACATTTATAATCACACCACCGTCAAAGGTTGGCTGCGAATCCACAGTGGTTATTACACGGTTGATCTTTTGAAAGCTCAAGCTCTGCAATATATTAAATATAAAATATATATAAGTATGTAATATTAATTAATAATATATTCTCCACTAACCTGAACCTTCTCGAGTATCTTGGGTGCTCCCTGTATTTGATGGCCTTCAAATGTCATGAAGGAATCGGTGGCCTGTAATGTAATAATATGAAATATATGATTAAATGATGAAATTTAAATAGGAATAGAAGATATAATATATATATTAAATTCTATACTTTAGATATATAATGATTAGGTCAAGATGTGAAATGTCGTTGAGTGACTAATCCTAAAGGCTTGTTGAGTTCCAAATATGAAGGCTAAACTATTTAACTATTTATATCTTGTAGGTCCTTCAAAAGATTGTCATTTTACTGATCTTTATAGATCTCATTGAACTATCTATATTTTAATAGCATTTTTGGGTTTATCTGAAGGTGTTAAATGTTATTATTATATATATATAATAATAATATAATATAATATATATATATATATATTATATATTTTGATTATACATAAATTAAGTTTGCTACCATTTTTCGTATAAAGTAAATGCTTTTCTATTTCAATTTGATCTATCAGATCAGTTTTGTAGTATTTTGGGGCAATCTCTGATATTATGAACCTCGTTTTTTTTATGTGCATAAATATGATTCCGAATGATGTCTATAAATGTATGTATGAATGTACATATATGCATATATGTACATACATCACAATGCTTGTGGTATGGGCGGTATGTGTCACTCGAAACTTCGAGAATCGGAACGCTCCCGCACCGTCTGCTTCCGCTCCCGCTCCCGCTCTTGCTTCTCCGATCCCCCTCTCACTGATTATCTCCACCGACTTCTCCGTTTATCACCAGCTGCAGCATGGCTCCTTGTTATTTTTTGCGCGCTCTTTTTTGCCATTGCTGCTGCTTCCTTCTTTCGGAAGGCGGAATTTTTCAAGGGCGCGTCGCGCGTCACTTGAGCACTGCGGGAGCGAGCAAGACAGCAACAGATGGATTTGGGATGCAGCGGGCGAGAGCGGTGAGGGGGGGGGGGGGGGATGGGGAGCCCTAACTCTTTGCAAATTATAAAGAAATTAAAATTCAGCCAAGAGCAAGCACAGCAACAAGAACAACAACAACACCACTCACGCTGTAAAAGTTCACCACGTTCGCCCGATTCGCCGGGTCATCGAATATCGAATAATATTGTTGTACAAATCCCTTGCCAATATCCTCGTACTGTAGATTCAGAGACATCTCTGCGCCGTTATTTGCTACACTCGGGTCTCGGTACAATGGGGGCCAGCTCAGAAACCGATCGCGTCGGGCGGATTGGATTATTTAATAAAATAACAAGTTGTGCGCACACAATTGCATGCTAGTGCTGGCAAAACATCACTATCACATCACAACTATCGATGGGTTGATTTTTTTGCACTATCGATGTTTTGATTGTTTGATATTTTACATATTACACGTGCAGATAACAATTTTAGAACTTGATCACTGATCACTGATCGATTTCTATCAATAGTTTAGCTAAACGCGTATAACTACTGATCATAAGGCACAATACTGATGGATTATATCGATGGTCGAAATATCGATAATAATAATAGAAAATTATTTTATTTATTTTTATTAATTTATAAGGGTTTGGTTAAAATTTATTGCTTGGACAGCTTAAGGAACACTTTAGAATGTCTCTAGCTGTTGTCTTAAACGCAGAATAAAGAGATTGGTGACGGAAGCCGCACAAGCACGATAGTTCCAAAAAAATGCAGAATGTGCCTTAAGCGGTTAACAGCAGAAGTTTGTGTGAAATTATTGATATATCACTGATCAGTGATCTGCTGTACGAAATCATTATTTTTGATTAGTATTAGGCCTAAATAAAGTAATTTTTCATTAATTTCATTCATACTGCTTAAATTAAGATGATTAAATAAGTTTTTTTTTGTTTTAAACGTGAAAGATTATAATAATATATGATTTTTTACGTTTCAATTAACTTTAATATTCTCTTATATTATTATAAGTAATAAAAATAAAAAAAATAGTTAATTTTTATTAAAACATATATTAATAAAAATATTATTTGTTACGTTTCAATTCGTTTTTGTACTCTTTAGTGTTAATTAATTAAAAATAAAGGAACTAAACTATTAATTAAACATTAATCATAATAATACAAGTAATAATTTAATATAATATATATAAAAACTGTGCTCGTGCATCGATAATATCGTTTTGGTTTGTTCCCACCTCTAACATGCACTGAGAAGAAGAAGACAACAACTTTTTTCCGTTGCTAGCACTGAAGCCCAGCTAGCTACTTTTCCGCCAGAGTTTAGCGATATGTTTCAAAAATATCGATGACATGTGTTTCCCCACCTCTAATCCACACCCACGAAACCACGAACTTGGAAATTTAAGAAGGTCCTCCAGATTCTTTAGAACTTGTCGGGCGTTTGCTTCAGATCGCAGCAAAATGTTGACCGCCTCCGACTTGGCCAGGCTATGCAGGATCTGCCTGCGCCAGTTGAGGGACCCGGAGTGCCCGAATCCCCGCCTGATTCAGTTGCTAAAGAAGTTCCTCGACATCGATGTCCTGCAGCAGCCGCACGGATTTCCAACGCAAATCTGCAAGCTGTGTCATAACGCGATGGCCCTTCTCGAGGAGCTGGGTCAGGTGGCCAGGGAGACCAGTGAAAAGCTGGCTGGTTTCTTGATCGGAACGAAAGAAGCCGATCCCAAACCGAATGCAGTGGAAATGCCAGCCGAGAGGGTGGGATATATATGATATGCCAGGTTTGGCCAGAGTTTAATACTCCCTTAGGGTTTCCGTAGGTGAAGGATGAGCCACTGGACCAAGGGCAAGATGATTCTCAGGACAGTGAAATGCAACAGGAACTGGAACAGCTCGAAAAACTGGTGGAGCAGCAGGAAAACGCTGAGCAAGAGCAACAACTATTGGAGGAGGTGCAGCAGCAGGAAAAGGAGCAGGAGCAGGACCAGAACAAGGAGCAGCGTCCGAATAAGGATCACACCGCCTCGCCAAACAAAAGACGCGCCGGCCTGGCCTGTGACCAGTGCGGCAAGCAAGTGTACAAGCTGCCCTATTTGGAGGCACACATCCGCAGCGTGCATCAGGGTTACACGAAACCGTTCCTTTGTCGCAGCTGCGACAAGTGCTTCACCCGCTACGAGCAGCTGCGTTCGCACATGCGGAACGCCCATCCGCATCCCCATCCCCAGATGCACCAGCAGCAGCTCCAGGAGCTGCGCGAGCTCATGTGTGAGCTATGCAACCGCCAGTATAGCACCAAGAATGCCTTGGGTGAGCACTTGAAGCGCCATGCCCAGCGCAAGGAGCACGTTTGCGAGCATTGCGGCGTGGCCAAGGTGACCAGAACGGAGCTATTAACCCATTTGCGCACCCATAATCCCACCTGGGAGCGCTTCAAGTGCAAACAGTGCCCGCAGCTGTTTCGTCACAAAAGTGCCATTAGCCGCCATGTCAGGGTCGTCCACGAGGGTCAGCGACGCTTTCAGTGCGGTCATTGCAAGAAACGCTTTGGAACACACGCCTCACAGTTACGCCACGAGCGTCTGCATGCTGCCGAGGGCGAAGACGATGACGAGGAGGAGGAGGAGGAGAGCGAGGAGGAAGCCGGTGCGGGGAGTGATCCCAAGCTTTGGCCGGAATCTTTCGCTTGCAGCCATTGCCAGAAGCCTTGCGTAACCCGTCAGAATCTTGAGCTGCATTTGCGTCGCCATCGACGCGGCCGGAAGACACAGCAGTGGCTGAGGGAGCAGGAGGAGGAACAGGAAGAAGAGGAGAACAAAGAGGAGCAGCAGCACCAAGAAGAGCAGGAAGGGGAGCTGCTGCAGAAAAAGAAAAAGCTGCAGAAGAAGAATGCTGATAAAGCTGAGAATAAGCAGGAGAGAGAACAAGATGAGTGGCAACAAAAAGACGAACGTGAATGGAAGGAGGAGGCGGTGGAGTTCGACTGGAGTTCGCCCAAAGTAGAGCAAGATGTGACCATGAGTTGACCAAGTCAGCGTCAAGCTAACGTTAATAATATATTCGTAACCAAAAACATTCATATTTTTATACTACCTGCACACAGTTCGCAAATAATAGTTAAGAGAACTCTCTTTGTTTTTCTATTTTATTTCTATTTAAGTTTAAATATTCTCAGTTGATTTATTGTTACGATCGTTAAGTAATTGTTAATCTACATTTTTTTAAATCTGTATATTCAGGAAACTGTTATTTGCGAGTCTTGTACTTATTAGAAACTGCACATTGTCGAACCTATAGCCTTAGTTTGTACCTGGTGTACCATAAAAACAGATAAAATGTTAAAAATGTTTAACATATAAACTAAAAAGAAAAGATAAATAAATAATATTGATAATTATTAAACTTGTTGAAGTGATTTTATAATTTTATTACTCATTTTTAATACCATTAAATAAAATTGCAAAATATATTTGCAGAAAATTAACAGATTTCAATGAATATAAATAGTTCTATACGTTAAATTAGTTATTTTATGAGCTGGGAATATTTATTTAATTTATTATAATTAATTAATTGCATTTTACTTAAAGAATTTCGTGTTTTTTAATTTTTTATTTGAAAATCCAAGAAATTGAAAAAATTCCCAAAAATGTAATGCTTTTCGCTATGGAATGGTCAACTTTGCCAGACAACTTAACATGAATTCTTCTTTTACAATACCACTCCAAATAAATTTAGATTTAAATTTGTTATAGTTCTATTTATATCAAATAAAAACATTTCCAATTAATATAATAAATTTAAAATAAAAATCGAATAATTTAAGCTGGAATCCAATTTGAATTCAGCCAGGTCTCACACCTTGGTGGCTTTTCCTGCTATAGTATTTGGTATTTTCTTCCTTCTAGTATATATTATTAAAATGTACACGACCACACTGACTGTGTTAGTGGGTGACAGTGATGCAAGTTAAGACCACCGGTAAAAGCTAGATTCTGTGCAAAGAAAGCTAAAACAGGCTACATATAAAAAAATAAATGCTGATAAATAAGCTAACCAGAGAATTTATACATTATTATATTTCTTAATTAATTACAGAAAAAATGAAGCAAGACTCGGTCTGAAAACAGCACAATATGGAAATTTAAAATCGTTAGACCTTGTGGGAAAATAGCTAATAGCCAAATGTTAACAAGTACATCGTCGATTTTATTGTTTCAGAGGTAGGAATTTGGAATTCATTTGAGATAATTATAGTTATTTTTATTTTAAAACGATTTTTTACAAACCAAACAATAAAACGATTAGTTAATTAAGTTAAAAGTTGGTTCAATAGTACTGAAGATGTAAATGAACCCAGCCCGTAAATACAGATGGAATATTTTTATTTTTTATAAAAGTCACACGTATTACAAATAATATCCAATTTATCTTATATATTATGTAATAGAATAGCAAAATTAATAATTACTTAATTAATAAATATAATAAGCTATTTTTATACAAGTTAGGGTTTTCGGTTATGTAAAAAAATGTCGAATCGATGATATTTTTTGTATATAAAACGTGTCAAATCGTTTTTCAGACGTGTAGGATGTAAAATGTTAAATAGCAGCTTTGGATTTAGAGTGACCAAAGAAAACGTATTAAAAAATATCAAAACAAAAAATTTAAATGAATTTGATATTTTGATATATTTTCAACGACAGCCCCACCAATAAGAAAAAAAAACTTTCTTGCAACAACACCTCCGCCGTACTGTTTTTTTTTTCATGTGATATTTCAAGCGATAAATGAAATATGATTGAAGCACTCGCCTAGAAACCGAAAAAAGTGTTTGTTAAAATCAAAAGAAAGCCGCAGACCCGTGGACGGGCGCGAGAAAGGTGTCGCCGTGTATTTACATATATATTGATGTGTGTGAGTGTATGTGACGTTTACAGCAGCAAAAAGTTCGGTGGTGTCGACAAAATTTGGAAGTTATTTTTGAGTTTTAATGGATTCCCGTGTATTTCTAATTCAGGCCAAAACGCGTAAGAAACAATTAGCAGCAGCAGCAGCAGCAACAACAACATCAGCAACAGTCGCAGAGGCATAAGAAATACAACAAAAAAAAGCAGCAACACCCACCACCCGCGGCACCCATAACGGTTTATTCACAGTAGCAGCAGCAGCAGCAGAAGCAGAGGCAGAGGAGAAGAGCAGGCAGGTGAGTTTTTGCATCTTTATTTATATTTTTTTGTTAAGTAGAGTTTTTACGTGTGTACGTGTGCATACATACATATGAAGTTATCAACGGAAAGAAAAAATTGAGAGAAAAAACACACAAAACTTTCTTTCGCCGTCTGCTTGCGTGTGTGTGTGTGTGTGTGTGTGTTAACTCAAATTAGCGAAGCAGCGCAACGGTAACCATTTCTCCAAATACAGTACGAAAAACTGGTACGAATTTCTATATATATGTACATTTATTCAACGCATCGATATGATTAAAAGCATCATTCATCATACATCATCGTTCCACCGCCTGCTTCGCAGCTTCATTTACAGTCAGAGAACAACAACAGCAACAATGATAAGTTGAAACGGTGCAGTGTCCAGGCCCATTCCCCGGGTTCCACTCACCCCCGATATATCAGCTGTGTGTGTTGTGTTGTAACCTTGTCTTTTTTCCACCCACTTTTTTGTGCAATTTGATGGCACGCCGTCTCGCTCTAAAGTTCTTCTGCGCCTGCGCGTTGCCACCTTCGGCGACACCTTGTACGTCGCGCAGCGGCTACAGTGCACAGGCCCACGTCTGTATGTATGTATATATGTACATGTATACATATACGTACATACATACAGTGGCACAGTGATGGTCGACATATTAGGGGTGCAGCTTTGGTTTTACATTTTATAAATAAATACAGCTGTTATTTTATCAGAATTTGTATTTAATATTTATACTTTATTTAAAATTTACATGATTAATGAAATTAATCATCATTTAGATTAGTATTCGGGCTGTTTACTTTCAAGTTTGCAACACCTAAACAATAATACCTATAAAACTTAACATTAATTGCTGAAAAATAGTTAAATAGTTACTTTTTCTCAATAGTTGTATCTATGAGAATCCTATCTTTAGGCGTTTTATAATAGATATTCCTAAACTCTCGGCATAAATGGCAAAATATTTTAAACCTTAGACGTTTTTTTTTTTTGACAAATTCACAAGAATGTCATACAAGATATATAGTTTTATATCTTTATATTTATATATATGTGAATGTGGGTTAACGATTATTAAACTTTTGACTGCCGGTTTTAGATAAGATCTTTTTTAGCTTTTATCTTTAACCTTATATTCATATACATATATCGTTTCTTAAACCTACGTGTATTTTTTAATAATTGTGATTGATAATTGTGATGTTCAAGATAAATAAATAGGAAACCTCTATATCTTTCAATTATAATATTTATATTAAAATTATTATAAAGCAAAGCCAATTTAAAATCAAAATAAAATAACTTTTTGGTGAAGCTAACAAGCTAAATATTTACAATATTATATAGTATATTTCAAAAACTCTTAAATATATCTTGTCGATGACAAAAATTAACTTTAAAATACAGTTATTTCTAGGCAAAATCTATAAGATTTGTACTTATATGATATCTACTATATAGTCTACATAGATATCCGTACAGATAGGTTAATTTTCGCATCTCTCTAAAGTAATTTGGAATATATGAATAAATAAAATGTGAAATATATCTAAAAATTATAATTGTTAGGGCAAGTTTTGTTTCTAATTAGTATTCCCTGATGTATGAGACATATACAAAAATGAGATATATATTTATTTATACATATTTATACTCCATTGTGTTTGGGTGTGTGCGTAGGGAGATGTTGCGTGCTTATTCACATTTCATTTGTACATAGTTGTGTTATTTATTTAAATCACGAGCATTAAAACCTGCCCAACACATGGCCAGAGAGTCATCGTCATGTTAATTATGATCATAAATTTGCAGATAGTGCGGGTGTATGTGTGTCTGTGTGTCAGTGGTTTGTCATCTGTCATTATCTGTTTATCTGGAAGGTTAGACCAGAATAGCCTTCATTCTTGCCAAAAAAAAAATAAAAATAAAACAACAACATTGGTGTTGGTGTTGGTGAAAAGCAACACCAAAATATAGGCGGGTTTTTCAATTATCTGCTCAAGTGTTTTCGCCATGTTTTATTATTTGCATTGTTTTATGATATTTTGGCGGCTGTTTATTGTTAGTTATTATGTTGCCCATGTGGAACTTGAAGTCAAGCTTTTGACCTTCGCTGCAAAGCTGCGAAAAATATTATGTACATTTGTATGTAAAAAAAAAACAACAACAACAATTTTCACCTGAGCCTGTTTTCGTACCTTTTTTTCATAATTTCGTGAGCGGAACAATAACAAGCGCTTGCCAAAATAATTGCAAATTAAGCGAGCTAACGTGGAAGTTACAGTGATCTCTAGAAAATAGGAAAATACAAAATGATCATTTAAATATTTAATTATATTATATATATATAATATAAACGTATAAAAAGGGTTACTTAAATCAATTAATGGGTCGAAATATTCTTTATATTATGCATATTTATTATAATTAGAAAATACGAAAGTATCTTAGAGAAAGAAAGTTAAAAAGGAGTAATTGTTTTAGCCCAAAACAATATAATAGAAATATATCTCTCACTTAAATTTCTTGCTCCTCCTAGAGCTTTCTTATTTTGTAACTCATCCATTGACTTCTTCAGCTTAAGAAAACTATCAATTTTAGACATTCTTTAAAGCTTATTTATGTATCGTTTGTTTGTACTTTCTGGTATTAACCAAAAACGACTGTTTAAGTGTTGTTGTATGCATTCGTCTTCGAGTTTTTTCAAAAATAAATAATAATCATTGCCTTCTCTGGCGATTGCGCAGCTGCTTTTGTTTCCGTCCCTTTTCATTATTATTATTATTCGGCACAAAAAGTGCCGTTATGTAAAGATCAGGCAATAGTAATATGAATAGCAACGGCAGCAAATAGCCAACAACAAAAAACACCAACAAAAAACACCAACAAAAAACACCAACAACCAGAAATATCAAAACAAACAACAATGGGGCAGCAGTCAGGCAGCCAGCATCCATAATACATACATATGTACATACATATGTAGCCAATGTATTGTTGCCACCTGGACAAATGGAGACTTACCTGATAGATTGTGCCCCAAAAGCAAAGAGTAAAGCAAAAAAAAAATCGGGTTAAACAGCAGAAGCGGCGCACAGCCAATTCCAATATGTGTGCCAATCTTCTCGTTGACGTGTTGGTATTTTTTGGGGTACAGTAAATTACCGTTAAGAGGCCGAATGAATTTTTCATTCTTACCAATTTTGAAAGGAAAATCTAGATTTCTTTATAACAATTTAAGAAAATACATGGAAACACACAAATTTATATTGTAATTTATATACAAATAACATACTTATGTAGGAAAACTTATAGTTGTAGTTGGAATCGTTTTTGTTAAACAACTTTAAAGTGTTTTTGTTTTATTTAATATATTGTTTCTTGGTTTTAATATAAAATTAAATAAGTAAAGTAAATTGTACTCATATATAAAATATTTATCCAAAATTAATATATTTTTAAAGAATTTCTGAATATTTCCAAAACGCTTCTAAACGTATTTAATATTGTATTTTTATCTACTGTATATTTCCAGTTTTCTAGTAATGCATTTTGAATCAGGCTTTTAAATTTTCTTTTCCGTTTGAATTTTTCCTTTTATTTTTCCTATTTTGCTGAAGCGATTGTTTTGTTATTTTTTATTTTTGCAATCATGCAATCGCAGACATATCGTTTTTATTTGTTTTTTCAACGTGGCTCGAAGAAGTCTCGTCTGATTTAATTTCAGTCTTGGTTTCGGTTGGTGTCTGGTGTCTGTTGAAATCCAAAACGTTTCAAATATGGCATTAAAAAATGTTTATTATTGGTGCACTTGTGAATGCTATTGTATATGTGATTTTCCATTCGATAGCGATTGAAATAATAAATAACTAGCGGTAGTATACACTGCAAAATATCACATAACATTTAATTAATTGGTGTCTTAAAGTCTGCTTAATTTACAAAGGGATTTGAACTTGAAACTTGAACTTTCTTCTAATTTATGCTAATTAAATTGATTAAGTTTCAGAGTTAATGTTTCCTCTTTATAATTAACGCGCTAAAATGCGTAATGTTATTAAGGAGAATTAAAAAACATCCATAAAAGCGTATTTTATTATACATTCTTCACATTTTTTGTCAGTGCATTGGTAGCATATAGTAGCATTTGGTAAATAAAAATAACTTTGAGCTCAATGGCAGCGTGAGTTCCATGGGATTGCATCAGCCCAGGGGATTTATGTTTCATAATTTCATTCCGATTTCCGATTCTATATTTTGATTGTACCCTGCCACTTGAAATTGCTGAGAAATCTTTGTAAAATGAACAAATGAACAAAAAATGAACTATAAATGACCGTTAAATGAACAATTTGTAGTTCATTGGTTAATGTTGTTTATTTTAGTTCATATATTAATTAAAAAATAATGTATTTAGTAATATAAATTTATAAAATGAACAAAAAATGAACTTTGAAGGTTGTTTATTCATTTTTATGACTACGTACATTTTTAATATAAATTATTATAGTTATATATTAGCTAATATACACTTCTTACATACCAATCTATGTGTATATGTCTATTTTTTTTTTACTATTCCACTTTAATTGTGAATGACTGCCAGTTTGTGCGATAAAGTTTCATTGTTTCCTCGAATCTTGAAATTGTACGAACTCGCAGAGTGCCGCCCGCCTTCGTCTGATTGAGAAATCGGTGCATTTGTTATCGTCTGGGCCTCATTTCTTTCCCCTGTGGAGTTATATTTCTTCTTTTCCTGCTTCTGGCTTTTTTTTGTTATTATTATTATTATTATTATTTGGGCCCTATCAGTTACTGTTTCTATGTCAGGCCTTCTGATAATTAGGGAAATTGACTTGGGCGACTCGAGAGAATTGTTTACCTTGCATAAGCATTTGCCACAAATGGTACACAGAAAATGGTGTACTTGAAGGGACAGGTAAATGCATTCGGAAATGACCACTTAAAAAAATTGGGATCTAGCTGAGCTAATGGTAA